CTACCCGTTAACCAGGCCAACAGCGGCCTGCCACCCCACTTGCAGCAACAGCAGCAGCAACAATCACAGCTCGGACACGCCCAGCTTCCGCAATAGCATGCACCACCCAGGAACCCCTTCTGGAAATCGTCGTCGTCCCTCTCTTCCATAAAAACCGAATGTATTGAAGGCTCCTCAGCCAAGTACTCAGATAACTTGGAACTGGAGAATCAGGTTTTAAGCAATATGTTCTGGCGTTGTCGTCCTCCCAAATTGCAACCACAACCCCTACAAAATGTACAACACTTTTAACACACAACAAAAGTAAATGAGAATTGAAAACAAAAACGAAAACAAACGCCCAAATGATTGCCAATCCACACACAGAATTGATCCTTTTAAAACGATTGTATATAGCTGTTCCATTATGTTTAACCTGGGAAGATCTTTTTCGTTTTTTAGAATGTTTGATTTAATAATTATTTGTTTTATTTTGTGCGATATCACCGTAGCCATATTTTTTATATACAAATACATACATACATAACGACATAATTAAGTGAAAATAGTTTTATAATAAAAAAAAAACACAACACATAGACTTACTTCTATATATTCCCGAGAGCTAAGGAATAAATATGTCCATATTAATATTTTATATTGCGTTACAATGTTCTTCTTATGTGATTACAGAGAAAATTTGCACATAACGGTAACCACGGAATTAATCGTTATCTAAGATTAGCTGGTAATTGTTGTAGTATCTTAAGGCTTCAAAGAGACACGTTCACGTGTTGTGTACTTTAATTAATTATATTTTTCGCAAGGGTAGGGCAACCGGAATTAAAAAAAAATAATGAAAATGATGCCATTATAATCTTAACAGAAATTGAAAAGTGAAGCCAATGTAATTTCCCACGAATGTATGACATGGAAAAGTATATATTTTATTTTAAAGCGACAACGCGAAAACTCAAACAGCAGACTCTTTTTAAGGCACTGAATTCAAATATACTATATATATATAGTGAAACGAAAACTTTTTCGGTGGTTTTCAGTTTATCTTTGCCCGATCATTTTTTAGCTTTCATATATTTTACACCGCTTACATACTTCATGAACCTATTTACCTGTACAATTTTTAGACTTCTTGACTTCATTAATTTCGTTATGAATAAATGGTATAATATAATGTTTATACCTAATAATATATTGTTGAGTGGTCGATTTATTGCTTTATTCATTTTATGGTTTGAATCTGTTAAAAGAAAATGTCATAAAATCTAACAGATTTTCTGGGACCAGCTGCCGTATATAAGTTTGGTGGGTCTGCAAGCTGTTTTCAAATTGAAAACCGACTTTTCTATTGAATCCTACGGATTAGAAATCTTAGAGGTTGAAGATTTTAGAAAGATAACTTATCTGATCTGCAATCAAAAGACCGCATACCATCAAGTTGAAATTAAATCCTGTTCAATGGAAGAATATTTAAAATGTTTATTTAATTTGAAACCTAAGTCATTATTTTATACCCCATTAAGTTTTTTAAAACTATTTTGGACTTCATTCTGAAATAAACGTTTCGTAACTCCAATAAATTAGGTCAATACACTTATTATACTGCTATCTAGAATCGTTCAGTTTAGAATACTGCTCGGAATGAAGTAATTTGCCTACATTTTCTTATAAAATAACTTGCCTTACCCCAAGGGTATTTTGTTGATCGCATTTTAAATTCTGTTTTCTTTTTTTCATTGCTGGTATCAAGAATATTTGCATTTCATATCCATATAAAATAGACATGTAATGTAGATAATTTATTTACATGCTTACATACAATGCACGCTAATTAGAAGCATTAGAAGTAGTTAAGAAAAAGAGAGCTTAGCACTGGTAACAACTACTCTCATAGGGACTTCCCAGTCCATATTTTATACATACATAGGCAAGCATATATTTTCTCGATCGTCATAATATTCATAATATTCAACTGTTTCCCTTTTGTGTTTTGAGTTAAAAGAAAGCCATAAAAAAAGGGGGTTCATTCAATCATAATTACTTTTTTTTTATTTATCTACCATTCAAAAGTCCAAAACAATGTCCACCGAGTTATTTACAAAATTTTTTATTGACATGAACTTGGTTCCTAAATGCACAACTATGAAGTTATTAATTAACGTTTAATGTCGCATTACAAGTTGGACACATTCGAATCCAGAACGGACAGAGCTTCGTCCTTCTCCTCCTGGAGTTCCTTGCCGGTTACGCTTAACTTTGATTTGGCGAAATCGCTTAGAGTCAGGCCGGAGACGATTTTCCATTGCTTATTTTTGATCTCGACGGGGAATGAGAAGATCACGTCCTTGGGAGAGTCGTAGCTACCATCGGAGAAGACGCCCATGGAGACGAACTTGCCGGGAGCAGTGCCGTTCCACCAATCGTGCATGTGATCACAGGCGGCCTTGGCTGCCGACATGGCTGATGACATTTTGCGTGCCGCAATAACTGCTGCTCCGCGCTTCTGCACGGTTTCAACAAAGGATCCCTGCAGAAAGGCGGTGTCATTAACAGCCTCCACCACGGACTTCACGGCTCCACCGACGACCACCTTGCCCTGGCCAGCATCGGGATACTGAGTCGAGGAATGGTTGCCCCAAATGATAATGTTGGAAACAGCGGAAATGGGAACACCCACTTTAGCGGCAATCTGGGAGGTGGCGCGATTCTGGTCCAGGCGAGTCATGGCCGAGAAATTCTCGCGGGGAATAGAAGGTGCATACGAGGAGCAGACCAGGGCATTTGTGTTTGCAGGGTTACCCACAACCAGAACCTTTACGTCCTTCTTAGCGAATTTATCAAGAGCCTGTCCCTGGATCTTGAAGATCTTCACGTTGGCGGACAGCAGATCCTTGCGCTCCATACCCTCCTTGCGGGGCATGGCTCCAACCAGAAAAGCGGCTGACACATCCTTGAATCCAACAGCCGGGTCGGTGGTGGGCACTACCTCAACCAGGAGAGGCAGAGCACAATCGGCCAGTTCCATAACCACACCCTCGAGAACACCGACCATGGGCGGGATATCGAGCAGATGCAAAACAATAGGCTGATCCTTGCCGAACACCTCACCGCGAGCGATCATGTACAGCAGGGAGTAGGCGATTTGGCCAGCAGCGCCGGTCACCACAACTCGAATTGGTTCAGCCTGAAAACATATTATTTAAATGTTATCATAGTCCAGTAAATTTAAATGTATCTTATGAAAACGGAATATGATAGTATAGTTTCACTTCATATCAGCAATTTTGCTAAGTAAAAGAGCTTCTAAGTTTAGATGCAGCTAAGCTAATTATACATACTAATATGTATGAAGGGGCCGAATTATTCATCGAGCCGTTTCATCGCTGCCTTTGGTTTTATATTTTATTTTTAGACGCTTGGATTTAATTTGCGAAAATTTTAACCTTCACAAAAATGCTTACATATCCAGTTCTCCAGTTCCATTCTCAAATAAGTCCCATTTAGGTGCAATTTAGACACAAAAGCGCAACGAATGTAAACAGATAGTGAAAAACTAATAGGGAGTTTTCCGTTTGTTGCTCTATTGATTGGGTCTTTATCAGCTTGAATTTGATGTTTACGTAAAGATAAAGGCTTAAAGCTACATATATTTCACTTAATAATAGAAAACAAGAGTTGACCCCACATTTCACCTTGTGCTATAGTATTTTTATTTAGTTGGCTTTTATGGAATCGGTGCCTTCACTTTCCCCTTTGGGTGCATTTCCACCCATCCTTGTTACGCAATCACAGTTAATCCTTTTCTAAGGAGGCAATAAATGTAGGGCACTGGTGGAAATTGACCCCTATTCATGTTTTTTTTACACCCTTGGGGTAGGAATAAATAGAATCATAAACGTAGAATCCTAACAATAAAAAGGAAGTAATTGCTTAAAATGAATAGATAATAATGTTGTGTGAAATAGTTTTTTTTGTTTAGTGAATAGTCGCCGCTTGCCAAAATTTGAAAGTTAACCTCTGGATGCTAGCATTTTTGATAAGATATGTATGACAGATTTGAATTGCATGGACTTTGCTTTTCGGTTTCAATCATCACGTTTATATAAGCCGTACATGTAGCTAAAACATACAAAAAACCATTTTTTTTATCTTTGTCAATTAGCAGTTAGCACTCAAAATCATTGGATGCTCTTCGGGGCTGCTGGAAATCGTACGTTTGTGCATGCATTTGAATTTACGTCACAGAGGGTTTTAAAGATTAGCATGGAGAGAGGTCGAATGAATGTTAAATTTCCAGAAAAAATTTGCGACCATTTACGCATACCTTCATAACTACACAATATTGTACTTGGCTATATGCATGTATATGTATGCATATTTTTCACTTTTGATAACCGAATATTTAAATTATTATTATTAATTAAAGAAAATATACTATGCATATTCACACAAAATAATGCCGGTAACCTTACCATTTTTTAATTTTACAGGTGCAACGCTCCACGGACGAACTTCAAGTAAAAACGTAAATAGGGATCGCCAATTGTTAACCTGTTACTTGTCACAATTAATTTCAAGTCACTACTTTCTGGGTAAAAGTAGCCGTGACGCTATCACGATACGAATGATGCATCCCGTTTCTTGCATTTTATATCGATAGCCAAAAATAATATAAATATACATTTTTAAATTAATATAGTATTATTTAGATTATGTATAATAAAATCATATTTTGGTATTAAATTTTATATTTTTTAAACGAAAATTCACTAATTATTTCTTGGATTATTTTTAAGGAATAATATTTTCAGAAACCTATATATATTACTGTAAGCTTAGAAGTGAACCAAAGGTAAGCTAAGAACCAAAATCCTTACTATAAAACACATTTATATATTTAAGTTTAAAAAAAAATTTTTTTGTTAAACCCTTTAATCCAGTGAAGTAGAAAGATATTTTGGTCCATTGTGTTATCGATAGCTTGATTACGAATCGAGCGTCTATCGAATGTTTTAAGTGGAAAAAAAATTGAAGTCTTTAATTTGGCGAATTCATTCGTTTACTTTGCGTTTATTTTTAGCCTTAGTACTTTCGTTTGATACGTTTGCTACCAAGTATTTATAAAATTAAAAAGAGTTAGAAATTAAATTTGCAATTGCATCTGCGATTCATCAACTATTCAGAGTGAATAAAGAAAAACCTACATCACACCTACAATCATACGTGTTACGTGTACATACATATGTGTATGTATGTATATATTCTCTTGCTTATGTACATTGTACATTAATCGTTATAATTTCCTATTTGCCTATTGTTATTTCCAAAATATCGATTTCTTTGACGATTTTAATACGTGTCGGTGACTGACTATTATTAATAAACAAAAACCTGATATACATATGAACAAGTTTGTAAATAATTATAGCGTGAACCATGTACGAACAAGTACATAAAAGCTTGCATATGTGTGCATATATAGTGGGTTAACAAATTGCTGATGTACAAATAATAAATGGTTTTCCAATGCATATGCGAATATCGATGCAAATTCTTTGAATTTTGGATGATATCTACACATATTGATGTGTCGCCATATTCACACAGATGTCAGGTTTCTAAACTCAAAAAATACTTTCTTTTTTTGTGTTTTAAAGAAATCCTACATTTTTAATTTGAGGACAAGTTTATGTAAATTACCAAATATCATTGATATCTTTTATGAAAAGGTATCCATATTTAAAAATACATTTTTGTTTGTCTGCGAGTAGACTGTCGTCATGTGTGCATTCCATTGTGTACATATATACAAAAGATTTACCTGACAGTAAACAACTTATTCAGGTAGCATAAAATTTACAATTTTGAGGAGGCATATGCAAACAATTGGTGAGAAAACCCTAATATCATTTATAGCCCACTACTTTGATATTATCGAAAGTCTAGCTACAGGTGCTAAATTCCGAATAGTGAGCAACATATTAACAATGTTTGGGTGATTCATGTAAAAAATATATGGATACGACTCGGACTTTAGTTGAAGATATGATTTTTAATTCATTCAATAGATTTAACAAAAAGAAAAGTTATCCTTGACCTTAAGGCCAAGCAACTAAACGACAACTTACTTTTTTTTTATTTACTTTCTACAGCTTGGTTCTCATCATTAACAACAGTTTATTAAAAAATTAAAACTGCGAGTATTTTACCACCCAAAATCACCTAAAAATGAACGGCATGAGCAGTAATGATGATGCAGTCGAGTGCCCTTTGTGTATGGAGCCGCTTGAGGTGGATGATTTGACCTTCTTTCCCTGTACCTGCGGATATCAGGTATATATTGCATTCGTAACCTTCTGATCAGCAGGGATTTCAAGCGATTTTGCTTACAGATTTGTCGGTTCTGTTGGCACAGAATCCGTACGGATGAGAACAAGCTGTGTCCAGCGTGCCGGAAAGAATATCCAGAGAATCCGGCTGATTTTAAGCCGCTATCACAGGAAGAGGTGAGTTGGGATAAATAGACAATACTTCACCCATTTCATTCATTAACCCGATTTATTTTTGCATTTGCCCCTGTTAAAGATGATTGCCTTCAAGTCCCAGAAGCGACAAAGGGACCAACAACGAAAACAAAAGATCACCGAGAACCGAAAACACTTGGCCAACGTTCGTGTTGTCCAAAAGAACTTGGTGTTTGTTGTGGGCTTACCACCTCGACTTGCTGACGCAGACGTATGTAGACTTTTAATCAAAATTAACGAAAGACACACTCACGATTGACCTTTCAGATACTTAAAAAACACGAGTATTTTGGTAAATATGGGAAAATTCATAAAGTCGTTATAAATCCAAGTACCACGTATGCCGGGGTCCAGGTAAGAGTTGTAAGATTCAATTATTTATTACCTCTATACATTTATATGGCTTTTTGCCAATACCCGAGTTGCTCAGTCATTTTAGGTGGTTTCTATGAAAACATAAATAATGGCACGTTTTCAATGAAACTAAACAAATTTACAAGCACAAAAATTTGTTTTCAATTGAAATGAATTTGAACTTTTTGTTATTAGCTGCTCTGGTAAGCGAAAACTGTAAGAACTATCTTTTAAATACAAAATTAAAAAAAATTATTTCATATTATTAATTGTTTTTTTTTTATTATTTTAGGCAAAATTATGTGCGATTTGCAAAAATGTTTAAAATTTATTAATAAGGTCTAAAATTTTTTTCTGTTCCTGTCCTTATATATGCATCTAGCTAGTTGTTTCAAGAGTGGAACTCAGAATAAATATATTAATTGCTCAACTTGCTTTCCATAAAACTGCGAGGGTATCTTTGTTTTCGGTCTTCCGAATCCGACTGTATTATTTTTATTTTCTTATAAAACATTTTCGACTTAAAGGGTCCATCAGCTTCTGCCTATGTCACATATGTTAACAACTCGGATGCTTTGCGGGCCATTCAAAGCGTCAACAACATTATGATAGACGGGCGGCTCATAAAAACTAGCCTGGGGACAACAAAATACTGCAGCCATTTCATGAAGAACCAGCAGTGTCCCAAGGGCGACTGCATGTACTTACATGAACTGGGGGATCCCGAGGCCAGTTTCACGAAGGAGGTAACTACCAAAATCACCTTTTTAGCTGCATTTTCTAATGCATTTTTTTCTGTGTCTAAAGGAAATGCACCAGGGAAAACACCAGGAGTACGAGAAGCGCTTACACGATACTCTTATTGCTTCATTCGGACCGAATACAGCAGGTATTATAAATGGTAACGGAGCTTCTAAAGCAAATGGTAAATTTAGCCTAAATAAAAACTAAATGACTTAATAATGTCTATCCCCAATCAGCCGCTATTCCATCGTCATCGTCAGCGTCATCTTCGTCCTCAGGTTCGGGAACAAATGCTTCTAGTGCAGCCAATGCCCAGCAAAAAGAGGCCTGGCCGAGCCTTTCGGTATCGCCTATCAATGGCAGAGAGGCGACAGCAAGTTCGAACAATTCCAACGGGAAGAGTAAACGGGAGAAGCTGCGCAACGAGAAGAGACATGAAAAGAACAAATCGAAAAATAAAAACAGTGGCAACACAAACTCCAATGCCTCCAACAAGGAGAACTACGTTCCTGAATCACGAGGCAGCACAAGTACTGAGCCATTCGCAGAAACCACAGCGGATGCACCGGCGCCCACAAAAGCTGAACCGCAGCAAAGCTCTAGTAATCGAACACGTACCGATCGTGGAAAAGAACGGGTCACCAATAATGCGGCAAGTGCAAAGGAGCAAAAGAAGGGCAAGGAAACTGCTCCTGCTGCAAGCAAACAGGTTGAGCAAAGAGAGAGTACAATAATACAAAAGAAGGCGGAAGTAACCGAAAGCTGTGAAGATAATTTACCACAAAAGAGATTAGCGGGAACAAATGTTCAAAGATCTGTGAGCTCCTGTAGCGAAAATAGCGAAGGCCACGTCTCGGAGAGTAGCTTAAGTGAAAAGAGTTTACCTGGTGATTATACGGAAGAGAAGTGCAATAGTGTGAATTCAGAAAGCCACCCAGAAAGTGAAAAAAGTCCAGTGGAAGACGAAAAGAGCAATGAGGCTATTGTTGAGGCCGAACCGGTACTGGAAACATCAAAGTCCTGTGAGGACATAAGCACCGCAGAAGTGCCTAGTAATGGCAAAGATGAAAGTTCCTTACCTGAAGTTTCAGCTGAACCCTCGATTCTGGCGGAGAATGAAAGCAGATTGACTGGTATAGTGGCTTAACTATCTAATCTGTGTATTCTGAATTCTAAAAATTATAGTTACAGATGCGCTGTCTAAGCTCAATATTTTCGACGACACGCCCAGCTTCTTCACATCGCAAGCATTCCAGCAAGCCCCCGTAATAAAGAATAAGCTAGATTTGGAAATGCGACAGTCTCATTTACCAGACTTAGTCAACGGTAAGTGACATATTATTAATAAATGTGATAATCAACATTTTTATTGGGAAGTTATACTGAGTTTCTTTTTAATTTGAATAATTTTTATTTTTTTTAAATAAATTTTTCAATTTTTACTAAAAAATTTTAATAAAATAATCCTTTTCTAATTTTTTGGTGCTGCTGAAAATCGTAACACAAAATATCAACGGGCCCAGATATTGATGGAATCCAAAAGGCAACAAATACAAACGGTAATAATCTTTTTAATTTACTTAGTTCTAGAAAAATAAAAAAGGAATTTTACAGTAGCTGCTTTAATACTAAACATTGATCACAAAATATTTATCCTATTTTTTAAAAACAGAGTGGGAAGAAGCTTTCAAAAATGTGATGATACGAAACAATAGGCATGTGGAGGAACAACTACTTCAGCAGCAACATTTGCAACAGCAACAGCAGCATCATCATCAGCAAGTATTGCATCAACAGGAGGAGTTCCTTCGCATGCACGAATTACAAAAACGCAACAACTTTGCGGCTAATCTTTCACAAATGATCGGTCCTGCAAATGGTGAGTTTATTTAATTTTAATTATTTTCAATCTAATATAATATTTTTTTTGCTTGTGTCTTAAAAATGGATTGAAAACGTATAAAAATATTAACGATATTTTTCAGATTTTCTTAACCAATTCCAGCCCAATTCACTCGATATGAATAGAGCTCATGCACTCATACAGCAACAACTACTACAGCAGCAGACAGGAGAGAATCTGTTTGGAGGAAATATGTCGAAATTCTTTGATTTTCATAAAAGCCAGCAGCAGTCACACCATCAGTATCTTAATGGACACCCGCCTCAAATCAATGGAAATAATGCTGTGTCTGAGCCACAACGAGTGGCGGCCTTTTTGGAAAACAATCGACTGAATTCGCCCTTTGTCGAAAATGGTGAGTTCTTTATAACAAATAAAATGAATAATAGTCTTAAATGATTAAATTGGTTTTCTTCATTATCCCAGGACTTATTAATTCACAACAGCAGCCTCAAAAGCCGAGGATGATGGGAATGTTTGAAAATCTGGTATGTTATTGTTTTACTTTGGGGTAATGCCCATAATTTAGAAAAACAAACATTATATTAATTTTGCGTTTTTCAGCCTCCAAACACGCAATCTCAACAGAGTCGGTTCACCCAAAATTCAATAGTCGACGATGACTTAGGTGAGACGGTGTAATTATGAAACTTAAAAGCGTGTTCTTAACTATTTGTCCTGCTTAAAGGTTTCGACCCCTTTATTGAGACCCAAAAGGGACTTGCTGAACTTATGGAAAATGAAGTTGTTCAACAACAGAGTATTAACAATGAAAATCCCGGACCGAAGCTGCCGCCACAGCCTCAAATTCCCTCCCATCCACAACTGGTGGACAACATGCAGAGAGCTCGCATGCCACCGCCAGGCTTTAATCACATGAACACATTGGGCTTGGGCGGAGCATCAAGACTGCAGCACACCAGTAAAATGATGCCCTTCATGAACATGCCCGTCAACGGGGTGGGAAACAACGGCGCCCAAGGGCAGCATCAGGTACCGATGGGTCCCAACTGGAATGCTCATTTGGGCATGCACCAAAACCAAGGACAGCCCGTTGGCGAATCCCAAATGCAGCACCCAATGGCTCACAACAAGGGTAAGAAATTGCATTACCTCTAAGGTTAACATTCATATAATAACGGGAAAAATTTAATTTTCTTAAGCTGATTTTTTATGGGGTGGTTTATCGTATTTAGTCGACTAGTAAATTGAGATTAAAAATATGACTTAATAATCATAATGTTTTCCCAACAGTTTACAACAATAGTGATTGGACGTCAATGGATCCGGCTATACTTTCGTTTAGACAGTTTTCATCTTTCCCACAAAACCAAATTCCCCCCCATCCTCAACAACAGCAGGATATGTTTTTGCAGCATTTGGCTCAACAGCAAAATTCACAGAGTGGTAGGTTTGATAAATAGTGGATATATAGTCAGCCAATTAAATGAACTCTATTGTCTTTTCAGGTTTCAACAATCAGCCACAGCCACTGCTTCCTATGGGGATTCCCAAATAATTTGCTGAATGGACAACAGTCGCAGCCGCCACAGGTTAATGCCAATGTTCAGGGCATGCTTGAGTTTTTAAAAAGCCGTCAATTCGTTTAGCTACAATACATATAAATATTACATTTGTTTACCTGTACTCTTTATTAAATATTTCTTAAAGTAAATATAGGCAAAATAAAATTCGAATATAATGAAAATATGATACAAAAGACGGTCCAGTGAAATTTGGCATACTAAAGTGCATTCGTGGAGGCACTCAAGAGAGCCGCGTGTCCTCATGAATGAATATAATAACCCTATTCGGGGTTTAATCTGCTCGGTAGTAATGCAACTCATAGTGATTTTACTAACTTTTAGACCAACTCATTCCAATTGCTTGCTGGATAAAAGACAGATACCATGGCAATAAGTAGCAAAGAAAACCTCTTGATGTGAAATTATCGAGACTGTATTAAATGTCAACTTTTAAATAATAAATACGTGACTTTGAATAGTTGAAAAGAAATTTATTACTAGTGCGGTCTAAACAACTATTTTCTATTTTTGGCAGCGTGGGGCAGGCGATTCCCTTGACCACCAGTTCCTCCCAGACGCATCGCATTATTACCAGGACCTCCGTATCCCTGGCCAGGACGATTGCCGACATTGTTTCGGTTGCCACCGGCACGTCCGCCGCGTTGATTTTGCGAAGAGTTGCCGCCGCGATTTTTGTTCATTTCTGTGCGATTTCTCGACTTGGCTTGCGCATCTTCTTTCACCATGTCGATCACCTCATCGGGAATTCGAAGATATTTAATTGTACTTCCACGGATATAGCATTCCGGCATACGCCAAAAGCGGTCTCCATCCTGAAAGAATAAAATAGATCAAATTTAATCACTTTGCATTTAACAAATATCATTGTTGTTTTACACCCGTTTTACCATGTTTTGGACACCGGCTTTTTTCCCGATTGTTATCTTACCTTTGAGGTGCAAATTACATCGCGCAGATTTATATTCATCCAGGAGTCGCAACTAACCAAGTGACCATTGTATGTTTCTCCATTTTTTAGCTCTACTAACTAAATATAAACAAAATCGTATAGTGGTCGCATAGTTTAAATTACATTTAAAGGAGTGATATCTTACCATAGGATGGCTCTGCGCCGTTTTTAAAAGCGACAGTGGTAGCTAAAAAGCATTTAAATTAAATATCTTTACTTTATTTAACATAAAAAATTGCTTACCATTTTGTTAAAATAATCGATTATTACTGCGATAGGAATTTGGTAGACGTAATCGAAAGACTATCGCTCCATTGGAATGAAACGATGTTAGAGCAAAAAATGAGATGTTCTGATTAATGGTCTGTTTGAATTCCGCCCTGTTCTTGGATTTCAAATATTGCATAAGTAACCTTCTCCAGAAAAAACTGCCCAAAACAAACTTTTTCGAGCCTATTAAAGAACTCTTACTGTCCTTTTAACCGAAACTAATTATTTTCTGAGACTTTTACTTCCAAACTACTAATTCGGTTATAATTATTTTATTAAAAATGTGAACTAATATAGATTATATTTATTATTAATTAGTTGACGACAAAATGTATAAATTATTTTAAAGCTGCCCGGCTTTGCAATGACTGCAATTCATTTAGTAAAATTGCAATATTATAGCGCACTTGTTGAAACATAGATAGTGGTAATTCAAGAGTTCGATATTGCCTATTTTGGAGTTTGAAGTGGAGGACTATTGTAGGTTTATCTATTTGCACGGTACTAAAAATATAAATTTGTTAATATATAAATACATCTGTACATATGAGGTAATTTGACTTCACGTTCTTACTTTAAAGATAAGGAAATATTAATTCTCCATTGCATCTTTGACATTTTTACGCGATCCATCTTAGTTTCTGAAAAGTTCTTGCTTAGTATGTCTCGGTGGTTTAATAAAACTTTGCAAATATCATCAACGTATTCTTCTGAAAAACTGATAACACGCATTTAAATTGCGCACGTACATAAAAACATATATACATTAAATACTTACTTTAAATCGTCCATTAAGCATTTTCGCAACTCATGATGTTTTACGACGCCTTTTGGATATCTTAGAAAAATTTGCATCATCAAGAATATCATTGTAAAGAGTTCACAAAAGTTTGACGGAATTTTATGTCCAGCATTTTTTAGTTTGTTAAGTGCAAGAGAAAGCACTTCGGAAGAAGACTTTTTTGTTTCAATATAATGCACCGATACTTGAATAAGGACTCTTAGCGTAGATTTAGTCAATTGCGGAGTAAATGAAGTGTATGGCTTAACAGTCCTCAGGAGATTATATCTAAACGAAGACGACATGATTGCAATTCATAGTTTTGTTTTGTTGTCAAAACGTAAACAAGATAGAGATTAAACGATTTCGATAAATTTTGTATGTAGGTATCGGTAATCATCGTACTAGTTTTAAAAATTGTATTTTTTGGAACCACGCCTACAATATTAGAAGTAATAATACAAAATATAATTGTTAAATAGTGTAAAGTTAAATAGGAAACATTTTATGTGCATTTATAAAAAATGTTAGTTTATTTTATTAAATTACATTATAGTTAATTCAATTAATAAATAAAGCTAATTTAAAGTTTTCAGTGCGCTAAAAGGACTATTTTTTTATTTTCTATATTATAGAATCTATATAAATTCAATATTTTTATTCTTCATTAGACATTTTGATAGCTTTATTTTATTAAAAATAATGAGTAAGCTTATTCCATTATTAAAATTGTAAGCGCTAATTTGGCTTGTTAACCAATTTGCTAAACCTTGAATTTCTTTAGCTTTTTAATTTCGTATTAATTGGTTTATTTCTGGATGTAGGGTGTAGGTTATACAAACTTTTCAGCTTTGTGCTGCACAAACTATGGACCAATTGAAGTTATAATAGGCAATTACCACAGCAATTCACGCTGTCAATCAAATAAAATCACCTACTATAAATGGTATATAATGCCAAGCAGGATATAAAATCGTAAAATGAATCTCTCAATCTGTTTGTTTATCATAGTACTCGCTGCAGGTGAGGTAATCCTGGATATGGAAATATCCGTTTTAACTAACTTTGTTGTTAGCTTGGTCAAAACCAAGCAAGCAATAGTGTTTTCATGTTCGTTCAAAGGTAGGAAATAGTTTTTAAAAAATTTAATTTATTTATTATATATTAAAAAACTGTTAGACTTTGAAAAGGCAACAATGGCATTAATGGAAAAAAATCAATTTGTGAGTGTTGTATATCTGAATGATTCCTTTTCCCTCCCATCTATACTGTCAAGAGAAAATCACGCTCGAACTTCTATTTTGGTTAATGCTAGATGTGGCGGAACAGCTGAGCTTCTTTTTAAAGCCTCTGATAATAGATACTTTAACAAAACCTATCAATGGTTTCTCTGGGGTGTTGACCTCGATGTTCAATCATTATTTCCTTTAAAACTGAATTATGTTGGTCCAAACGCTCAGATCACTTATGTAAATAAAACCGAAGACGGTTATGCATACTGGGATGTCCATTCAAAGGGACGACATTTGAAATCACAGTTGGAAATAAAATTAATAGCAACTTTAATAAATGATTCATTAAACATAGTTTGCGATATTTTTTATTTACAAAGTATAAGTTTTCGTGGACAATTTAACGGATTAACTCTTAGAGGAGCAAGCGTTGTAAGTTACTTATATAATAATTTTACCATAATGTTAAAATTAATTTCCCTTCTTAGATCGACAGAGAGGATATAATTACAAATGAACAAATTGAATCTATTCTTTCGCGGCCCACAAAGGATTCTGGAGTGGCAGCTTTTATAAAATATCATTACGAACTTCTGGGACTTTTAAGAGAACGTTTCAATTTCACTGTTAATTTTCGCAATTCTAGAGGATGGGCTGGACGGTTGGGGAATACTACCTTTCGCCTTGGTCTTTTGGGAATAGTCATGCGCAACGAGGCAGATATTGCTGCATCTGGAGCATTCAATCGAATTAATCGATTTCGCAGAGTTTGATATAATTCATCAAAGCTGGAAATTTGAGACCGCGTTTTTATACCGTTATACCCCGGACTTGGACACACATGGAAAAAGTGGAAATTTTTTGTCACCATTCAGCGAAAAGAGTATGGTTATTCTGTCTGTTAACCCTAGCTGCTTTTAGCATAATATGGGTGCTATTTGAAATTATAGATTGCAAGGTTTTACACAGATCAAATTATTTTCAAAAACAAGAAAGTGTAACTCAAAAAATTAAAGATTCACTTAAAGACATTGATGTTAATCTGTGCACTAAAACAACCTGCATCGAACGAATTTTACAGACTTTTGGAGCTTGTTGTCAACAGGGACTTGACCCAAATCCGAAAGATCGTTCTGTTCGTTTCCTTGTTATGACCTTATTTTTGTTCTCTCTCGTAATGTACAACTATTATACATCTTCTGTGGTTGGGGGATTGCTAAGTTCTTCAGATCAAGGTCCAGCTTCAGTTGATGAGATAACATCGAGTCCCTTGAAAATATCCTTTGAAGATATTGGTTACTACAAAGTCTTATTCCGAGTAAGTAATTTAAAAAGTAATGTTTGAATATTTAAATAATTGACTCTACTTTGTTCAAAAGGAAAGTCAAAATCAATCCATTACAAGATTAATAGAGAAAAAACTTTCCTCTACAAGAAGTTCAAATGAATTGGCCATCTTCAGCCACATTGAAGAAGCTGTTCCATATCTTAAATCTGGTGGTTTCGCATTTCACTGTGAAGTTGTTGACGCCTATCCGGTAATTGCCGAATTTTTCGATGCTAATGAAATCTGTGATCTACGCGAGGTCTCTGGTCTAATGGAAGTCGAAATTATGAACTGGATATTACACAAAAACAGCCAGTACACTGAAATTTTTCGAACAGCGTAAGAAACCAATAATAATATTATTATCTGCCCAGTACAGTCACACTAAAACTGAGTATTCACACTTTGAATTAACTTAAATATAGTCTTTTCTATTGAGATTTAAAAAAAGTTAATTGCGTACAATCAGTTTTGGAATTTTGATATGTTTGAGATAAACAAGAAATTTGATAATATAAATGATATGATATTAAAAAAATTTTCAGCATGTGTAATGCCCAAGAGAAAGGCTTTGTGGAACGTATTCTTCGGCGCCGACAAATTAAAAAGCCCGCCTGTCAGTCATTATACACAGTTTATCCTGTAAGCTTGTCAGGAGTGCTACCAGCATTTATTACCTTGATTTGTAAGCATTTTCATGGATTTTTCAACTTGTAGTGTAGTTTTTACTAAATTTTGTATATCATAGGTGGATTTATAATTTCTCTAATACTTTTGTGTATGGAAAAAGTTTATGCATACTTTGATGTAGCAAAATTGTGGGTGTTTTAAAAAGCGTACTTATGAAAAATTACTTTTTAAATTATTTTTTAAAAGTTTTATAATAAATCTATTGTAATTCAATAATGTTTCCCAATGGTGACCCATTCCACGCGTTCCAGACATGTCAAAAAATCTTATAAGGAATAAATGGAAAACTCCTAATGCAACTCTGTTCTCATTTTTTCCACTTCCTGTCACGCTGTATGTGTGTTCTTTCTTTCCTTTGATTCTGTTGCCGAAGCAAGGTAAGTTTTTCCTGTTGCTAAATGTTAAGTATCGTTTAAGTGAAATAAAACTCGTTAAAACGAAGTTAAAGTGGTCTTTTACACTTGTAAGCTGTTATGAGTGCATTACATGACTCTTTTATTGGAAAAAATTAAAATAATTGCAGTGCACATGTAACCTTAACGAGCAATTTCATATTGCTGTAAATACAAGTGAAAAAAAAAAATATTGTGAAAATTATATTTATAAATTAAGGTAAGTGAATTATGGCGTGATTAGTTTTCTGGATGGCCAAAAGAGCTTCCCCAGGAAACATATTTCGCACACTCTCTTCTTCCACATGTTATTAAACAATTGAATATATTTCAGCACTGGTCTCCAGAATTAACAAGTAATCATGCCGCAGAATGAGTATATGGAACGCCACCGCAAACTGTATGGCAGGCGGTTGGATTATGAGGAGCGGAAACGCAAGAAGGAAGCCCGTCTTCCCAAGGACCGAGCACGCAAGGCTCGCAAGTTACGCGGTATTAAGGCAAAACTCTTTAACAAGGAGCGACGCAATGAAAAGATTCAGATCAAGAAAAAGATCCAAGCCCACGAGGAGAAGAAGGTCAAGAAGCAGGAGGAGAAGGTTGAAGATGGAGCCCTGCCACATTATCTACTCGACAGAGGCATACAGTCCAGCGCCAAGGTTCTGTCCAATATGATTAAGCAGAAGCGAAAGGAGAAGGCAGGAAAGTGGGACGTACCCATTCCCAAAGTGCGCGCACAATCTGATGCAGAGGTATTCAAAGTCCTAAAGACCGGCAAGACGAAACGAAAGGCATGGAAGCGCATGGTAACTAAAGTTACCTTCGTCGGCGAGAACTTCACTCGCAAACCACCAAAGTTCGAACGTTTTATTCGACCAATGGGCCTGCGTATGAAAAAGGCCCATGTAACGCATCCAGAATTGAAAGCCACCTTCAATCTGCCAATCATCGGCGTCAAGAAAAACCCCAGCTCGCCTATGTTTACATCTTTGGGTGTAATCACAAAGGGTACAGTGATCGAAGTCAACATTTCAGAACTTGGATTAGTAACACAAACAGGAAAAGTTGTGTGGGGAAAATACGCACAGGTCACGAACAATCCAGAGAACGATGGTGTTATTAATGCAGTGCTGCTTGTCTAACCAACAATTTTTTCTACGTACTTTAAGAGTTTGCTTTAATAAACAAACATATACAAATTACTTTGTTTGATTTTCTTAGATTTATTATAATATAAGCTTTACCTTTGTCTTTTACATTTTTCTATACCTACGTATTCTTATTTCTTGCAGTTTGGTGACTGGAACACAAGATGCAGATCTTCGTTAAGACCCTCACGGGCAAGACCATCACTCTTGAGGTCGAACCTTCGGATACTATCGAAAATGTCAAAGCCAAGATTCAGGACAAAGAAGGAATTCCTCCAGATCAGCAGCGTCTGATCTTCGCTGGCAAGCAGCTGGAAGATGGCCGCACCCTCTCTGACTATAATATTCAGAAAGAGTCCACTTTGCACTTGGTGCTGCGTCTGCGTGGTGGTGCCAAGAAGCGCAAGAAGAAGAACTACTCCACCCCCAAGAAAATCAAGCACAAGAGGAAGAAGGTCAAGCTAGCTGTCCTGAAATACTACAAGGTACACACAACAATCTACCAACATCCGAAAACATTCTGATCTGTTCTTGGAATTCTTGAGTCTTGGTCTTGTGCTCTTTGGCTTAAGATTTGGATATCAGAGTGACTTCACCAGTGTCATGTATGACCTTAACAATTAATATATTCATGTGTTTCTCTACAGGTTGACGAGAACGGCAAGATCCACCGTCTCCGTCGTGAGTGCCCTGGTGAGAACTGCGGCGCTGGCGTCTTCATGGCTGCCCACGAAGATCGTCATTACTGCGGCAAGTGCAACTTGACATTTGTCTTCAGCAAACCAGAGGAAAAGTAATTCTGCTACATAACATGTACGTTTCCAGAAATCAAATAAAGGTAGTTATTGAATAAAAATTCAATTACAAAATGCATTCGGCTTTTTCATTTAATGGATTAAAATCAATCTTTTTGCCGTTGAAGAATAAATAGGCATTGGCAAGAGACTTTCGTCGGGTTTTTAAAATTTTCAAATCAATATATCATTCAGATGTATAGTTTATTGTGAAAATATTGAATACATTGTTAAAGCAATTTATTCTCGGACTTTGAGAAATGCAGTTTTTTAAATGCTTTACAACTTAAACATTGACTGTGTCAACATTTAGGCTCTTTAACAAAAATGTAAGAATGTCGGTGGCTTCCTCGATTCTCTTTGACGTTGGCTTGCCGGCTCCATGACCTGCCTTTTGATAAACCCGCAACAGAACCGGGTTGTTTTGGAAATTGGAATCGCGCACAGCTTCTTGAAGGGCCGCAATGAATTTCAGCGAATGTAAAGGACTGACACGATCATCATGATCGGCCGTCAGTATCAATGTAGATGGGTATTCTGTTTCGGCACCCTTCGGAGTGTGCACATTGTGCAGCGGAGAGTACTTGTACAGATTATCAAAGTGCTCCTTCTCCGATGGATTACCGTAGTCGGAGCACCAAGCATGGCCAATAGTGAATTTATGGAAGCGCAACATATCCATTACTCTGTGGAAAATATTTTTTTAATAATATACGATTTTCTGTTAGATAACGTAAATATACTAACCCAACTTGTGCCACAGCAGCTCCAAACAAATCCGGACGTTGGTTAATACAAGAGCCGACCAGAAGTCCACCATTGGAACCCCCTTGAATTGCCAATCGATCCTTAGTTGTGTACTTATTGTCGATCAAATACTCTGCCGCTGCTTGGAAGTCGTCAAAAACGTTCTGCTTGTTCAACAAACGACCACCATTGTGCCATTTCTCACCATATTCACCACCACCTCGCAGATTCGGGTATGCGAGCACACCATCAAAAGTGTCAATGAACATAAGTCTTTAGAGATTGTAGGATTAAATCAAAAGCATTTCGAACTGTACAGGAAAGTACATACCCTGAAAGTCCAAAGGATGGCAGCATACTGATGTTAAAACCTCCGTACCCGTAGAGAAGACACGGGCGTGGCTCAATGCTATCACGTTTTTTCCTAATTATAAACATCGGTACCTTTGTACCATCTTTGCTCTTATAGAAAATCTGTTCAACGGCGTAGTCTTCCCGACGAAAACCTTCCAAATTCAATTTAATTTCGCGAAATACAGTAGGCGAATGGTCAGGTGTCTTAAAATCATATTGATATATGGAGCCGGGGTTCAAAAACGATGAGAAGTTGTAGAAAATTTCGGAAAATTTCTTCTCTCCGGAGGTTCCCACAATGGTACCGATATCCAAGTCAAATTCCCTCAGTAGTTTTCCATCATTTAAGGAATTGACTTGCAAGACGCTCTAAATAGGTCGATGCAACAGAGTAAAGACTAAAGAAAGAGAGACACGATTTAATTTACTTACCTTCACGTCCCTTATGTAGCAAACAAGCAATTTATCAGCATCAACACATTTAACCCAGTCCAAAACATCCAAATTGTGTTCCTATATAATGTAAAAATGTTGTGACTTATCTTATCTGCGACTAAAAGCAAATTAATCATACAGGTATAAGCGTTTCCCATTTGTCCTCTTCTGGATTATTGAAGTCTATGGCAATAACTTGATAATTTGGTGCATTTTTGTTTGTACGGAAGAATACTTTTGAACCTTCGTTCGTGATATACTGGAATAATAAGTCATATATATGTTACTTAAAGTATGTTACTTAACAGAAACACCAGCTTACATCATAGTCTGCCTCAAATTTTTCGACTATTTTCTTGACAGCCAGTTTTGAGTTTATTTCCTGGCCTGGCGTAAGATCAGCATAGAACACTATATTGTCTCGGCAATCCTTAACAATAGCCAAAATCAAGTATTTTCCACAATCTGAGACTGTAGATTGTCTAAAAATGAATAATTAGTATAACCATTTTAATTCAAATTTTAGAATATCTTACATGCGCCATGAAGGTTCTTCGGGAAACTCGACCACAAGAGTATCCTTATCTTGACTTTCTCCCACCCGATGATAGTACAATTTCTGATTCTCGTTTTGTTTAGTCTCAGAACCATCAGTTTTTCCATCTTGATCGGGGTATCTCTGAATATACATTTAAATTTAAAATTGGACTGCTAAAGAAACTTTTCAAAACCTACACCGTAAAAGAATCCCTTATTGTCTTTTGTCCATGATATTTCAGAGAACTTAACCTTTTCGAGGACTTCGCTTAAATCTTTACCAGTCTCTGCATCTCTAATGAGAATCTTGATCCAATCGGAACCACTTTCACTCAGTCCATAGGCCATATATTTGCCATCTTCCGAAAAGGCCTTCTGAGTTAGGGCAATCGTACCGTCCTCCGATAAAGTGTTCGGATCGAGAAAAACTTTACTTTCACGTTCATCGCCTAGCGTTTTTTGCTGATACATAACACTTTGATTTTGCAAGCCGGTGTTCATAAAATAATAATAATAGTTGCCATATCGCATCGGGCATCCGTATTTGGGATAGTTCCAAAGCTTCGTAAGCTTGGAGTTAAGTTTCTTCCACTCGTCACCATTTTCAAGGAATGGCCGGCTTATGTTATTCTGGGCGTTGACAAATTCCTCAGTTTCCGTAGAGTCTGGATCTTCTAGCCAACGATACACATCCTTTATTGGGGTTCCATGGAAATCCTCCTCCACAGTTGCATCTTGTCGCGCAACTGGATAGGTGAGCTTTTTGGACAAAGTGCTTGACATGGCTCTAGTATCTATCAAAATTTATACACGTTTATATACAATAATTATTTCTTTATTAAGCACACGTAATCGGAATGCATAGCATACATATTTAAAATAGTACTTACAATTCAAAGGCAAGTCTCGATGAATGTAATTCCTTGATAGAGCTTTGGGTACAATTATTCGGCAAAATTGGCGAATTAGCAATGGACCTCGAAAAACGGTATGCATTTGCAAAATTATCAATGCAAAAATGTAAATCTAATTTTCGTCTGTCTCGATAATTATTAGGGGTACTCCAATAATTTCTCATATTATCGGTTTTGCTTAATATTTTTGTAAATACATGTATGATAATATTAATAATAATGGTAATATTTCTGTCAAAGTAAAACCTATTACATTTTTTCTTTAAAAGTCTAAAGATTTTTAATATTCTGAATTGATGGAAACATCGCTTTCCCTTGTAGTTTCAATGATATTCAAACTAAGATATGCGTTTATAGAATTACATAGCTTGAATCTATTTATGGTCTAAAAATAGAAACGCAACACCCTCTTCCCTTTGAATCTATTTATTTTTTATATCGTAAAATATGGAGTTTGGAATTTTAAGCCCAGAATTTTGTACCAAACGTTATTTGGCAACTTAGCTATTTAAATTTATCAATTTACTTTTAAGTTCGTATTTTATAATCATATTATTTAACTACAAGTGACTCGACAAATTTAGTTATGTTCTGAGAACTTTAAAATTAAAAACATCCATCGATAATACTATTAAATGTAATTAGCATGATTTTGGTAGAATCCCCTTTCGAAAATATCGAAAATGTCAGGTGTAAATAGACAACTGTGGCTCAAAATTAATCGGTCCGTGAACAGATTACCTCTGTTAGACCATATGTTTTGTTAATCGAGTTGAGTTGAAATATAAACACAACCGAGCAGATCTGTCCGTGATCCATGAATTGAGTCTGAAGTAGAAGCTCTTATTATTTAATTTAATTTTTTTAAAACAAGGAAGTGCTTTATTTGTTCGGTACGCAGCTAAGTTTTTATCTTTTGGTCCATCAATTATATGGGTAACACTGATTTTTTCCATATTTAATTTCCATATGTATGTTTTTTTGGTAAGCAACTTGTAGGTAAAAATGTATGTACATACATGTATGATCACATAAACAAATATTGTCCATTTGAATGTATTAAGTAAACTGACTTGTTATTATGTTATTATAAATTAAAATGTCATATTTATGGCTTATTATGCATGTAGGCGCCATTATGATATTGGAATATGTACATATAAATTAGCGTTTATTTTAAAGGGTTTACTATTACATTTGTTTCCTTTTAGCTGAATTGACATTTCTGGTAGAAGTGACCTTGCAAAAAATATTTTTTCGGGCTTATGACAAGTTTTGTTTCTTAGACCCAGCCTTCTAGAAGATATCCGACATACATATGTGAATTAATCAAAATACGGTTTTAAATTATTATAATTTTTAGATTTAACGGAATAATGATTTCCGAAGTGGATCTTGTAAATAAGGACAGTGCAGTTCGGGTTGCTGTCAGGTATGAAAAATATTAAAATTTGGTACCAATTTTTTTCTTCAAATTTTTAAAAATTTTAAAATTAAAATTTGTTTTTATTAGAATTCGACCTCAAAACTCTAGAGAGCTCATAGATATGTGTCGTATTTGTACGACAGTTAACTGTTGGAGAGCCTCAGATTTTTCTTGGATCGGACAAAGCATTTACTTTTGACTATGTCTTTGATACTAATTCCAATCAGGTAAAGTTTCCGATCTTAATTTGTATTTAAATTTAATTTACCACAATTTTTAGTGTGATATTTACTCGGAATGCGTTGAAAGATTGGTGGATAATACGCTGCATGGCTATAATGCCACTGTGTTAGCTTACGGACAAACAGGATCTGGGAAGACGTATACAATGGGCACTGGTTTCGAACATGACTCCGAATCATCCGAGTCTGTTTTACTTGGAATTATTCCACGGGCTGTCCAATCATATTTTTAGTGGTATCGAACAGTTGGAAGCTTCAAGCTCTTCGGAACTCCCAGCATCTGGTGGAAGTCCACAGTTTAGTCTAGCTGTTCAATATATCGAATTATATAACGAAGAAATCGTTGATCTACTAGACCCTTTCAACAAAAATACCAACTTTAAGATACATGAAGACAGCAGCGGGCAAATAACTATTTCTGGCGCATCAATAAAGCCAATTATACAACCTTTAGATGCCTTAAAGTAAGTTGAACCGTAGAAATTAGAAAACTGTCATCAAAGACGATTCATTTAATATAATTGATTTTTTTAGGTACCTTCAACAAGGAGCACTAGCTCGCACGACTGCTTCAACAAAAATGAACGATCAGTCGTCTCGATCACATGCTTTGTTTACAATTTTCGTTCGCAGACAGCGTTTACTTGCACCAAATGACAATGTTTCGGATAACGACTTGGAAACCCTGACATCCAAATTCCATTTTGTTGACTTAGCTGGTTCCGAAAGGCTCAAAAGAACCCAGGCCACCGGCGAACGGGCTCGCGAAGGTATATCCATTAATAGCGGGTTACTTGCATTGGGTAATTGTATTTCAGCGCTCGGTGATAAATCTAGGAGAGCTATGCACGTCCCTTACCGAGTCTCTAAGCTTACCCGTCTTCTCCAGGATTCGTTGGGTGGCAATAGCCAGACCTTAATGATTGCCTGCGTGTCGCCAAGCGATCGAGATTTTATGGAAACATTGAATACCCTGAAGTATGCAAACCGAGCACGGAACATTAAAAACAAAGTTAAGATTAACCAAGATCAGAGTTCTCGGACAATTTCCCAACTGCGTAGAGAAATTGCAGCATTGCAACTGGAGTTATTAGAATACAAACAGGTATTATCGACATTTTGTTAAATATTTAAAAAATTTGGTCATTCAAAGCATTATTTTCTTTTTAGGGTAAGCTTGTTGTAGATTGCGAAGGAAATACCGCCATCTCCGATACATTTAATGAGAATAAATTGCTTATGTCGGATAATAAAAGACTACAGCAACGCCTCAAAACGTTACAAAGCACGATTACTACTTTGACGGAGAGAAACGTGTATCTGAACACAAAATTTGATTCTAATAAATTGAATAGTAAGGAATGCTCTGATGACGAAATAACGAAAGTAATTGGCCAATATATGATGGAAATCGAACAACTTCAGACCAAACTTATAGAGTCCGAAGAATATCGAAAACAAATGGAAGCCAAAGTCGCATTTTTATCTAGAAACACTAAACCTGTTTATGACGGTAAATATTTTATATTTTTTTAAATATATTATTCCCTAACATAATTACATTCGAAATTTGTATATACAAAAAAAGTTGACCTGGTAGAAAAAGCTAAAAAAGATTTAGAAAGGGAAAGGGAGCTTCTGATGTCGCGATCTTTGCCAGGAACTCAAAATCAAAACGTCAGCGTTGAAGAACCTGAAGCTGGCAGTAGCGATTCCGAAGGTAAGAAAACATTAAAAATGGTTGAGTATTTATTAGTAAAAGGGGTTCAAAAAGTAAGGTGACCTTCAAATTTCGCGAATTTCAAATTTTCGATTATCGATTTTTTTGAAATTTGAAGAGTCACCTTACTTTTTGAACACACCTCGTACAAATGCATGTAAATGTATTTACAGGAGAGGGAGAAGTGGACAATTTGGAAACCATCGAAAACGATATAGAAATGAGAACCAAACTTATTAAGCAACTGGAGTTAACCAATGAAAGATGCGTTCTTATGCAAAGGTACTACGAGGACCAACTTAATATTTTGAAAAACAAAATCGGGAACACTCAAAAAGAACGAGACGATGTTTTGGCTAATATGGGTAAGCAAGAAAAACGAAAGGTATAATTTTTTAATGCTTAGAAATTTGTTTTTTTTAGCATCATCATTATCAACAAAGTCAAACGATAGCTTAGCAGAAGTTAAGTTAGAATTTGAAGCAAAGATAAGCAGCATGAAAATCCAGGTAAAGAAACTGCAAAACGCCCAAAGAGAACATATTCGACAACAGCAAAAAACCAAGTCTAATGAAATAAGAATAAGTAAAATGCGAGATGAGCTGATAGGTTTAAAAAACACAAAAGTAAGACAATAATTTTAGTTCTGTAAAAGAATTCTATAGAATTTGTTTTTTTTTTGTAGGTTAAATTAATGAATAAAATCACACAGCAATCAAACCTCCACAAAGAAGAAGACAGTCGAAAATCCAAGGAAATTGCTCAGCTACTGAAAGAACAGCGCCGTCAGAAAAATGCTGTAATATCTTTGGAAGCCAAAATAAATGCGAAAGAACAAATTTTGAAAAGAAAAACAGAGGAAGTTATTGCCCTTCGCAAAAGTCAAAGAGGAAAGTCCGGACAACGAGCACCTCCTCATTTAACTTCAAAAATTACCACATTAGATGGTTTCACATCCCGATCTGCACGACATCGTTGGGAAAATTTGTACCGCACAATATTACACGCAGCCAGAAACAGGCAACTTATCACGCAATTGGAAAAGGAGTTGGAACGGTTAATATTGGAGCGTGAAGATCTCTCCCGTGAACTGATTATAGCGCAAAATAATTCAGGTGCCGAAAAGCGGACGGAAGACTTCAATGAAGTGGACAATCTAAAAACAAACATAAGTTATATTCAGGAAAATATAGAGCATGTGCAGCAGGCTATAATGGAATTTGAAGACACAAAAGACACTGTACAGAGTGATGTTAATAAGATTCAGAGTGTTTTGGACGAAGTTGCAACTGTGGCGGAAGCCAAATTCATTCTACAGAAGTTTACCGACAGTTCCATTGTGATGTCTTGCAATTTGGCCATCGCCGAATCCCATTTACAAGAGAACGAGTCGCTATTAAAAGAAGCTAAGCAAGAAAGTAGCATCCAACAGCAAATATTACAACATTTCCTATCGCAAAACAGCAATGTACATATAGCCGACATATTTGATTCATTGAATCTCAAAAGCAGTAACCTTATAAGGAGTGTATGTCGCGGTTCTCAAAAGTCGTTGCTAAGCAATGCCACCTATGACATCCCACAAGACGATACGTTTTCAGAATCTACTCATGTGGAAATGCGGATGGCTAAGAGTAGGAGTCCTTCACCATTTGGAAATGCAGACCCGTAAGTTAAAACAGAGTACCATATAAAAAATAAATAAAATAAATAAATATTGTTCCTTATTAGTTTTGATAAGAGCCCCAAAGTGCGGAGACGGACTGCCAAACGACAAGATCTTCTTTTTGGGGATACTGAAATTCCAGAACAGGTAAAAGCATCTTATTTTTAATTAAAAGTTGTCTTTTGATGCAAAAATATGATTTCATCCAACAGACTATAAATAAAATGACGTGATTTAAAGATGAGGTCATATAAAAAAGCCACGATTGGAATTATAATATAGATTTATAACCTCCGGCGAACAAATATTTAAAAGACAGGGTCTTTTTAGAAGGTAACAATATATTTATTTTGTCTACGTGTGTATTTTAACGATATTTGTTAACTTCTAGTTGTAAAATTAGACTCCCAAATTAAAAAAAAATTTGGTAAAAATGAGTCGAGTTTTCTAGAAAATGAAGTAAGGAGCTTGTGGAATTGATGTCTTCCCAAACATAAAAAAAATTATAGAAAATATAATAATAATAATGTAATAATAAAATATAATCATAATCATATATTTATAAATTATTTTATTAGACTAATCAATAAAAATTCAACTTCCTAAAATGTAAAAAACGCTGTACTGTTTTACACAATTTTAAAATACCTATTGTCGGAGAAAGCATGTCAAGTAACTGATAGTGGCGTCACTGCCCATGTGAGGCCTTATAACCTAAATTTCTTCATAAGTAGCGAAATAATGTTCCGATTTGAAAAATCTATGGTAAATCGATAGATATGAACAGAAATAAGTTATACAACGTCAAACGAAGGCATTCATAATATTATTATAGACGCCACACTGTTCCGCGGTTCGTAGGCGTTAGAGTGGGCGTGGCCGGATAAAAACTCGTAGGAAGTTGCAGTGGCAATCCTAAAATACGTATTCTTAGGCCTAACTTTCTAGCTCTTTTTGGTTTTTCGGGTTTTGTACGCGTTAGGGTGGGCGTGGCTAGATGGAAAAAAACAATTCGTATTTGGGGCATCATAAAAATCTACATGTTTAATCCGAATTTTCTATCACTTATAGTTACCAAGATATAAGGTTTTCTTAAAAACGCGAAAACGGTCTTTTGAGCTTGGTGGACGTATGGGTGGGTGTGGCCAGATAGTACCACTAAAAGATGCTCTGGCATCCAAAGTTTATACATACTGAATTTCAACTTTCTAGCTCTAATAGTTCCCGAGATTTTAGCGATTAATGGGCGTTAGAGTGGGCGTGGCGGAATGCTGAAATAAACTTGCACCTCAAGAATCGTCATGCTTAATCTCAACTTTTACTCTACGAGTAACGGGTATAAACACTCGAGACTGGCGGAATAAGGCACTTACCTTACAAAAAATTAAAAAAAAATTTACAAAAAATTTAATGTTTATATTTTAATAAAATATTTTTATTAGAAAACATACTAAATTGGATACTTAATTGGGACAAAATAAAACGATTGATATTGCGAATATCCCTAACAACTTTCCTAGCAAGTTGTCTGCTATCTTGGCATTAATCGAACAATCGGTTTTTACCGGCATTTCTGCATCGACATTTGGCTTGTGTTTCCAGGTTCAATTGTTTGTTTTTAGCAATAACACACCTTTTCGTAATGACGGACACTACTGGACCGGCAGTACGCATGCCATGGTAATTTGTTAGTAGATTTTCAAGTTTTTCGAGTAAAATAAATTGATATCTTTAGGGTGGAGAAATATCGTCCAAATGGTCTAGATGATTTGATATCTCACGAGGAAATTATATCAACAAGTAGGTTTGGGTTTTCCGTCATATGATACCATCTTAATTGTCTTTCAAATGGTACTTACAGTAACCCGGTTCATAAGTCGCAAGCAACTGCCTCATTTACTGTTTTACGGTCCACCTGGTACAGGAAAAACAAGCACAATTTTGGCTTGTGCCCGTCAACTTTATTCCCCGCAGCAATTTAAATCCATGGTCTTGGAGCTGAATGCTTCGGATGACAGAGGAATTGGAATTGTGCGAGGTCAAATCCTTAACTTTGCCTCCACGCGAACCATATTCTGCGACACATTCAAACTGATTATTCTGGATGAGGCCGATGCCATGACCAACGATGCACAGAATGCTCTTCGCCGCATCATTGAGAAATACACGGACAACGTGCGGTTTTGTGTGATCTGCAATTATCTGAGTAAAATTATTCCGGCACTGCAGTCACGATGTACTCGCTTTCGATTCGCCCCACTGTCTCAGGATCAGATGATGCCCCGACTTGAAAAAATCATTGATGCCGAAGCGTAAGGTATTAAATCGCCAATAATTATTTTTTACTTTTTTTTTATATTTTTTTAGTGTTCAAATAACCGAAGATGGAAAGCGGGCCCTTCTAACACTTGCCAAAGGCGATATGAGAAAAGTTTTGAACGTTCTACAAAGTACCGTTATGGCCTTTGACAAGGTTAACGAGGATAATGTCTACATGTGCGTTGGGTATCCGTTGAGACAAGATATCGAAAAAATTTTAAAGGCCTTGCTATCTGGCAATAGCTTAGAGGACTCGTTTAAAAGTAAGATTGTATTCCGACAAGTAGATCTCATATAAATTTCTTATTTTTACGCAGCTGTCGAAAGTGCCAAGTATGCAAGGGGCCTTGCGTTGGAAGACATTATAACAGAGCTGCATTTATTTGTCATGAGACGTAAGTTTTTGACCATATCATTTTAATCTCAAGTTAATTATATATTCCAAACAGTTGAATTACCAATGTCCGTTATGAACCAGCTTATTGTCAAGCTGGCACTCATCGAAGAACGATTGGCCAAAGGATGCACAGAAGTTGCTCAAACGGCAGCCCTAGTGGCTGCCTTCTTTATTTGCCGTGACATGGTGTCAATGGAGAAGTAAAAAGGTTATTTTCGAACAATAGAGTAAAAATATTATTATAAATATTAACATATAAAAAACAACCATCTTTGTTTCCGTCTGTTGATACTTTTATATTTTTTCCCTGTGGACTGCGATGAAATGATGGCGTAGACTTCTTTTCGGTTGTTTCAGTTTTCAAACCTCACAAACGATTTTAAATAAATATGATTTACGATTTTAAATAATTATGAACTAAACTAAAACTTCATTGCTATCTCATGCAAGCAGGAGGCATTAGATGCAAAAGCTCTTAATCACAAATCAGCTTACATTTTTATACCCGTTACTCGTAGAGTAAGAGGGTATACTAAATTCGTTGAAAAGTATGTAATAGATAGAAGGAAGCGTTTCCGACCCTATCAAGTATATATATTCATGAGATTAACCATGACGATTCTTGAGATCCCGGGACAGCGCAAGTTTATTGCAGCATCCTGCCACGCCCACTCTAACGCCCACAAATCGCGAAAAACTAAAATCGCTGAAATATCGGGAACTATTAGAGCTAGAAAGTTGAAATTCAGTATGCAAAAACTTTGGGTGCCAGCGCATCTTTTAGTAGTACTATTATCTGGCCACACCCACCAAGCTCAAAATACGGTTTTCCCGTTTTTAAGAAAACCTTATATTTCGGTAACTATAAGTGATAGATAGATAGTAGAGTAAAAGGGTATACTAGATTCGTTGAAAAGTATGTAACAGATAGAAGGAAGCGTTTCCGACCCTATCAAGTATATATATTCTTGATCAGAATGAATAGCGAAGTCGATTGAGCCATGTCCGTCTGCCCGTCCGTCCGACCGTAAGAACGCTGAGATCTCAGGAACTATAGCAGATACAAAGTTGAGATTAACGATGAAGATTCTTGAGATCCCGGGACAGCGCAAGTTTATTACAGCATCCTGCCACGCCCACTCTAACCACAAATCGCGAAAAACTAAAATCGCTGAAATCTCGGGAACTATTAGAGCTAGAAAGTTGAAATTCAGTATGCAAAAACTTTGGGTGCCAGCGCATCTTTTAGTAGTACTATTATCTGGCCACACCCACCAAGCTCAAAATACGGTTTTCCCGTTTTTAAGAAAACCTTATATTTCGGTAACTATAAGTGATAGAAAGTTCGGATTAAACATGTAGATTTTTATACCAAATACGAACTGTTTTTTCCCTTTTAGCCACGCCCACTCTAACGCCTACAAGCCGCGGAACAATGTGGCGTCTATAATAATATTATGAATGCCTTCGTTTGACCTTGTGTAACTTATTTCTGTTAATATCTATCGATTTACCAAAGATTTTTCAAATCGAAACATTGTTTCTCTACTTATAAAGAAATTTAGGTTATAAGGCCTCACATGGGCAGTGACGTCACTATCAGTTACTTGACATGCTTTCTCCGACAATAGGTGGCGTTAGGGTAATTTCAACTAGCAAAATGAATATTTTAAAATTGTGTAAAACAGTAATGGGTATCTTATAGTCGCGGCACTCGACTATAGCGTTTACCCTTGTTTTAAAATAAATTAATAAAAAGCTTAATAAATTACTTAACATCATTAACAGGTTCATATGGTTGCTATATAGCAAATATTTTTATATTAATAATTTAACGATAAGGTCTTTATTTTGCCATGCACAAAAATTCATGGTTTTTTAAAAACAAACAATTATTAATTATTAATTAATTTAAGCCATTGGTGGAAACTTTCGATCTTCTCGAAGACATCGCGGTCCTTGTCACGGCACCATACATCATCTGGTTTTAGATTCAAGCGCTGCAAAGACTCGGGCGATTTGTCCTGGATGCGGGGGTCGTCCTCGTTAAACCGCAAGACTGTTGAACCGGTACACTTGCCCATGCATTTCCCGTGTTCAAAATCGTAGATAACCAGATAAAAATATGGTTCATCAAAACAGCGAAAATACTCTTTAAGCACTAGTAAAGAACTCGGATCTTCTGTCAAGATAGACTTTGACTGTGGAAAATCAGAAAACTCTTCGACTGAGTTAAGGTTTGGCGAGTTAGAAATTTCATTCAATGGCTCCCGCAGCGGAGAGACAGGGATCTCGATTAATGGCTCTGTTGGCAGCTTATCGATATTTTGTGGTGGGGTCTTGCTCGAGGAATTTGTGCTGGGAATCACTGTTATGATGCTGCACGCGGAACTGGTTTCGTAATCATCGTCGTCATCAGAGAAAACAGGTGCCTGGGTTTCGGGCAGGGAGGGTACGTCCGGGCCGACCTTTTGAATATAAAAAGAGGCATTCAAATGGCCCTCAGAGCCATTGATAGACTCATCCATATTACGGGTTGGACTCTTTGCAACCCTTAGCTCAACGTCTAGGCAGTCGGTGCACTTGAATTCGGTGGACTCGGTTCCCTTTTGCAAGCGCATGTTGCCAATCAAGCACTTGAAATGTACACCAGTCGAGGCGCATAATTTACAGGATAGAATCAGCCAACTGTTTTTATTATAAGTCCTACCGTTGGGACACAGGCATTGATCATGATCACATCGCACGATACGCTCGTAGAGCTCCCTGTATGCGTTTCGCTGCTTTTCCCACATTGCATCGCGATCCGGCACGAATATCGACTGCAGACGTATTAAATTCCGGAAATCCTTAGATCGACACCAAATGCAAAGCAGGTAATATCCAGAAGATAGGGCGTAGCGACGCATACAGGACTTATGGGCGAATCCTCGACGACAGCAATCTCCGTAGGCAATATTGTACAACTTAAATTGGCAGATTGATCGTAAGCAGATGTCACAAATGCGGTTTTTAGGCGGATTGGACACCAGTTGGAGTTTGTAGTCATCCATCGGGGTGCAGGAATCGCAGTAGCTCCAAAACTTGTGAATGAACTCAAAGGTGCATTGATTTTCAATACCACACTTTAAATGAAATATGGCCGAACATCTATGGCACTGGATACTAGCACCCATCTTCATGCAGTAGTAGCACTTCCTCTTCCTTGCGGCGGCTGCCTCAGCACGGATATCACGCAATAGAAAGCCCAGAATTCCACTAGAATCGCTGCCGCGCTGCGGTAAATTGGTCGAGAGAAGCTGTCGTAGTGGACCATATCAATAAATGTCCATTATTTGGCTATCTATCTACCGACGACTGAACGCACTTACCAGGCAATAATAGTGTACCCGAAGTTGTCTGACGACCATCATTTCGCCGTAGAGCACCTCATCGTTGTCTTTAAACCGACATATCTCACAATGTAGCTCCATTTGAAAACAGGCCGCTTTTAGGATAGAAATATAAGAGTGACCGAATACTTTTATTAACTTATTCTCAACCTGAACATGTTTTGATTTTAAAATCGTTTACTAGATAGTCCATTAAATTAAGACAAAATCGTATAAAAACATAATCGCTAAGGACAAATGCAACTCAAAAGTAGACAGATGGAATACGAAAATAATTTTAAAATAAAGCCAATATTTAAATTTGGATTTCATTTTTTTGTTATATACAATTTTTTAAAAATATATATTGTAAAATGAACTTTGCTGCTAAATAATAAAGTATATATAAAACAACAACAACAAAATAGATATTTTTTAATTGCACTTTGTTTTTGTTCCATTTTTATCGTTTCGTACGGTACCTAATATTGTCGGGGCTACCTAGACGAACTTTAAAAGAACAGAGTTTATATTAAACAAAATATCCCTGTTTCGCTAATTGATTGTGAATCACGTACCGTATCCTCATTCATATCACCAAGCTCAACCATTTTTTTTTGTTTTTGCAAACAATTGCTTGGAGAACGTTAAATTGGGCGTATCGGGCTGTTTTCACCTTAAATAACATGGCTGCCGAGATAAAACCAGCGCAGCGAACCAACAATGATCGCTTTAACACCTCCAAAAAGCCAGAATTGCTGAGTAAGCTGGAAGGGCAGCAGCGACGATGTGAACGCAGCAATTCTTATTCCTGGGGAAAACGGCGTAATTAGCGTTTCAGATGATAAGTGCGTACTTATCCCTCATATATATCCTTTTATACGCTTTACATGCTTATGTTTTTATTAAATAGGACCGTTCGGGTCTGGCTGAAACGCGACTCCGGACAATATTGGCCAAGTATTTGTCAATATATGCCTTCCGGCTGCACGGCCATCGAATATGTCCCGGAATCCCGACATTTGTACGTCGGCCAAGAGAACGGAACAGTAACTCAGTACGCTCTATCCGAAGACTGCAATCGCCTGTCCTTCTTGCGGGATTACTTGTCCCATCAAGCCAGAGTTGTGGCCGTAGTCTTTTCGAAAACCCACAAGTGGGTTCTTTCTGCCGGCAAAGATAAACAATTTGCCTATCATTGCACGGATAGTGGCAAACGAGTGGGCGGATACAATTTTGAGACTCCATGTACGGCACTCCAGTAAGTATGATAAATTATTGAGAGAAATGACAATGAAATAAAGATGTCATTTAATTTGATTAAGCTGCAGTTTCTTAAGACATTCTCACTTTCGTAATATGATTATTTAATATTCTCAACTTGAGGGCCTAAAGTATATAAAAACAACTAGTTTATGTCCTCGTTCTGTGTCTTAAAATTAATTATGACGATGAAAATATAATTTCTCAAATATGATCTTTTTATAGATTTGATGCATTAGCCAAGTACGCCTTTATTGGCGATCACGCTGGACAAATAACAATGTTACGATGTGATGTGCAAGGAGTTCAACTGATTACGACTTTCAAAGGACATTCAGGTAAGCATAACACAAAATAGATTTTATAAGTTTAATGTATAAACAATTTTACATATTTTAGCGGAAATCCGTTGCTTGAAATGGGTCGAAGGCCCCCAACTCTTATTTAGCGGCGCCTGCGATCAGTCCGTCATAGTTTGGGATGTCGGTGGCAAACGTGGGACTATTTACGAGCTGCAGGGACATAGGTAGCTGACTACAAATAATATATAAAAATGTTATGACTTATCTGAACTTCTGTTCATGCAGCAACAAAGTTTCTGCCCTGGCCTATGCAAATCAAACCCAACAACTGATAAGCTGCGGCGAAGACTCGGTAGTGGTTTTCTGGGAAATGAATGCAATGCGGAAAGAAGTTCCTGGCTGGGTTGAGTCCAACAACTGCCAGCTTTGCTCCAGGCCCTTCTTTTGGAACTTCCGTTCCATGATGGATCAAAAGCAGCTAGGTTATGCACATTTTAAATTAGGAAGTGTCTGCATGTCTTAACATACACTTCCTTTACAGGAATCCGACAGCATCATTGTCGCCACTGCGGCAAAGCCGTCTGCGACAACTGTTCAACCAATCGTATTAATATACCTATAATGGGCTTCGAGTTTGATGTTCGTACCTGTGATCCGTGCTACAAACAACTTCAGACCGCTGAACGACCCTCACTGGCTTCATTTAATGACGTCAAGCACTCGATTGTCTACATGGACCTTGACGAGGATAGGAAGCGCCTGTTGACAGTTGGTCAGGACAGACTCATCAAGATCTGGGATCTTTCCAGCATCTGGGCATAAAACATCCTGTACGCACACGCATTAAACCCAAGTCGACGTACCAAAGGTATAATCATTCACAAGGAGTTTCGGTCTTAACTGAAAAATCCAATAATGGAACTATGTGGCTGGCGACAAAAAATCCAGCCCGTGTTCTCATATATTTTGATGTAAAGCAATAATTATTGTAATGTACGTATGCTTACATTAAACACATAAATACAAGAATCCATCGATAAAATAATGTGGTGCTCTATTGTTTTCTAAGTAAGTTTTATTGTGTTGACGGTATACCTAATAACCACCCCTGCTTGGTGGTGGTGCTCCTCGGATCATGCTTGGCGGCGGGCCACGCATTGGTGGAGGAGCGCCGCGACCCATATTTCCTGGCATCGAAGGCATACCGCCGGGAATCATTCCCGGTGGTGGAGCTCCCATCATCGGGGCCCGGGGCACTCCCCGCCCCATAGGAGCCATGTGCTGTTGAGCTGGTCCACCCACGCCTCTCACGGGTCCTTGGAGACCTGCTGGCACGGCAGACATATTGATGGGCACACCCCGTCCGGCAACTCGACCAAGTCCAGGGCCAGGAGCTGCTCCAGGAATGGGAACTCGGGGCAGGCCCTCCTCCGGTGGCGGAGGACCTTCCACCGTCAAGGAAACTATATTCTCGCCACGCAGTAATACGAACCCTAGAACCCTTTTTTCCTCTCGTTCCGGCACTTTGGAATTCTTCGAACGTATTTTCCGGAACTCCTCGCAATCTCCTAAGATCAAGTTCATGTGTTTGTCAAAGGCTTTAAAAGTTCCGATGAAAGTCCGAGAGTCCTGCAGAACGATTCGCACCCGATAATTCAGGTGCTGAATCATTTTGTTGTTCTTGCCGATAGTCTAAAAAGCAAGAGGTGAAATAATTTATGAAATAATAGCAAGCCGCATTTATGATTACAAGTCGCGCCATTTTTTACAAGTCTCAGTCCTATTTTAAAAATCATTATTAATTTGCAATAATGAAATAAATCTCTGATCTTCAACTAAAAAACTAAATATAATTTGATATATTTGAAAATGTGGCGTATAACTAATTTACAAAACAATTTATTTATTTAGATTATTTTTCGCGTGCACATTTGTATGTACATATGCATGTATGTGTATCAATGTAAATATGGAACCCTAACCGCGAAAGTAATATAAAATAGACTGTACGAAATAAACTGAACTAAACGAAATTAAATACTTTGAAATTGAAAAACTCTCTTTGTACTTACCATTTTATTGGTTTTCTATAATTTAACTGCTGGTAAATAAAATATAGATGCCGGATCCTCAACACGGCGTTTTTCGACTACTATAAAGTACAAATCGAATACTGTTTAATGTATTTGGTATATTGTAGTATATTACAATCGTTACTATCGAATACATATGTATTATATACATATGCAAGCAAAAACAATTACTCCAAACAATGCCTATTGAAATTTTTGTGTTAAATGTGTGCAGGAGTTTAAAAATCTGCAGAAATGAACAGTTATGTAATAGATTTATAATAAAACACATACAAACAGATAGATATTTATTACAAAATTCGGTCAGTTTAACATTGTTTTCCAGATAGAGGAGCAGAATAAAACTGTTGAAGGTAATAGATGCTATTGCATTATGCCACCAAAATAGTTTTGTTTACATTAAATGTACTTTAAAAGCTGACAGTACTTCATAAAAGTTTAAAAAAAGGCTGCCAACATCAACTTATTTCATATTCTATACGATTTACTGAAACTTCTTACTTGTTATCGAATACTTCTCCAGCACAGAACATTTGCCATCCCTGGATAAATGTATAAAGTCGGAACCACGACTCACTGTTCACATGCGGCCACGTCATTTGAACTCTCTTCGGTTCTCTCATTTATGCTGACATTCTGAGAAGTTTTTTGAGGAAGCGGTAAAGCCCTCAGTTTTTTACTCGTTGGCAAATTAAGCGAAAAATAATTTTGGTAACGTATGCAGCTGTTTAAACGCCGGACAACTCCCATTTCTATAGCTTACTTTTCAATATATTTTAGGGGTGCGTTCTAACACGCAGCAAAAAGGCAAAAGCAATAGAAACTACACCAAACAACAGCCGAGTCGACGAATAAGATCAGGATGAATATTTTCCGATTTGCTGGGGATCTTTCGCATGTGTTTGCCATTATAATATTGCTGCTTAAGATATGGAAGACCCGCTCGTGCGCCGGAATTTCGGGCAAGTCTCAGATTCTGTTCGCAGTGGTCTACCTGACGCGTTACCTGGATCTTTTTACCACCTACGTGAGCCTGTACAACTCGGTGATGAAGGTGCTCTTCTTGGCCACGTCCGGTGCCACAGTATATTTGATGTACGTTAAGTTTAAGGCTACTTACGACCACAACCACGACTCCTTCCGCATCGAATTTCTCTTGATACCATGCGCCTTGCTCTCGCTGGTGATCAATCATGAGTTTACCGTCATGGAAGTGCTTTGGACCTTTTCCATCTACCTGGAATCGGTGGCCATCCTACCACAGCTCTTCCTGGTCAGCAGAACCGGTGAAGCCGAGTCCATCACGAGCCACTACCTCTTCGCCCTGGGATCATACCGTGCACTTTACTTGCTCAACTGGGTTTACCGGTATATGGTCGAGTCGCATTACGACCTTATCGCGATCTTCGCCGGAGTTGTCCAGACCGTTTTGTACTGCGACTTCTTCTACTTATACATTACCAAAGTTCTTAAGGGCAAGAAACTACAGCTGCCGGCATAAGTGCATAAATGTGGGGCATTTGTTTATTGGTACACATCATCAATCGAGGTCGAAGAAAACAAGCAAAGAATCCACGGGCCGTTTGACAACGCGTATTTAGTTCATACTATACAGAAGATACAGAATCGAGAGGAGCGCTTAAGTTGTAATTATTTTATGAGAAATAAACCGAAAATCGGAAGTCAAATTATCTTGCAATATCGACACCGTACATTGGAAATGTAACAAATGTATTAATCTCCGTTTTCCGAGTTGCACACACTCGGCTCTCACAAATTTTGAAATCCAAAAATATTTAAACAGTACGAGATAACGTTATAATTACCGATCATTAAATTTTTTTCTCTTAAGCGAGGGGTTAATCGATCTACAACAATATCACAAAAGAAGTCATAGATTTCTTTGTATAATTTAGACTTAAAAGATACCCTTTAAATAGCTTTTAAACCGACTGTATCCTAAAAATTCGAGTAAGTTTAAGTCTTATTTTGTGGCTATTCGTACAGTTAATAATGAGCGATGTCAACATATAATAGATATTTTTGATTAACAGGTCGCAGGATCGTAGAAACTTCATCTGCGAGATGTTGTGCACAATTTTATTGGATTCCAAATATATGTATTAAATTATGTCTGCCACACCCTTTTCGCCTTGCACGCTTCCTAGATTTACCAATAAAACTAAAAAATTAATTTAAATGATAATTTACAAAAACAATACAAAATAATGTGGCATAAACAATATTTTAAAAACTTTTGCAGATATTATATTATACAAAAAAAAAAAAAAAAAAAAATCCTTTATTTATCAGATGAGAAGTTTCAAAGGACGATTAAGAAAGAGGGAAGAAGTTATGAGGAAATTTTTATTAGTTATATATTACATAACTAATCAAACTCTTAATATTTGTTTCTTGAGCTTTTTGGAGAGTTCTACTACTTTTATATTACAAATTTAAAACACAAATTAACATCTAATTATATCTTTTTAAGAACTTTCAATTTAAATAGAAAAGAAAATTAATTCGCTTTATTGCATCAATTATATTTTGGGGAATACCATTAACAAGTATTTGTTAAACTTAATAACATTTCGAATCCGGTCACACTGGAAGTTATTCATGTAACCAAAACAAAATGGGAAGAATTGCATTCTTAAATCGCTTAATGGTCCAAAAAACCACTGTCAGAAATTTGTTCCAGTTTGGAAAAACTAAGGGGTATTGAGTTACTATTTTTCTTTAATTATACATAGGGACTTTATAAAAAATGGGTGTACTTACAGAGATACTGGAAAATATGAACAGATAGTTTCCACTGGCCTGGTTTCTCCGGAACGAAGTGTTCCCAAAGACATTGAAAAGCCAGCGTACCACTTTAAAAAAATGTCACCGGGCAATACTTTGGGATCCCCAGAAATCAAAACGTCAAATCAGATAGATGCAATGCGTATGAGCGGAAAACTAGCAGCACGAATATTACGTGAATGTGGTAAATTAGCAACAGTTGGCACAACCACCGATGAGATTGACGCCTTTGCACACGGTAGAATTATTGAATCAAAAGCCTATCCCTCACCTCTGAGATATGCCGGTTTCCCAAAGTCCATCTGCACCTCTATTAACAACATCGCCTGCCACGGAATACCAGATGACCGGCAGTTGGCCAACGGCGATATTATTAATATTGACGTAACAGTCTTTTTAAATGGCTACCATGGCGACTGCTCAGAGACATTTCTGGTGGGCGAGGTGGACGAGCGGGGAAGCTTCCTTGTGGAGGCCACTAGAACCTGTCTAGATCACTGCATTTCTCTGTGTGGCCCTGGCGTAGAATTTAATGAGATAGGAAAGTTTATACAAAGATATTGCGACGAAAGAGGCCTTGAATCGATTGCTGCTTTTATAGGACACGGAATAGGAAGCTATTTTCATGGTCCCCCTGAGATATTACACTACTGTAGGTTTCCTTGATCGCAAATTATAATACGCCTTTATTAATACTTAAATCACAGACAATGAACTTCCTGGAAAAATGCAGCCTGGCATGACCTTTACTATTGAACCCATTCTGTCTTTGGGCGGATCAGACATAGGGGTCTTGGAGGATGGCTGGACGGCGATAAGTTTGGATGGCGCACGTAGCGCCCAGTTTGAGCACACCATTCTGATTACCGAGACAGGAACCGAGATACTTACAAGAGACCAATAGAATCATTTTATGTACATGATGAATTTTTATTCGTGATTCCCATAAAGTACTGAATGAGTTTTGGGTGGCAGTCTTGTGCATTTGGTGCCGTTGTAACCGTCGAATCCGTGTGATAGGTGCTCGTTTTTCGCTTACAGAAGCATTAAAGGCTTAACTACAAATAGCATTGGACTTTTGCACTGGCTTCTGAATGGGGAGGAAGAGCTTGAACTCCGGCGGTAGCTCGTCCTCCGAGTAGAGGCGATCGGAGAAGTACACGCGTCTGATGCGACAGTTTGCATGGATCTGTACACGGAGTGTTTCCACATAGTTAGTGCCGTATGCACGACGGGTGAAGTCGGACAAGTTGAATTGAATCTGGTTCCACCCCTCATCCAATCGCATGGGCATGGTGCAAATAAACGGCTTGACACGAGTTGTCGACTGATAGTTACTGGCCCTGAACCTTCGCCGCACGTTTTTATCATCCAGAACCTATTTAAGGGAGGAAATCATTAAATTACTGGCTTGTAAAAGTTGAATTCAACGATTACCTGAACTTCAAAGGTGAAATATTTCTTCATGTTCTTGATGATCATCACCAAGAAGGGTAGTTTGATGCCCAGAGTCTTCTTCGGGTCGGCCGGACATGTTATAAACGTGGTGCTGACGTTGGTTCCAACTATTTCAAGAACGAGGCTCTGTATATCGTTGTCGGTAATTCGTTTTATGTGCCCATTACGCACTTTTTTATCCCACAACTGCAGAGGCTTCGAGCCAATACTGTACAGAATCGATAGGAATCCTGATTGGAAAGTATTTTTGAACATGTCGCGATTGCAGTGCAGTGGCCGGTTTGCCCACAGATAGAATAGTTTTTTGCAAATTTATATAGGGCCAGTAAAAGTTGGCCAATAATTTTTGCACAGCCGAAACTCGTACAAACGACTAACATCAATACGGAACTATACTATTTTTTTCATGTCAATAAGTTTGTTTAGCATGGCATTCTGTTGTTGCCATAACAATTCATCGTTTGAAAAATACTTGTTCGTTTATGCGAAGTTTGAAATTATGAAAAGAGCCAGTTCACGTTGATATATTTTTGGTCTATTCCATAGATTTCTCTTACTTATGAGACGGTGGAAAAGAAATGATTTGGCAGTTTTATTTCTTAAATTTATCATATTCTCATAAGATAAAAAGTATTTAAAAAAACCATGAACTATGAACTATTGCAGAGTTGTTGATTTTGGCTTCAAAATGCTTCAACAAGGATTTTTTTATAACGAGAAACGTTTAAATGCAGTTAAAATATTTATAGTATTGTATATTATTACAGCCTTTTCCAGACTTTTTCCGTTGTTCCGATTTTCTAGTGGCGATGAGGAACCATGGAAAATGTAGTAGCTTCTGAGATATCGATGTGTCAAGTCACATCACTAGTTGATGTATTAAAAAAAATATACAGCTTACAGAGTACAAATGGCATCGACGTCGAGGTAAAAACAAAGTCTCCGATAAATTTCTAAGAATTTGTAATGGCTTCCTGCTTGCAGACTGGACAATAATAAGGTGTGCTGCTATGCACACCCTGAGTCTCCGTTGATCGAGGACTACAGAGCTGGTGACATGATTTGCTCGGAGTGTGGTCTAGTGGTTGGCGACCGCGTAATTGATGTGGGCTCCGAGTGGCGAACATTTAGCAACGAGAAAAGCGGCGTGGATCCCAGTCGTGTTGGTGGACCGGAGAATCCGCTCCTCAGTGGAGGCGACTTATCCACCATAATTGGTCCTGGAACGGGGTCCGCATCCTTCGATGCTTTTGGAGCCCCCAAATACCAAAACAGACGTACCATGAGCAGCTCGGACCGCTCTCTTATATCAGCATTTAAGGAAATTTCATCTATGGCAGATCGCATTAATTTGCCAAAAACTATTGTCGATCGGGCCAACAACTTGTTTAAACAGGTGATTTACGAGGTTTGTTAATGATGACCAAGATCTTAATAAGTTTGATTTCAGGTCCATGACGGAAAGAACCTCAAGGGCCGATCCAATGATGCCAAGGCGTCTGCTTGTCTGTACATTGCTTGTCGTCAGGAGGGAGTTCCTCGCACATTCAAAGAAATATGTGCAGTCAGCAAGATCAGCAAAAAGGAGATTGGCAGATGCTTCAAGTTAACACTGAAGGCACTTGAAACAAGTGTAGATTTAATAACCACTGCGGACTTCATGTGCCGCTTTTGCGCCAACTTGGGTAAGTATATCTAAAGAGGTTATTCTTACAGAACCTAAAGAAATATTTTTAATTATCAGACCTGCCGAATATGGTTCAACGCGCTGCCACGCACATTGCAAAGAAAGCTGTCGAAATGGATATAGTTCCGGGTCGTTCTCCAATTTCAGTTGCCGCAGCTGCGATTTATATGGCCTCACAAGCTTCTGAGCATAAGAGAAGTCAGAAGGAAATCGGTGATATAGCCGGTGTGGCCGATGTTACTATCCGGCAGTCCTACAAACTTATGTATCCGCACGCAGCTAAGCTCTTCCCCGAAGACTTTAAGTTTACCACTCCTATTGATCAGTTACCGCAAATGTAAATGTTCTCGTATATGCGATGCTCAATACTAACGCTAACGTTAAGAGAAGGAAAAATCATCTTAATTTAATCACAAAGTTTACGATTTTATTAAATAAAGTTAGCATAACTAATATTCAAATAGAACTGTTGGACCAATCAAAACATAATTAAATCATTGTTTAAATTAGCTGAGTTAAACCCATACAGTTTTTGAACTTTATTCCAATGTATCATAATAACTCGCTTGCTTGTTTTATTTTTACATTTTAAAGCTGGCTTATACATATGTATCTTGGGTATAGACGATTATAAATAAGCTAACCTGAAAAAATAATTGCATACTACGTTTTTTGCCAGGTATTTGCGAAATTAAGTATTTTACAAAGGTTCTCTGTTTATGCTTTAAGTTTGAAACAATTAGTAATAGTATGAATGGCTATAGTATTCGCAAATAAGACAAAAGGAAAATATGTGTACCTTTCAACATTTTCAATTGCAAATAAAGCGAGCGTTTTAACGTAGTAAGAGGCCTAGCGCGGCAGCGATTTACTCAAAACAAAGCAAAATACGTGTGCTAATAGTAAATGACGAATTATCAGTCGCCAACAATAGTAATTGCTGAGTTTAAACAGTGTAAATTTAAATAACTAGTCAATAGAAAGCGAACACTTTTCATCATCGCTATGGCCCACGCATTCCAGCGCAGGGCGATGCTCAGAGTCCCACATACCGGGGCCGCACCGTTTGCACAAACCACTTAGGGTGCATGGGATCTTCGGCAGCTGGCGGTACTGGTGGAGCAGTCCGCGTGCCTTTCGCAGGATCAATTGCCCATCCATATACATAGCCAGCGAACTGAAGTGCAGCAGCATCTCGTCCGGGCGCAGATTTTGGGCCACTACATCATCCGCATAAACAGCGATGATGGCCAGGCAAAGGAACAGATGAAAGTAGTCTGTCAAGTAGTTTGACCAACAAGCCTCCCACATCCGAATCACTACCGCTTCGGTGAACTCGCGCTTGAAGCAGAGCAACAGCCATCGATGGCAGAAGAGCAGCTCCATGGAGTCGTTATGCTGCTCCAAATGCTCGTAGAAACGTGGCAGCATTACCCGGATCAGTTCGCGCAGGTAGTTCAGATGGTGATCCACATCTCTGTCGGTGGGAGTGCACACGAAGAAGGCCCGCTGCATTAGTCCTACGAAGCACCAGAAGGTCTCCGACTCGTTTTGCACTTCACAAAGGACAGGTGCTAAGAGGTCACTCATGCCCTAAAATGTATCAACAATTTTATAAGAATTGAGGTCTGTATCCAATCTTCCTTCGGAATATTTTAAGCACTTTTTAACAGAAATATTTATAGGACCCACCTGAGAATAGGACATTCCAGAGTTGTACACAGCGAAATTGAGCAGAATGTTTTTCATGACCTCGGTGTTAGGGTTGTCGTCACCACAAAAGAAGGGATTCGTGCGATCCGTACGAACGACATCCTTCTCAACCACCTGTACCGTCTTCCAGAAGTGTATTTGCTGTTCTGGGGACATAGAGTATAGTCGCTTTCGCGTTATTTCCTCGTACTCCTGCCGTTTGATATCCATGAGGACTGCGCGGTCCTCGAAAGTTGATGAGAATGAATAGCACTTTAGGAGAAACGGCCACACAGTTTTCTTCAAGCTCTTTTCAAGGCCCCCAAAGAATATGCATTTTCGAAGGAGCAAATCATCTTCGATCTGCCCCTTCTCATTGAGCAATGTGCCGTAGAAGAAATTGGTTGTTATCTTCTTGACATCTCCCTCATCCGGATGCATTTCAGATTTCTTAACCTCTGGCCGACAGACCATAAAATGCCTATAAGGCAAGTCGAATTTATCCTGGCCCGTTTCCGATGTGATGTTGTGCAGAAAACAGTGCCACTGATGCAACACTTGGGCCAAATGATCCAAGCCGCCGTAGTGAAAGTGAAGTATCTTGTACTGAGACTCCCGTGATGCAATAACCAACTGACCGGAAGTGCAGTTGTCGTCGTTGAAAAAAAGGCGCAACGAGCGCATTTGGCTTAAATCAACGGAAAAATGGCGGCACTTCATGACAGATTTCTGACGATCGGCCGGCGTCGAATTACCACTATCCGGAAACTCCAAGTTGTGCTTAAAAGCCAAGAGTTCTGGAGTCGTCCATTTGGGGTTATCGGAGGCTGGGCCATCAGAAACGCCAGGTCCACTGGCGCAGTCGGCACAGTTATTCCCATCCGGCCGAATGGTGATGCAATTGAATGATTGCGAAATATTGCTGTTTTCGATTTGTGGATTCGAAATCGTTATGTTTACCGACGTGATGGGGTTATTCTTAAGCAAAGCCGTTAAGTCATCTATAGAAGCTGTTTGACCACCTAACAATGGTTGCAGCTCGTTCTTTAGCTCCTGCATTTCAGCGGCGTTGTCATCTTCATCCCTGATGTCTCGTTCATGGATAGTCTGAGGTATAGTCACGTGACAGTAGCCGTTTCGGGTGTCTGAAGTTTTAGTCCTCGGATTGCACTGACCCCGGCAGTCCTCGGGGCTTAGATTGGTGTATTTACATAGTGAAGTGTTCGGTATCCAAGTGAGAAGTAGCGTGGGCCTTTTGGCACTATTGTACTGATCCACAAAGGTTTTCGTAGTACACGTTAGATATCCCGGATTGTGCAATATATCCGATTCATCCCGCGCGATTGTGGGCGGATGAATGCAAACGTTATTCTTGCAGAAGAGGATTTCGTTGTCTTCGTAAGAAATATCGATTTTTTTGTCCAATCTTTCGTCACCTAGTATAAAGCTAGATGCCTTTTTGATAATGCTTCCTATGGGCATGTTTAAATGTAATACTGCTGAGGGGATAACTATAACACGATTTAAGTTTTTTTTACGGATAATTCAAAATGTTTTTAAGCTGGGTGGGTAGGGGACTTTTGGTTTCTTTTGGTTTGGTTTTGGCTGATTTTTGATTGGTAATGGTCGGTGGTTACCATTACTTTCCCGATATCACTTGTGTATCATTGATGTGATTATTTTAACACAGTGGATTAAATAAATGAAAACTATTACTTTTGGTTTTTGGGACCTCTCACAAGCAGGATGACATTGGAGGAAAAGAATTTCAGTGAAAACTTAGCGCAGGCGCGCTCATCAGACTATGGGTTTTTAAAAGTTTCGATACTTACTACTTAAAATGTTGTAAAATTATAATAATTGACCTATTCTTTCGGGAATACTAAACTATTAGTTTACTAAAGCATTTTAAAGCAAATATGTAGGTTTAGTTTTGATTAAATTATATTAAATTATATATTTTAATAAGGTTTTGTTTAATTGTTCATTCAATACGGTTATAAATAATAATAAATAATGTAATATATAGTATATAATATATAATATATAATATGTAATATATAAGTTATAATATATAATATATAATACATAACATATAATTGGTAAATAATAATATATCCAAACTATGTACAACAAATTTGGAATTGGAACTGAAAACATTTTAGGTGTCAATGCATCGAAACAAATTTGTGTCCATCCCTAACGTAAATATAATCGATAAGCGTGTGAAAATATTTACATTGCTATTGAGTTATTTTGTGTTGTTAAAGAATGGCAAGCAAGAGAAAACACCCGGCATCAGAAAGGGCAAAAGAAGAGCCATTTAAAAAGCATACACTTGATTCAGATGAAGAGGATTCTGACGACTATGAGAGGTAACGTTAGAAACCTAAAATTTCACTCCATTGTTTTGATTTAAAAACTTTTCGTTTGCAGAGAATATCTCAATGATAGCGACATTGAAGGAGGCGAGGAAGGCGTGGCAAAAGTAGAGGACGATGTAAAAGTTACACCGTTTAATATGAAGGAAGAATTGGAGGAAGGACACTTCGACAAAGATGGTCACTATCATTGGAACAAAGAGTCGGAAGCAAAAGACAATTGGTTAGACAATATAGACTGGGTTAAGGTAAGGATCGCATTATTTTTTTCATTCATTCATATACAACTTAATAAAGAATTTCTATATAAAAATAGATTGGAAAGCAGAAAAATGCCTTTGACCCTGCCAAAGATAACGAAAACTCTAACTCCTCAGATGATGAAAAAATAGAACCCACTAGGAAGGCCTTTAACTTGTCCATGAACCTGATGAAAATGCTTGAGTTCATGAAAGAAGGAGAGACTGTTAAGATGACATTGCAACGACTGGGAAGTCAGCGTCCCGTTCTGACAACTCTACAAAGAATAAAGCAAAAGAAGGCTGGCGTTGTTGACACCAAGACCCAAGAAATCTCCCATTTAACTGAATTGGCGAATGAGATCCTCTCAAAGACCGGCAATATGGATATATATCAAGAGACCTACGAAAACATTGAGTCCAAGCTGGCTGATTTGCCCGGTACGAGCAAACCCAAAATTGCCGATGATATGGACATGTATGCGGATGACTTCGAAACGAAAGAGTTAGAGCGATCCAAAACCTTGAATGCTGCTTCAAAACCAACGATGACTACCTCGGAAGTGACCTGGGAATTCAAATGGTCGCAAAATGAGACTGAAATCCAAGGGCCATTTACTACTGAGAAAATGTTGAAGTGGTCCCAAGAAAATTATTTTAAAAATGGAGTCTATGTCCGAAAGTGTGGCGAAAACACAAATTTCTATACCAGCAACCGTATAGATTTTGATTTATACTTGTAAGCCTTAGTTAATGATTATGGTAAACAACTTTTGAATTGTGTTTTTCTTTTGTATTCTTATTTTATTCATTTCTTTTGGTTAAAACTTAAAATAAAATACAATACAATTAATCAATTATTTTATATTTTGATTACTAATTAATATGGGTCTAATATGTATAAATAATAACAAATTTAAGTATTTTTCTATATTTATTGTTTTTTTCTATAGTTCTACTAGTCAAGATTGACTAGTTTATTTAGTAGATTTAAAAATTACTACGATAGTTCGCCAAGAGCAGTCTTGACAGTACCGATAATATAATCGATTGTGTAGCTTTTTCATGGTTCCGGGAGCTTTGACAACCCTAAAAAACACATCGATTAAAGTTGCTGAAAATTGTTTTATGTTTAATTAAATACATGCGGATAATCCATGCACTATCTGGTGTTATGAGCGTTAAGTAGTCATCACTATTTCCCGATTAAAACTTTAGTTACTGTTGATTTCGTGGACCGAATTCCTGCTCCTTTAAAAGGAAGTAAATTTGTTAGTGCTTCAGTGAGTTGTTGGTGGGTGTTGCGAAAAAAATAAAATTCTGGACCAGCCGAAACATTTGTCAGGATGACTACCAAACACATTTATTCCACGACCAATTTATCAGATCTGCAGTTAAAGGAGCAGGGCAATTGCCTGTTTGCAGCCCGAAAATATGACGACGCAATAAACTGCTACTCAAAGGCCATCGTAAGTATCACCCAATTTGTAATGTGTATGTTGTTTACACCGTCATGTTTATGGTAAAAATATGTAACTCCAAATACAGATAAAAAATCCCACAAACGCCACATACTTTACAAATCGAGCCCTCTGTAACCTGAAATTAAAGCGATGGGAACTGTGCTGTCAGGATTGTCGGCGCGCCTTGGACATTGATGGGAACTTGCTGAAAGGACACTTCTTCTTGGGCCAGGGACTAATGGAAATTGACTGCTTTGACGAGGCCATAAAGCACCTTCAACGAGGTTAGATTAATGAGAAGGGGAACCCGAATGGCATATGCTCTAACTATATTAAATTTTCAGCGTACGATCTGTCCAAGGAACAAAAACAAAATTTCGGAGATGATATTACACTGCAGTTGAGACTAGCTCGCAAAAAACGGTGGAATGTCTTGGAAGAGAAGAGAATACAACAGGAAATTGAACTACAAAGCTATTTGAATCGGTTTTTAGTAATAGTAATGAGAAAATATTGATAAAGAATACTAATTATTATAAAGATTCCATATTCGAAGAACTAATATAATATCCGTTTCAGGTTAATAAAAGGAGATATGGAAAGTCGTTTGGCTAATTTAAAACTTAATGAAAATGCAAATGAGGAGCAGGTAAAAGACAAGCAACAGGAAATAGAACAAGAGTGTGTAAGTTCCACTTTCAAATTCACAAAACACAGTGCCTACAAAATAAATTATTTATACGCAATTTCTTAAATTTTTACTTAAATTATTTTAGGACGACCATCTAAAAGAACTTAATAATATATTCTCTAAAGTTGATGAACGCCGAAGGGTAAGTAGGAAAATAAATCAACAATAAATATATAAAAATATATGTTTAGCAATAGTAATCTAACAAAAAAAAAATATCTTACATTTTAACAATTTTTTTTTTAATTTATAGAAACGCGACGTTCCTGATTTTCTATGTGGCAAAATAAGTTTTGAGATATTAACGGACCCTGTGATAACACCATCTGGAATTACCTATGAACGTAAAGATATAGAAGAACATTTACAGCGGGTTGGGCATTTTGATCCTGTTACACGCGTGAAGCTCACTCAGGATCAACTAATACCAAATTTTTCGATGAAGGAAGTGGTTGATACTTTTATTGCCGAAAACGAATGGTCTTTAGATTATTGAGTTATATATTATGACATTATCATTGTAATTGATTAGATGTTAGAGCCCAGTTCCCATTGTCTACAAACCAGAATAGTGATAATAAATGTGGATCTGCAACTGATTTAAATTGTGATATTATTATTTTATATAAAATATATAAACAAAATTTTAAAAAAATCTTTTGTTCTTTATCGCAATTAATGGATAGCCAAATCATTTAAATAGGTCTCGCCACCAAAATCACAACAAATATCAGCTGATTAAAACTTGAGGGCGAAAATTTTGGATATACAGCGTTGCTATCGTTATCGATAGTGTAAGGGTTTTATTTATTCCTTATTCCGATAAATCGTCAACCGTTTCAAATATAATATTCGTTACTATATTGACAAATATTTTATATCGATAAGTAGTTGTTTACAAAAATCATTTTCAAAGAAATATGTTTATTTCTGTTCTTTATTGCCATTTACTTTGATTTGTGTATTAATTATATTTTTTAAACCATGAGTTATTCTGATTCCCAAAGTGAAATTTTAGCTGAGGGCTCTGCTCAAGATGTGCGAATCTTGAGTTTGCAAAATCTGATTGAGAAGAATATTGAGATTGGTAAGTAACTTTATTTCAACGCATTACTATAAATATTAATTCTTAAAATAACTACAGAGCAACAGATTGAAAATAAAACTTTTGACCAAAACATCGCGGCAATCGAGGAAATCATTCGAACAGCAAATGATATCAACAAAGGGCCATGAAGACCGTCGTACAAACTCGACAGAACTTGTTCTGGACACGGAATTATTGAGACGCAATCACGAAGTTGTTGGAAAAGCTATTCAACATAACACCAATTTTACAGACAGAATGGTGATCACGGCAATTGTAAGAGCGGTGTTTAGATTTTTGATACTCTACTTCAATTTTTCAACCTTTAACAGAACGAATTGGTTTTTAAAGAACACGAAGAAGATTGGGACGCTCTATGCGCTCTTGCTATTCCATTCGGAAGACCGCTCTTCACAAGCGATAGTATGCTTCCCTTCATAGATGTTACTCCAAAAGAGGTCAACGCCAAACAGCGCGCTCCACGAAAACAGAAATCTCAAGTATGTCTATACTTTAAACCTTTTAAAGGGTCAGATGTTTGTAATGTATTCTTTTTTTTAAGGTGGAGGAAAAGCGTCCTAAGAGGAGTGATAAATTGGAACGAAAGGACGAAGGAGCAGCCTCCGTTAGCTATATGCTTAGGCAAATCAAACAAATATATCGAGACGGCGATAATCAGCCGATCCCGTATTTCAAACTAATTTGTAATCCGAATAACTTCATGGACACCGTTCAAAATGCCCTGCAAGTTTCGTTTCTTGTAAAGGAGAACTTTATTTCCATTGAAAATGGCGAAGATGGTTTACCTTTGGTTCATGTTGTAAATTTAAATGATGCAGAGGAGCGTGAGTCTGCACAAGCGATTTGCTCTATCGATGTGTCCTTCTGTGAGGTATGTAAGGATGGTTTTCGAAAAATGTTTATGTTTGTTTCTTGTTAACAGTTTTACTTTACAGAAAATGGCAAAGCACTACAACCTACATGAGCCGATGCTGAAAAGACTTCCAGTTGATGATAGTTAAATATATGTAGCTTTATTTTTGTATTAAAAGTTCATGTATTAATAAAGTAAAAAGTATAAACATCGAATATAAACCTTTGGGAAAATGTCATGTTAATTTGCACATAAAATAAAGTTAAATGTTTTGCGCGACCTGATTTTATAGATAACCCTAAGAGTTACGCCCTAGTCTCCACACCCATAAACTTCACATAACTAACGTAATACCAACACAAAATCATTAAATGATTTTTATTGTTCAAGCAGTTACTTCACAGTTCAAAAAGTTCAAAAATTCAATATTTTACTTAGAAACCTCCCCCGTCATTATGATAATTTTTATGCCCGCCTACAAATTATGAAACAGTAGAACCATTCGTGGAGGCAAAATGGTAGGATGTCATATACAACTATTAAGTATATTTATAAAAGTTGATTTTGATCTCTTAAAATAATTTTTCTGCCTATTATTGTACTAATTTTTTTGACAACAATTTCGATAGATTATAAAAGCAAAAGAGTTGTCAATCTCTTAATCTGTATCTTTATGATTTCAATTCACCATTGTACCTGTTTACAATCGACATTACATAATCAAATTACTATCCGCAGTTGGAAAATAAATGAAACGCTCTATTAATTACAAAATCACTCCAAAGCCTCAAATAAGTGCACTTTCGGCTGCATAGTGCTATTAATTGAATTCCGTTAACTTAATTCCACAAAGAAGAAATTAAGATTAATTAAGATTTATTGCACAGCCGAAGCTTAGGGTTAATTGCATTTGTGTGGTCGACGGAGTTTTAAAGCCTTGGCGTAAAATAAAGGCTTTATAAAGCTATTCTATAGAAACTGGATATGCATTATCGGAATACTTGAAATACCATTTTCCGAGATTTGGAACTTTCCACCTAATGTCGGCGAAATGAGTTGACCTGAGGCCATAAAACTGAGTTAATGTATAATTATATATAAAACCAAAATGAAGATTTATTACTCCATATCAGCATGGAAACAAACGACCTAATTAATAGACCCCCAATCTAGAAAATACAAAATTAATGATGCACAGGCGAAGTTTAAATAAGTTGCCAAGATGCGGCTTGGCGTTGGAAAAACTTATTTCAATTTTTTAAGGATCAAATAAATAATTACAATTTAATAAATTAGAATGTAAAAGAAAAAATAACGATTAAATAAAATAAATCGTCAATGTTTTTGTAAACTCATTTAAATCATTTTAAGGATTGGGAGCTCACTGCCGAATTTTATAGAAGATGATTTTGTGTGAAAAAAAGTGTTTGGAAATCTATAATCGGTAGAAGGTTTTTATTCAACTTGTCCGATTTCAATTTTTTTGGTTTTGCGATGTTTAGGACCCTTCCATTTCTGATCCGATGTGGAAGGCTTAATTCCGATCTGAGCTCTGCTGAATTATAACCAATTTCGGCTCCATAAATTTCTTTGGATTACTTTCGCATTAAGCGTTTGCGTAAGGTTCGAATGTACATTTGTTCTCGCATTGATATTCCGCTGAAAGCTACATAAAGTTAAATGCATACACATGCAGAGACATCACCCACATTATTGTAACTCACCCGTGGTCATATTACAGGGGGGTCAGCGTAATAGCATCGCAGATAGTGTAACAAATATTTCTTAATTAGATATATCCATAATCTTATGATGCAATAAACTTTTCTCAATATAAGAGAGTAGAAATTGGTATACAAATTACATAATAATATAATAATGGTATAACATATATATAAAAACCACTTATTTTTAAAAAATGTTTGTAATGAAGTTTGGTTGGTTGGAAATATTTTTAATGTCTGCAAGAAAAATTATATCGAACTACTAACTTATACACGCTTGGAAAATTTAAATGATAATTGAGTTTTTTTTTTAATTTGAATTTGATGGCATAGTTTTGTACATAATAGGGAAAAGTTTCTATAGGTGGCATCTTTTGTGCTAATATGTTGCCCTGAGCTGTGGATATGCACATACATATCTGTATATACGCACGTTTGGCTCCAGACTTTTGGGTGGCGCTGGCAATCGACGCTATGCTCATGTGAGTGGTGGGGCCTCACTCTTCCCACTCCTCCCACTCCGGCGAAATCGGGGAGCTCCGGGTGCTGTTGTTAGCACTCGATCGCCAGAGCTGCGCTGATGCTCGCGGCGCGCTCTGCCTCCAACACTTCTGTTCCCAAAGCCGCTTTCCCGAAAATTCAGTTCGGATTTCAGTTCGGATTTGAGTACCACGCGATGAAGACGACGGCTTCAATTAATCTAGAATTAATAGTGCAATGATACGGGGTGTAATATTGTTTGCAAATAGTTTATCCAAAAAACTATGAAAACCTAAAAATTTAAATAATTTTGTGTTTCTAAAGCTGTGTGTTTGTGCCGCGATTCCGAGAAGTAAATTTAAGCTCAGATCCTTCATTTAATATTTAGGTAAAGAAAACCTTTTTTTTAATTTATTAGCATACTACAAATACAATATTAAACACAATAGTGATTATAGCTGAACCTGATCTTAAAAGATATTCTGATGAATGATCGTCTTTACTGACGATCCATATCCTTTGTTTTTCTTTAGGCCTTTTCAGTGAACCTCCATAATTGTTCGGTTTGTTAACATTTGGCCTCTTCAAAGACTCGAAGATATATTGAATATGGGCTTAATTGCTTTTTGGGAAATGTGTGTAATCGATTCGGGTTTTCGTGAAATGCATTTTGGGACAAACCAATTTACCTCACTCATATTGAACCGTTATCTTCTCGATGACAGTAATCACTCAAGTACTGAATGCATAATGAAAGAAAGCCCACTGTCGTTGGTAGTTTCAATTCCCATAACACTACATTATTTTGCATGCCTTAAATGTGGCAACGTAATTGCAGTCATTAAGTTTTAGGATCGATCGGATAATAATACAGTCAGCCAGAAAAGCAGTTGACCAAATCTGAAAGTGAAATCAAATCGAAAATGTATCCAATTGACATAGACACCAATATTTTACACACCATTCATATTTTTTTTGGTTATCTTTTTCAGCAAGTTATTTGGACAAACAAATATCCATCTGTGCGCATACACATGTGTTTCAAAATAATTTCCCGTTTTGCTAATTGCGGAAGTTTCACATTATGTATGGGGGGTGGTAGTGTGAATGACGAAATCCAAGAATGCGAGAGAATATATGACATATGTATCAAAATATTTTGGACAGACGTAATTTGGTTTCTATGGGCGGGCGATTGAAGATTTTCTAAACACTTCACTTTAATGCAAGTTCTTCATAATATCCGCGCACTCTTTGAATTGAGTGTTTTGGAGTTCAGTGGCATGGTTGAAGTGCTAAGCCATTGCAACACTGTCTTTGTGCCTGTGTGGTTTGTTGTACATGGGTAAATGCAGTTTCAATGCACGACGATATCCCCAATATGGGCCTATTGACACAGATATGTATGAAAAGTACATTGTGACATTAAGAATCTGTATACCCGCTACTCGTACAGTTCTAGGGTATAATGTCTACTTTCAAAATGGCAGAAAAGTATTTTCAAGCTCATTAACTTGATAACTTTATAGGGAAGATGACCTAAGAAATTGTTATCTAGTTTGTTATTCAAAACTGGAAAATATAAGGAATTTGTCTTTTTTCAATCTAAGATTCATTTTCTATTATATAATCTACCAAAGCTAGCATATTTTCTTGATATTTCTTTATTTAAATGGTTCTGCACAGTTTCAAGACACTTTCAAGTGGTTTTTAAATGGTACAAAGTAGATTAAACGTTATTCTTAAGGCCCAGCTTGAAACGAACTGATTTATATGATTATATAACATATTTTATGTGCGTATTTGTCGTATACGCAATATATATGTGCTCATACAGAGCTCCAAAATGTTTAGTGGGTGTGGAGGCTTCTAATGAAATACGCCCTTCCCATTTTTGTTCACGGATGTTGTAGTGTATGCTGCCGAAAGTACATCCATTCCAGTCGAATAGTCACGCTCGGTTTATTCGTAATCAATGAAAATAATGGAACTTGAGTTCCTCTGTACGAGTTGCTAATACAAAGCCTAAAAATGCGTACAGGCAGACATTGAAGATCACTTAAACCGATAGCGAATTTATCTACATAGAATATGTATAAAGTAAATAAATAAATTTGATTGTAAATAGCCAGTAAGTTAGTAAGTTTTATGTTTAATTTAAAGGGTACTAATTATATATGTATTATTAAATCTTTATTTTCAAATTTCAGGCTTCGAAATGGCAAAGCTTTTTTTAATATTTAGGTAAGAAAATTCCTATATCAAAACTTAATATTCAAACTATTTCAAACTCAAACTAAATGGTTTTGTCGATAGATAGAAATTTGATAGAAAAGAAAAGAGGGCGGGAAGACATCTTCCTCAGCTGCATTTAATCAAGATTTTTTTTGTACCCTCGCCGCCGGAACAGTGGCTCGTTTTCAGGAAAAACTTTGTAAAATGTGTAGCTATCAAAACAGATCTTGATACTTCAAAGAACTTTTTTGAAAGCAACAAAAAATCTCCATAAGCTGTTACAGGCTGCCAATTATTTTTGCTCGACTTTGAAATTGCTTTGATTTATCAGCCAACTATCGGAAGTGAAATGGATATGTGATATTGATATGATAGAGAAATCCATTTCCTGTACCTAGAGAACCATTTCAAAATTTTAAATTTATGTAATTTTCAGTATTTTCACACTTCTTGCAACTATACCAGACTCCAGTTTTGTAAAATCGGACTTAACAACGAGAGAGCGAATAAAGGTAGGTCTTTAAAAGTTTTAACTATTTATTTATTAATTAAATTAAAAGTAATCCTCGGCTTAGCATACCCTCATATAAAAGGGGAATTATTAAAGATTGTGGTCGGGAAGAATTTAATGTAAAAGGCTTAGAGTTCCATAAGTCTGAACTATGTTTCATGATTTTAAAAAATTCGTCCCGCTTCATTGGTTTTGATAAGCTACATATGTAGATGTTTGTAAACTACACTAATACATCATTTTTTATAGCACAATCATCTTGCTTTTATGTCATTATTTCTATTTTAATGCCTTTATAATTAACAAAATTATTTATGTGCCTTCTTTACGTAATGGAAAGTATTCATTAAGTCTGTCCAGATTATAGTTATATTTATTTAAAAGTCTTAATTATGTTTATTTAATAGTTATTTCTATTAATTGAACTATTGTTTTTACATTCATAAGCACTTTAACTATGACTTAGAATTAGAACAGAATTATTTTCTTTCTAATTAGAAACATCAAGATTGGCTGAGAGAGCATCGAAAACAAAAAACGAAAAAAAATCTATCGAATAACTCATATTATGAGCTTGCAAATTTATGGCATACGAGAAAAGATTTATCCGTTAAGCAGAAACCAAATAACAAGGATGCATACTTGGAAAATGAGACCACTAATAAAATGCCCAACAGGAGCGAAGAAAAAGTATTAAAGTCAACTATTATATTAATGAATGCAACCAATCAAAGTACATCGACATCCAAAACTTTTTTGGAAACAACAACATTGGCAAGTATAACTACCAGAGATCCCGTAGAAAATGGTATTGTACCGACAACAAAACAAATCCTAAGTCCTGAGGAGGTTTTCTCATCGCCGCATCCGCCAAAAGAAGTTACTACCAAAAAAACAAAAAAGAAAGTTTATCCATATCCTCGGTGGGATAAGTGGAGTAACTGGAGTGAATGCTCGCGAAGTTGCGGTGGAGGCGTTAAGTATCAAGTTCGAAAGTGCATTAATCGGTAAGTTACATATATGTTTTCTTTATTGTTGTGCTTAAACTCATTTATTAAATGTAGTGTTATTATAGTATATTATTGTTAGATGTCATGCTCTTTCTTAGCTTTCCGATTAATTACTGATTTGTACTGAATATAGTTTGGAGCTGAAAACTTACATGGTTTTTGGATTATTTTTATTAAGTATGTCATTCTTTTTTGGTTTTCAGCAACCTATTGACGAATAATCAGCTTACGAGTAATGCATGCGTTGGCTATTTCAAACGTTATCAGCTGTGCAATGATGTGCCATGCGACCAGCAATCCCCGGATTTTCGGGCTTCTCAATGTACAACTTACAACGATATTGAGTTTCATGGTCATCGATATAGGTGGGAACCTTATGTGAAGGGTATGCATTTATCGCGATTAATAAATCTATAATGAAAAAGGCATTAAAAGTATTAGTCAATAAAAGTTTTTGTGTTTTATTGGAGCTTGGTTATATATATTTCTTATAGATGATGCTGAGTGTGAGCTAAACTGCATGCCATTTGGAATGAAATCTTTTGCTACTCTTAACGAATCTGTAATCGATGGTACGCCATGTCAACATCCTGCTGAATATTATCGATCTCAACTTTGGAACCGCGCTGTTTGTGTGGATGGTGCCTGCAAGGTAAGGAAAATTAAAACAAATTGTAAAATTAATAAGAAAGTAAGAAAGAATTTAGAGATTCCTAGAATTTAAAATCGTTAGGCAATTACAATTTATATTTAATTGGTTTTTTTAGTTTGAAGTTTTGCAATATTTTACCTAATTTTTCCAATTGATAAGTTTTACTCTAGTTTATTGATTAACAGATAAATTATTCGGTTCCACCACCAGCCCACCAAGGCAAGCGATCGCACATTAAAAGCACTAATTGTGCGCTCTTTCCTCGATACTAAAGCTTTTATAAGTACAAGAATCGCATTGAAAACTTAGTATTGGTTGTACATTGAATCATAAAGCACACAAAGTTTTTAGTGATCCGTAAAGAATTTGAAATGATAGGTTAACGATTTTTTTTGGTTTGTGCTTGACATTATCTGATGTTTTACAAGTCATTTATTTATAAAAGAGTGGTTGATTGTTTCATTTTTTAAAGTTATGTAGACTAAAAGTTCTAAGTGCACTTACAAAAGTTCTTAAAAAACATCATGAGAATGTATCTGATTTATTGCATTTTTAAATTGTTTTATTTTGATCGTTGAATCTACTTTATTTATTTTTAAAATAAACTTAAATTTGCTTTTAAACTTGATACCCCATTTAACCTTGCTGAACATTTTTTTTAGTTTTTGTCCCATTAAATAGTTTTTTCCTCATTCAAAACCTTTTATTTTATTTAGTTTCAAAGTGATTCTTGAGAAGCGGAATAGGTCAGCAAATCAAAGTAGAAATAATTTCGTGAAAGCAAAAACTGGAATGGGTCCAATGAGCTTAATTTCAATGAATTATTTTAGTAAACACATTGCCGCAGTTGTGCGTACGGAAAGTCCATTGGAAAAGCAATTGCTTATAGAACATATGCCCCTTAATAAGACTGACTGAATGTATTTTGTACTCATTTAATTTTTGTTTATCTTGTACTCGTAAGAAGTGGCCAATAAATAATGTTTTTGCAAAGCCCACGAATTCCACTCGTCTTACCCTGAACTTACTATAAATAAGAAGTATTTTAAATATTCTTCTTCAGAAGCTGAACATAGTTTTTGGAGAGTGGATCGTTAAAGAATATTTTAATTTAATTATTTCTTAGGATTTCAATAGAAAAGTATTAATCAGTAAAGATTAAGAGGTTATTTAAAATAAACAAGAAATGAGAACATTGATAGCATTGCTATTGCTGGTGAGTAGAGCTACTTTTGTGGGAACATTTTTTACATCCTTTGGATCGGATTTCAAAGTTCTTATATAAAATGATATATGTATTAATTATTAGGCTGTTCATGCCAGTGGTGAAATCGATGGATTATATGCTCACAGTGGATCAGTGAGTTGTGGAGGATTACTTTGCCGTCCTGTCACGGGGATCTTCACCAGAGATCCCCTCCCTGAACTTGCTTATATACACGTTGCCAACTTACCAGCGGGTGCATCCAATATTTCAATAACGGAACTCAAGAATAGCATAAACTTGCTGGGTAACTTACTTTTTCTAATATTTCATAAGATATTTGAAATTTTTTCTTTTTTTGAACCCAGTTCTTCGTACTTCTAAAGATGTATCCATTTTCAATGGCGACAACAGTGTATCTGAAAGTGGATCTTATGAAGCTGTTGGTGCCGTCTTCGACTATCACCGAATCGATGGAGCTCTGGATAGTAAGGGGGTGACCGAGTGGATCACTAGCATTGGACCCATCAGGGACTCATTGCAACTTATGGTATTACCTACAAGAGAAAAAACATTTTTATAATATAATATTACACTAGATATTTTTAAACCTTTCCCAGGTTTTCACAAAGACACCTAACAATACTGGTGTAAAGTACGAGTACATGCTGCCGATAATATCCGAGTCCGAGGAAAATGAAATGTCATTGGAGAGTAGCGATGGCCTGTTGAAATCCGGCATCGAGGACACCAGTTCATCCAGTTCGAGCTCAAGGGCGGGACGAAAGCGTATCTTTAATTGGAAAGTAATTGGTTTCAGTAGCTGCACGAAATCCTGCGGAGGTGGCACTCAGGCACCCATTATACGTTGCATTCGAAAGAATCCATTGCGGTATTACTCGCAACGCCGTTGCATGCACTCCGCGAAACCGGTACTCAATGAGAACCTATTGCACTGCAACACGCAACCGTGTCCGGCTTATTGGAGATTTGATGATTGGGGTGAATGTCGCTGTACTAGTGGCATAGGTTTCCGAAAGAGGGAGGTAAGTTGTGTCCAGGAGTTGGCTTCCGGTCTGGTCATCCACGTTGATAAGGTCGCCTGCATGGAGGATCAACCAGCAACTCAGAAACAATGTGAATGCCCTAAAACCAGGCGTCGCAACCTATCTCGATATCGAATCCAAGGCAATTCAGAGTCCACGAATACGACTCAAGTCAAGAGAAGCAAAATCGATGGCACCGAAGCGAATGCTATCTGGTTGATGTCGGAATGGAATCAGTATTGTTCTGTCACTTGTGGTTCAGGTGTTGAACATCGTACTATATTTTGTGATCGTTCCAAGGCCGGTGAGCAGCGTTGTGATCCCAGCACAACTCCCGATAGTCGTCGTCCTTGCGAAAGGTCCAGTTGCGAAGTGGGAGATTGGTTCACCGGTCCTTGGTCCTCGTGTAATGGCGATTGCTTTGATTTGACACGGACCCGAGAGGTGTTGTGCATCCAAAACCAGCTAATCAGTGAGCCCAAGGAATGCACGCCAGAACTGAAGCCGGCATCCGTCGAGAAATGTTCGCACGAGGAGGTGGAATATTGCGCCGCCCGTTGGCATTACTCGGATTGGTCAGAGGTAACTAAACAGGGGGTGTTATGGAAATCTTTCTATTGAAATAATTTTTTATTACTAATAAAATATATAAACTTTTTTACAGTGTACAAAACCATGTGGCGGTGGTACCCAGCGACGCAGTGTAAAGTGTTTGGAATACGATATAAAGTTGAACGCTCTTCGGGAAGCTTCACAATGTCGGTACACAACCAGGGAGCCCATTTACCGTAATTGCAATGCGCAAAAGTGTGAAGGTGGGCATTTATTATCGATATTCGATATCTATAAAAAATAGCTGATAATTTTCTTTTTAACAGAAGTGCAAAATACTGAACCTGTATCGACTTGCACCGATAAGTTCGCCAACTGTCAATGGGCTTTCCAAGCGAAGCTGTGTAGCTACGATTATTATCGCGAGAACTGCTGTACTTCTTGTACGGGTGGCATTTAAAGTTTATAGTTTTTAAGAATCTTACTTAATTTATATATCGAATCATTAACCGCCGTGCATGATAGCTAAATAAAATACTATTAAGTTTTACACCGAATGACATTTCGTTAGCTTAAACATATAGTATTTTCTGACTCTAAGCTCAAAATAAAGCTTGCAGGGAAATGCAAATGGTAAAATATCGGTCAAGAAAACTGTATTAACGCAATTAAATAACACATACTAAAATAAACTAGATGAAGACTAAAACCACATAATTAGTAAAATTCTGCATTATCTTAAAATTAACATTAAGGATCGAAAAGCGATATTGTTTAATATGCAAAAACTTTAATATTAATAAACCAGAGATTAAAAGAAAGTGTGCATTTTTTCTCGTTTAAGAATAAATAAATCAAAATAAGTTTGGTTGTTTTACAATTTTATAAGGTAAACATTTTAGAGTGCTTTAGATAATTATAAGTTTTAGAGTGCTTTGCTTTATAGGGTATATCCCAAAATTTGCCAAACTAATCGTATTGTAAAGAAATACAAAACTTCAACAAAGCCCAAGACACTGAAACCAAGGAAAAGTCCAGCTGTTCCGCCAATTGAAACTGGAATAGGTAAAATTTTTTATTAAATTATAATTTATATGTATATAATTTAAAAGTTACCCAACAGATCGGTCATAGAGAATATAACCTGTCGCTTTAGTCGATTCTGCGGCCATTTTTTGACTGAAACAGCGGTTCCAAGTCCTCCTAGTAAGTTTTTTGCTCCGGCCATTGACTGAATAAATTGTTTATTTCATATATATATATATATATTTTAATATTAAATAAAAGCAATTTGGTACTTACGTTTAGGGCCCTCAATGTTACCACAGAATCTATGCAGTTCTGGTCACAATAGCAAAGCGACCTCTTGTGTTTCCCCTTTTGTTCGTACATTTTAAGCAAATAATCTGGTAAATGAATTTATTTTCACCTTTAATCTTAAAAAAATACTTTACTTTCTTTATACACCGAATTTATATAGCTCTTTCCGATTTTTTATATATTTTGCGATGTACTTACTTGTATGTTTAGTAAAACAGGATCTTAAAATTTTATAATCGCACACCGGCTTGGGATTTTTAACTAAAATAAAGAATTGAGATTTTGATGACATTATTTTATTTTTTAACTTACTGCGATTTGGGTAGAAATGAGGAATACATTTGCATATTTCATAGGCCAGATTAAGACGGCACTCTTGCTGACAAATAGTTCTAGTGTAGAAAGGAAAATGGGTTAGATTCGATTCGTGCTGGAACCGGCATTTTCTCATTGTAACAGTGGTATCTCTGCAAAAAAGTTTTTAAATTTTTAAAATTTTTTATTAGCTTTCTTAAAGATATGCCAAACTTGCTTTTCTAGATTGTCCTCAGCAATAATCTCTTCTAAACTTAGATCGTATGAGACTCCATCATATGCGTATTCGGAATTGGCGTCCACCTTCATGATGTCGAATGCAGAATGTAAAAAGCTCTTAAAGGGGTAATATATTGCTTATACTTATATTACAGGTTTGAACTATCTTAACTTACAATTATGGCCGGGCCTTTAAATCCCAATATGGTATATTGCGCGTCCTTTGAAAAATAGGTACCATGCTGATATTGAATTTCTTCACGTTGAAATACGTTAAGTTCGGGATACTTTCCAAAGATGGCATACTGGGCACTGTATTTCTCGGATAGCCTCGAATTCGTCATATAACATAAACCCCACTCAGTGAGAACCTGACGGACATGAATATGATTTGTACCGTCCTGACTTCGAATGCGTTCGTTGTAGTTAGGCTCGTAGGTTCTGTCATAGGTTAAATTGAAAATCAATTCCATGTACTTTTCCGGCTTTAGGCCAATGTCCTTAAGTACTTGATCAATTTCATCGCTTTCGGGAATGTTTTGGAAATTAGTGTACGTAGCATTCGCCAAATTTTCTAAGAAATCCCATAAAAGAACTTTCTGTGGCCCCTTGATGCCATTGTTCCTTAAATTAATTTGTTAATTTATAAGCAATAAAAGCTAAAAGAATATTGTTAACAATATATACCGACAATATTCACCAAAAAGGGTATCATTTAGACGATCCACTGTGCATACTGTAACACTAGGCAATGTGGTATTCCAAAAGAAATAGTTTCGCTATAAAATAAATGTTAGAAATAATAGTCTGACTTTAGATTAAAGAATTTAAAAGTACTTCCACTCCAATATGTGTGCTTTTCGTATAGTAACGATCAAAAGATGATAAGCAGACAATAACACAGAAATATATTGAGGCAATCAGCAGGGCTAGCCACAGGATTCTGGGGAAGTAAACATAAGTTTATAAATAATTATGGTTTAACATTTTCTAACTTACTTTTCAAAAAGAATTAGCATTGTTGTCGTTAAGTAGCGGAAACCATGTATACAACAATTATCGAAATATAAAACGAAAAAATGTATAGTACTTCCTAGCCATTTTCGATACTTAATGGGTAGTTTTTTGTCAACCATTTCATTTTTAATTTCTAAAGGCATCTTTTTACTAATTTTATTTTACATTTACTAAGTAAAGTATGTAATGTGACGTTGCTTCGAAGACTGATTAATGGATTTCGAAATCAAAAGTATTTATACTAATTTTCATTATTCAAGAACATTAAAGTAGCGTGTCTAAGCTGTGACTAACTTCATTACTTATTTAGGATTATTAGATTTTGCACTTGACATACTAGTTAAATATAAAGAGTGTTGTAGCTATTATTTTGACAGTCAGAATCAATTGCAAAGCTTGTCCATTTAGTTTATGGTTTAGAAATAAGCGGACCAATATAATGTAAAAATAACTGAATTGATTATCGATTAAGAACAAAATAGGTGAAAAAGTGAATATCCAAATGAAAAATATTTAATACTTCATAAGCTTTGTAACGGGTTTTATTAAGCATCAATAGTTCATTATAAAAATGTTATTTCTGCTGGATTATGAATGTACGAATTTGCATTGGGACCAGAGTAACGACAAATTCGGACGCGTCCATCGTAGAATTAGCTGCCAAAGGGTTATGGGGAGCGTAATAGTATTCAATGGATGAAGGAATACTGCCGGTGCTATCTTGATTAAACTTGTATCTCTTCACAGTGCTTAACTGCATATTTCCATCCAAAGTCGTTTCCCAAATCTGATCTCCACTCAAGGACTCAAAGAGCGGATAAATATTAAAGCTAACCACATTTCCTTCGGTTTTCATGTTTTCCACTCGTATCAAGATTTGATCCTTCGTATATGGTTCAAAGGAGAGAAGTTCAATCGATTGAGGGAGGTCGGTAAAATCTGGAATCAAATGTTTGTTTACAGAGGCCACGGCATTAGATTTGCTAAAAAATTTCCAAAAGTGTTGGTCCAACTTATGCTGGAGCAGTCGCTCTGCGTGATTTGGTTTCTCAAATGCCTCGGTGAGAATTAGAGAAATCTTTCCTCTTGCAATCAAACCAATACCGTACTGAGTCTCATTGAGGGCTTCACCAACTCCAAATGCATCGTCATTCAGAAGGCGACGGTGCAGCATCAGCTCCAATTCCCCATCTTTTAAGCTGGTTCCTCCCTGTGCTCTATCATTTAGCAAGGTGATTCGCTTTTCATCGTCTTGGAGGGAAATTTGACCGGTCACTGGATAATAGTTTCCACTAATGGACTCCGACATATCGGGATTAAAGTGTTCCCTTTGATTCCTCTCACGTTCCAGCATCTCGCGACCATTTGAGTCCGTATAATATTTACCCTTTGAGGCTATATTGCTGGTAAAACGAGTGATTATCTCTTTACCAACTTCATCATCCGCCGGAATCGGCCCAACCATCCATTCAAATTCCACACGATTTTCCTCATCGTAAATCCGGACAACCTGGGATATCCATTCGTTGACATGTTGATGGACTTCCTTGACTCTGGTGCCATTATAGAACGAAAGTTGAATTTTGTCATCCAGCACTTGGATCTCTCCGTCCGGACGGAAAATGTAGGCTCCGGATGAACGGTTGTTAGATTCACCGTTATTTCCCCGATATCCCTTGTATATTCCAAAGCTTTGCTGTACATTTTCGGTTAATCCGTTCATTTGAATGGTTTTCAAGCCACCAGTAGTTGTATCAAATGTGATTTTAACCAGCTAATAATATGTTTATAATTAATATAAATTAAAGGACTTTATAATTATACTTACCGAATTTTCCATTGTTAATTCTTCGGTCTCATCTTGGGCCTTCTCTACGGGGAAATACACATTTTCTTCCGCAATTTTTTTGGGGAAGGCAGTACGCGAATCAAGAAGTTGGCTATTTTCTCAACACTGGCTTTGAAAACCAATTCGTGTTGAGTTCCATTCGATCGATGTTCCAGAGCCAAAACTTCCCAAGGAACTGGGATAACTTCAGAAGGTACCTCGCGACCTAAAAAAATATTAAATAATAAATATATTATTCTACAATGTTCTATATATAAAGATTACTATACCTTTCTCATCGGTGACTATATAGTTTTCGTTCATCGCTGGGACACGCACATATTGCGTTGATGTATGAGCCAAGGGATTCATCAGGGTAACAATCACATTGTTGGCTGTACTCTGGGTGATGGCACAAACACTTATATTCAATTCCAGGCATGTTTGGAACTCTCCAGAGGTCAGATTGGTAAGAGATCGAAGGGCATCGCGCGCATTATTCTCCGCGCCAGTAATCGCCTTGTACAACATACGATCGTAATCCCGGGCAACTGCCTGTTTTTCAGTGCCTGTGACAGCATCATGATGCTGCATTATTCCCATGGCCTGACTTAGATTTTCCAGATCCTCCGAATGCTGAGAGCTGGTTAAATTGGCCAGAACACTCAGTTGCTTTACTGTCTGGAAAAAGTGATTTCCATCCCGGTGAAAGCGTTTTTGAGTGGGCCGCGAAGTGAAATAGCCCGTCCAGTAGGAGTGAGAGTCACTGGAATACGGAAAGAAATCCTCGGTCTTGTTCGGCCAAGTTTGCTGCAACTGATGCAGTTCGTAGAGATAACAGGAGGGCGTCGAGTAGAAAACGTTGACTTGCGATCCAAACGATTGGCGATCGTTGACGTACCTAATAAAAATTCGAATTATCACAGATAAGAGAATGGAAATAGTTAAGGTTTTTTATGTGTCCACTTACTTTATAAGCTTGTCCATATTTTTGAAATTCACTGCGGCGTCCTCGTACTGAAAATCATCTCCCATGGGCACCATTATGTGAGTGGATCGATAAGATTTTGACATTGTCTTAACATAGTCGATGAAGTCACTGACTCTTTTATCAACATTATTGTCATAGCTCTCGCCATCGATAATCGGGGCATCCTCGCAATTGATATCAAAACAAAATCCTGGCGGTGCAGAATAGTGATTGTACAGCATTCCAGTAAATATGTTTGAACTCTTTAAATATTCGCTTGATTGCCAAACCATTTCCATTTCTTTGTCCTCCAAACGTTTCTTTTTGTCAACATAATCCATGCGAGCGAAAAATTCACCGTTATATCCCATTTGTGCGAATACTAGAGGCCATTTCCCGAGAGTGGCCAAATGGATCAATTTGCCAGCCAACAGTGGGACGTCCACAATCGCCAAAGATGTCCTTTAGGTATCTACAAAATAAGGCAATAAGTTTAAGGTTTTTTTTGAATCATAGGTACTTACTTTAAGCCCAAATTAAACTGATCAATTACACTTTGGTAGTGAACAGTGGCTTCATCATTCATGCTCCAAGCACCTCCAGTGAACTCCAAACGGCCTTCTGCTACCAACTTTTTCACAAGTCGCTGAACGGTTTCGGTTTGCTCGTCATACCATTTCGAAAAGAAGAAAGTTTCCACCTGGATAAAACGACGATTCGAATCTTTCAGCAGCTCCTCGACCACTGTATCCAATATGTATTGGACTCCAGCGTGCTGGATCTTGTTTTGACTTCCATAGTAATACTGATCAACTGTTTTTAGCCAACCCACATCGTCGTGCGAATGGGGGACCAAATGAACATTGATCATGTTTTGTTTGGTGCTGGGACATGCCTATAAAGAAAGTATATTTACTAAATTTTAAAGAACTTTCTTTAAAAACCAATAAAATGATATGTCTTGTCCCAAAATTTTTTTTACAAACTAACTACTTGAGAAAGTCTTACCTTAAACCCACATGTTGATTCGGATACCGCTGTATTCAGTAAAAATACAGTGATAAAAACCAGTATAGTACTGAAATATTCCATTTTGGTGAACGCCAAGCTCTACGGAGGGGTCTTATCGTGGCTGTTGAGTCGAATAAAATGAAACGAGAAATGAGGCAACTCCTTAGACCCCAGCAATGTGCCACTTGAAGCGATAAACCTTGTACTGCGATCGAATTAACTTGAGTGGGATTATGATTATGAAATTAAAATCCATTTAGGAGCACCAGCGATAGCAATTTACACCCCAGATAGGGGGTTATTGCATTGGTTTGTTTATCAAGAAAACTTTTTTGCAAAAAAAAAATAAATATTTTAAATACATAAATGTATTGAAATGAACTTGGGTTTGGGGGCGCTTATCAGTTTTCAAAATAAGCATACATTTTCGTATTTGTTTATGTTTGAGTTCTAGTCAACGACATCTGTGTTTTGCATTAACATTCTTATCTCCGTTGCAATCATTTCAAGTAATTAATTATTCAGATTACGAAAAGAAATTGAATTGCTTTATGGTTTTGTACTCAAATAAGTGGTATATAAAGAGCTGGTCTTGTAAACAAGAAACATTTTCCTATTTTTATTGACAGCTCTTGAAGACAACATGTGCTTGATTCAATAGAGAAGCGTTTAATCGTTATAGTTATTAAGGGAAAGTAATGGTTTTTTTTTTTGATAATAATCATGAATAAGTTAAAATTGTGACACTAAACATATATGTATGTATATTTCGCCTGGAGATTGTTTATAAAGAATGCGCTAGTAAACAAGTTCTCACTTTCACACATTCATTTAGGAACTCATTTCTGTAATGTGCCAAAATATTTTATTGCATTGCTATTCTACTAACCAAAAATTTGAAGGTCAGTCCATCTCAAGCCTTTCCGGGATGCATCTGTTATAGACAAATGGCTTTTTAATTAGCAAAGGCTTAATGTAAGACTTCCGGTCATTAGTATGTAAACATTTTGTAGAATTTTGTAAATATACTTGTAGATATATTTGTAATTTTGGGAAATAAAAGACCTTTACTTAATTCCCAATAATTTTAACTTTAAAGAACAAAACTCCATTACCAATTTTTCTATTATATATTATGAAAATATTTAAAAGAAAATTATATTTAATTTCTTACAAGTAATCAGGTAGTTTGAGTTGCTAACTCACAATATAGTACTTATAGTGAATGAAATTTCTCAATTGGTTAAGTATTAATCAAGAAACTTAATCTCAACTTACAAAAGCGTTATACTATCTAAATACTTTTAGACGAAGTCTTTGATTAAGGGACTTGTAGCTAGTCAACTTATAGCTAGTCAATGAATAAGTTGTTCAAAAAACTCAAATTTAATTCAAATTTTCGATTATCGATTTTTTTTTGTTATATTAATTTCAACATCTGTACCAAGTTTAATGAACATCCTCTTTTTTGTTGAAGGCTAATTAAAGTTATTTACTGGCGATTTTTCTATCGAAAAATATGGATCAAAGGATTTGATTTTTGAAAAACAACACACAATAATGCTCACACCATATTCACCGATTTCCCATGTGACTTTTTTGTTCCCAAAACTGAAATAATCGAAAAATTTGAAAAATGCTTTTGAACACACCTCGTATAACTTCTAAAAGGTTTCGATAATCGAAAAATTTGAAATTCGCGAAATTTGAAGAGTCACCTTACTTTTTGAACACACCTCGTATACTGCAAGATAGTATGACCTTAAACTATAGAATCAAAATCCGTTGACCGGATCTGTAAAGCCTTATATTTTTTCTGTTTGCTAAGTTAATAGATAGAGCTATTCCTAGGCATATAAACTAATCAGGGTTATCAGTATTATAGTGTTTTCAAACTTTTCATTTTTTATTTGGTGGTTAAAAAATTTCCCCACATTCAGCTCATTAAAAAAAGGTTAAGGTTAATACTAAGTAACAATAGTAAGATACGAACTCGTATAGTCGAACTTAAGATTATTACCTCCTGTTGCTGAAGTGCACCACTTAGACCCTTTTCGAGTTTCTGATAGTAACATGGATTATCAATGCAATTGTGTGTGATCGGTTTTCAGAAACCAATTAAGTACTTCACCAATTTAAAGTGTTAAACCGATTAAATGGAGCTAAAGCCAAAGTCACTTTAGTAATCTATTAAGGAATACTTTAGAAGGCGCATGTACGAATGGCCCTATCAGTATACTCCATGCACACTACCCGGCAAAAATATACATACATATCTACATACACTCCCAAGTACAAACATATGTACGAATACTTGCTCACTTTCTCAATGTTCGTATGTATGTATAGGGCAATAAAGAATCATTCTCAAGTAGGTCTCGAGCTGAGTTTGCAGACCCCGTTTGAGCAGTCCGCTTCGAGAAGCCGATGCGATCGGTTGGGACGACATACCCTCTCCCCGAGTCGGTTCTTAAGCACAATAAGAGTGTGTGTGTATATACGTTAAAATACTGTCAAAGTGTAAGCTGTGAAAATCCAGTAATTGAATGCAAATTCTTGAAAAACTAAATCAAATATAAGAAACTGCAATGTCTGCAAAGACTACTCTGTGTCTGGCACTCTTTTGCGCCCTTGGCTGTCCTCATTCAAGTGGCCGAATCGCGGAGTATTCAACAAAAGGCATCTCAGTGTGGCTATCAGGTAAGTCGATACTCCCATCCCTAAGAAAAGGGAAAACAAAAGTAGTAGGCATGCAACATGTTCGGTCTAGCAAATAAAAAAAATTCCTGTAGGCTGAGTTTAAAATGAGAGAATCAACTTGATTACTGCTTTTGCCGGCAACCGTCGGCTTAAATTCTCTGCTGAGTATTTGTTGTTCGTTTTGTTTTGTTTTTTAAAAATGGATTATATTATATAAAGAGGGGTTTGATTATTTGTTTTGCTTTTCTTTTTTGCACTGATAAGCATCAGAAAAAGAGGAAAAGGTAAAAGACTTTGTTAGTGGAGTGTTGATACGGCCTTTTATACATTTTCCAGTCAGAAATAAGAAAATGTTGGAACTTATTAAGGGTTAAATGCGTTATTTTTTGTTAAATGTTTGTATATATACCTATAAAGATTTATCAAAATATTGCATAGCTAAAATTAAAGTATGATTTTTGTTATAAATGACAAAAATATGTCAAAATTGATTTAAAATATCATTTTTTTGTATCAAGAGAAATTCTTAGTATTTTGAAAACATATTTTTAATCGCCTTTTTAATGCTAATTTTTTCGTATGCTTTTAGTGTTTTAATTGTTAAGCTTTTAGCATCATAAAGATTTTTAATTTAATTTCCAGAGCTGCCATGCAACAAAACCCAACATGCTGAATGTGCATCTTGTGGCACACACTCATGATGATGTTGGCTGGCTGAAAACCGTTGACCAATATTATTATGGCAGCGAAACTAGGATCCAAAAGGCTGGAGTACAGTATATAATCGATTCGGTTGTGGAGGCTCTACTAAGAGATCCTGAGAAAAGATTTATCTATGTGGAATCTGCATTTTTCTTCAAATGGTGGAAGGAGCAGAAACCCAAAGTCCAAGAAGCTGTTAAGATGTTGGTGGAGCAGGGAAGACTCGAATTTATTGGTGGAGCTTGGAGCATGAATGATGAGGCCACAACACATTACCAGAGTGTGATCGATCAGTTTTCTTGGGGATTAAGGTGTGTTAAAGAAAAATCTGGTAGTAGTAGAGCCCAACTAATATAATTACAGACTTCTGAACGATACCTTTGGAGAGTGTGGACGCCCGCGAGTTGGATGGCAAATTGATCCCTTCGGTCACTCTAGGGAAATGGCTTCTATGTTCGCCCAAATGGGTTTCGATGGAATGTTTTTCGGTCGTTTGGACTACCAAGATAAGGACGAACGTCTTATGACCAAAAACGCTGAAATGATATGGCATGGATCAGCAAATCTTGGTAATTAAAATCTTATCTAATCTTTATGGTAAGAAATCTGAAACTAATTTGAAATTTATAGGAGAGGAAGCGGATCTGTTTAGTGGCGCTCTCTATAATAACTACCAGGCTCCAGATGGTTTCTGTTTCGATATTTTATGCAGCGATGCCCCCATAATTGATGGCAAACACAGCCCAGACAATAATGTTAAAGAGCGCGTAAGAACTGATACCATATGTAGTGTTTTTTTTTAGTGTTTTCTTTTATGCTTTTTGGCATTGGTTGAGCGTTTTGTTTTTGTCTTTTGTTTGTGTCCCTCACCACATCAGATCGATACGTTTTTGGATTTCGCCAAGACCCAATCCCAATACTACCGCACCAACAATATCATAATCACAATGGGTGGGGATTTCACCTACCAGGCTGCTCAAGTCTATTATAAGAACCTCGACAAATTGATACGGTAATTGCATATTGTATTGTCCTTTTCATAAGCTAACTGTTAAAGAAAGCCCCTAAATTCAAAATTGTTCTGTCCAAAAATGTGCCGTCTTTCCCATCGAAAATACCAGTTAATACCGTATGTGTGACAAACAGGTGGATACTTTCTTGGAATATGTTACCAAAATGGCCGAAAAGTTCCGCACTCCCAACGTGATCCTTACAATGGGTGAGGATTTCCATTACCAAAACGCCGATATGTGGTATAAGAACCTGGACAAACTGATTAAGTAAGTAGGGGCTTTCCTTGACAGAGTTTAGCGATTGGATGTAGGAAAGGTAATTATATAGTTTTTGTCTTTGCCAACTCACAGATACGCAAATGAGCGTCAGGCGAATGGTTCGAATATAAACCTTTTGTACTCTACACCATCGTGTTATCTGAAATCTCTGCACGATGCTGGTATTACTTGGCCGACCAAGAGCGATGACTTCTTCCCCTATGCCTCCGATCCCCATGCTTACTGGACCGGATACTTCACATCCCGACCTACTTTGAAGCGATTCGAACGGGATGGTAATCACTTCTTGCAAGTTTGCAAGCAACTGAGTGCTCTGGCACCCAATAAGCCTGAGGAATTTGATCCTCATTTGACTTTTATGCGTGAAACCCTTGGAATAATGCAGCACCATGATGCCATTACTGGAACAGAGAAGGAGAAGGTGGCCTTGGATTATGCCAAGAGAATGAGCGTTGCCTTCAGGGCTTGCGGTGCAACCACTCGAAATGTGTTGAATCAATTGACTGTGACATCGAAGGAAAATGTCAAAGATAAATCGGCCAAATATGTATTTGATTTCAAAACTTGTCCTCTTCTGAACATCACTTCCTGTCCAGTCTCCGAAGAAAATGAGAGATTTGCCCTGACTCTGTACAATCCTCTAGCCCACACTGTCAATGAGTATGTGAGGATTCCTGTAGTGGATCCCAATTACAAAATTATTGATAATAAGGGTAAGTTGTAAGAAAAATCTATGATGATATTTCTAATAAAATAAAATAATATATAACTTCAGGTGTTACTTTGGAAACACAAGCTGTTCCAATTCCTCAAGTTCTTATTGATATTAAGCACAGAAATTCGACTGCCAAATACGAAATAGTTTTCTTGGCCACCAATATTCCGCCTCTGGGATATCGTACTTACTATGTGGAAAAACTAGAAAGCACTGAGGGTACCACAAAGACTATAAAGGCTTCGCCGAAGAGCACTACTAGTGTTACAGTAATTGGAAATAGTGTAAGTTATCTATCTCTAAAATCTAAATATTCCAAAATTATATGATTTTTTAATATTTTTAGCACATTAAACTTGGCTTCGACACCAATGGTTTCCTTTCTGAAGTCACAGCTGATGGTCTTACCAGATTGGTTAGCCAGGAGTTCTTGTTCTACGAGGGAGCTGTTGGAAATAATGCTGAGTTCCTGAATCGATCTTCTGGTGCCTATATCTTCCGACCCAACGAGAACAAGATTCACTTTGCCACCGACCAAGTTGAAATCGAAGTCTACAAAGGGCGATTTGGTTCAGGAAGTCCATCAGAAGTTCAACGATTGGATTAGCCAGGTGGTGCGTGTCTATAACAAGGATTCCTTTGCGGAGTTTGAGTGGTTAGTTGGACCCATTCCCATTGATGATGGCATTGGCAAGGAAGTGATTACTCGCTTCAATTCTGACATTGAGTCTGAGGGCATTTTCCGCACTGATTCTAATGGTAATTTTTATCGATTTTATATTTGAAAATATCTATTTTTATCGTTTAAACTATTTTAATAGGTCGTGAGATGATCAAGAGGAAACTCAACCATCGTGATACATGGAGTGTGAAGATCAACGAAGAAGTGGCTGGAAATTACTACCCCATTACCACCAAAATAGATCTGGAGGATGAAACAGCCCGTTTGGCAATCCTTACGGACAGAGCCCAGGGTGGTAGCTCCTTGAAGGATGGATCCTTGGAACTTATGGTTCACCGTCGTCTCTTGAAGGATGATGCCTTTGGAGTGGGCGAAGCTCTGAATGAAACTGAATTTGGAGATGGACTGATTGCTCGTGGAAAACACCATCTCTTCTTTGGACAATCCAAGGATCGCGAAGGTTACTCCCTGAAGGCCATTGAGAGATTAACCCAACTGGAGAAACTGCTGCCCACTTGGAAATTCTTCAGCAACATGGAGGCTTACAGTGCCGAGGAATGGCAGGCATCCTTCACGAATATTGTAATGGGCTTAAAATATTTATTATTTATTTTATAAATTAATCTCAAAATACCTTTGATTACAGTTCACTGGCATTTCATTGGTTTTGCCAAAGCCTGTGCATCTTCTGACCCTGGAACCCTGGCACGAGAACCAACTTCTGGTGCGTTTCGAGCACATCATGGAGAACGGAGAGGATGCATCATACTCCAAACCAGTGCAGTTCAATGTTAGGAATGTCCTAAGTGCTTTCGCCGTTGAGGGCATCCGTGAAACAACTTTGGATGGCAATGCCTGGTTGGACGAAAGTCGACGACTGCAATTCGTCCCAGATCCCGAAGATGCCGCATTCAACACATATGCCACATTTTCGAAGCCAGCTGAGTCAGTGCATCTTCTAAGTGCCGAGAAACCATTCCTGGAAGTTAAATATGCCAAGGAAGCTCTGCCAGCTGGTCAACTGGGTGCCGAGAGTAACCGTATTAAGCGCGAAATAATCTCCGAACAGGATTATAAGGAGGATGGACGATCATCTAAGGTTACGGAGGGTGCCTTCAACACCTTCAAGTCAGATAGTAGCAATCAAGATTACATCATCGAACTGAGCCCCATGGAGATCCGAACATTTATTGTTTATTTGACTGCGGCTTAAGGGTCTTATTTATGTAAAGCAAAAAGTAATGTTCTTAATAAAGGTAAACTTGTAATGTAATATTCTTAGATGAGAACTTTTTACCTTTATTTTTGCCTTTTTCCACAAGAATTTCCTGAAATTTCCTCTAAAAGTAACTTTAAGCTTCCTTTTAAATATTTTCTTATAGAGAAAAGCACAGCCTTCTTGCCTTCATTTTAGAATGCCCAACAATGTCATTTTCAAGTGATGGCAATCTTTTGTTTCTTGGGTATGAGACGGCCTATTCGCACTTGATTTATTTGTTTGAGTTGTCTTAAGTCTGTGTGTGGAAATTGCGGTCAGAAAAGATGTGAGATGATCAGCCATACCAAAATGTATACTTCCCATACCTTAAAACAGCCCCCAAGCAACCCTCGGAATGCAGTACATATATGTACTTTAACTTTTTTCATTATTCCGCAATGACTATGGGGGACCAACTATTTTTGGTAGGGGACAGACATAGGCAGATTTAGGTCCTCCCTGGAATTGCAATGCAGATGTTTTAATATTTTTCAGGCATTCATATTTAATTAAGCCTCCCGCTAATTAAATTGCGGGCTACATTTAAGGAAGGGGCATGTATGTACTTACTTACTTACTTAGTTAATTATAGAAGTGTGGCAAATGGGACTGCATTCCATTCTGAAAATATTTTATAACTTACCTCGACTAAAAGCTAACCTTTAAAGCTGTGGTGCTCAAATTCGTCTTACGGCAGAGCATTTACTAACACAAATACACGAAAACGTGCATATATTTGGTGTCGCTTTTGTGGTGGTTTGCAACTGTACACTGAGAAAAAGAAAAACACCCTCTTTTTGCTAACCAACTCATCACTCATTTCAAGATTCATGTCGATGCTCCATTGAGAAATAAACTGTAAAGTGCAAACAGAAGTTATAAGGAATGAATTACAGTGCAGGTTTTCGAGGATGATCGAGGAAGAAACAAGAACAAATTATATTGGAGTTGGAGACGGAATGGGGCGAAAAGAGAAACACCGAAAATTGTTAGTGGAAAAGCACGGCGAGGATTTACAAAAACAAATAAGCACTCAAAGCATAGGCGTTGACCACCTCTGCTTTGAAAGGGATATTTTCTAATGATTTTTCTTACGAATGTTGCTCATATTCAAAAGTGAACTATTTTCCCTTATACCCCTTCTTTGAGGGGTAACAAAAGTCCATTTAGTCCATATATAAGGGCGCAGATGCTTGTATGTTTACCCTCTTTAATAAAAAATTCAACTATTAGTTTTGAAGGAGAAAGCAGTAGTAGAATGCGAAAGCGGCTTTTAATGAAAAAAGTTGGAAACTTGCAGAGCCAAAGGGGTAAATCGTTTAGTTTCATTTGTTCTTATTTCAACTTAACATTTAAACAGTTTTCTCATTTGTGATGTTTTCAGGGACTTTATTGTTTAAAAATGCATAAGAAGTAACTAAATTTCCACTTTAAATAAATTGAAAATTCATTTATTTTCTAAGAAACATTTGTAAAATTGTATTTATTTTCACTTTTCAGTATATGATCTTGCTTTACATTCATATATAAACTAATTTCTATAAAGTTGTCTATTCCGATTATAATATAATATATTGCCTTTCACATATCGTAAGTGCATGTCTTGTATACAGATAAATATACCTATTATTTTGTAATAAAAGCTTCGAATTTATTTGCACGTCTTTTCAGCTCTTGTAATTAGCCTATTTGTTTTTGATTGTGAACTATATAGGATACTATAATGCGTATATTAATTTTACAATCAATCTAAACGCATTCTCTACGCCTTTTGTGTACATAAATATTATTGTATTAACGCATTTAACAGAAGCGTACGCATGCTATCCAATCTTAAAGGCACATCTTTTATTTATGATATAGATATATATATATATATATATATAATTTTGTTGATTTTGGTCTGTTTGGTTTCTAATATAAGTAGTATTGTGCACTCATACAGAGTCTAAGTGGTCCCAATCGTTGCGGGCCCAATTCGGTAACTCCGTTTCATATTCCCATCCAGGGCCCTAAAAAAAAGAGTAATATTAAAGTTATTATTATCTTAACTATATAATTAGTAAGTTATGACAAACCTTGTACTTCCATGCATGCAGATACATTATAAGGTCCTTGGATTTCGGATCGCGATAGTGCACTTTGCACTCATAGCAATGTTCATCGACTGAAAACTTTGTGCCATTGCATCCACTGCCACCCAATGGACCCTCCATTGAGTCCAGCAGAGCTGGTGAAATTTCCGTGGAAGACTTCGGGGCAGTAACTGGATACTCCTTGATTACATTTGTGTTTTTCGCACTGCTGTCGGGCTGCTGAGCTTCCGTGCAGGGTGGTGTTGTTTCCCTTGAATTAACTCCAACATCATCATCACTGTGATGAACAACTACAAGATGTTATTAGATAAGTTAACAAACTCAAACAGGATGCTATAGGTTTACTTACCGGAAGTGTGCTCACTGCTGAGACTTTCACGATCTACCTCGTCCTTGGCGGTCTTAAACATTGATATATCAGAATCACAATCTATGCCCAGCCAGTTCTCAGCATTGTGTATATTTATGAGATCTCGTATAAGCTCATCATCTGACTTGCCACCAATATCCCCAGAACGTCCTTTCAGAGGACCGAAGACTTCATGATTGTAAAGAGGATCATTGAGTATGGGAAAACCTTTAGGGGATGGACTCTTGAGTTAGTATTATGTTCAAGGAAAATATATATTAAGACCCACTTACCCAAGTATTGCAAGTGAACTCTTATCTGATGCATTCGGCCAGTAAGTGGCTTGCAGAGTACCACACTGGTTGTGCCATTTTGGGAAAGCTTTTGGAAAGTCGTCGTGCAATCTTTGCCCTTTGGAGATACCTTGCACACGCCAATCTTGTAGCTAACTACTTCAATGGGCTCCTTGCACTCCACAATACCACTAGAGAGTTATAAAAATTTATAGTAAGACCACGTCAGTTAGGAATACCTTTAACTTACTCTGGAAAAACACCTTCCACCCTGCATATATACTCTTTTTCCACCTGCCTGTTGCGAATCTGCTGCTCCATTTGGCGGGCCTTTTTGGGACTACGTCCGAATAACAAAAGTCCGGATGTCAACCGATCAAGTCGGTGTATAGTGCGTAGGTTCTTAAGGTTAAACTCCTTGGCCAGAATGAAGACTACGGTGTTGTGTCTGTAACGTCCGCAAGGATGGACCTGCAAAAATGCCAGCACAAAATATTCTTAGTAAAATCTATAGTTAGTTAGTAAGCATTAAAATCGACGTATACAGATGTTCAGGAAGTAGGCTTTTCACACAGTGATAACATTAAAATACAGACTAAAGTAGAAGTAGTTAAGTAGTCTCTGTATTAAATGTGTAAAATGGCAGTCGTTTAAGCCACTTACAGGTATCGATGCTGGCTTATTTACAACTACAATGTCCTCATCCATATGCACAATTTTAATTGGTTGACAAGTCACAGGAACTTCGTGTCTGTAAAGATAGCCATGAAACTCGGGTTAGTTTGATAATATATCATCTCCGTCGGTTGTTTCATTAGAGATCGGGAAGTTTATTATGATCTGCTAAACGGATAACCTACTTTAATGCGATATTTTCATGGCTCATTGAAGCCAAATTTAATGGGTTGTACCTTATGTTTAAGATCGTGGAATAGAATAGGTAATCATAAAGTTTATGATATTGTAAAAAGTTAATGAGTAATTTTATTTATGTTTTTTAAAAGTATATGATAGAGAAAGTCATTCATGGGACTTACTTTAGTTGGTTTAAGAATGATATGTAAACTTATATTTACTTTTTATTTTGCAATATTGTCACATTGGTTTATAAGTTTGATATTTAAAAAATCGATCAAAAATGGATATGTGATTGTCATTTGTTATTTATGATGCTGGGACAATACAAGGTAAAACCCTCTTGCCGCAAGTCATTTCTTTCAATGCACTGGCATGCAGCGAGCATTAGTTTGCTTTATTGGGTGGAAAACACATTTATAATAAGCAAAATATGAAGAAATTACACGGAACACAATTGCAATGTTTCGAATCTGATAATTAGCATTGTGTGTGCTGTGCTTTGAAGTATTATTAATGAAATATTTAGTTTTTAATTACCTGTGAACAATATTAGCAAGTAGATCATTATGTTTTAGCCGATAGTCAATGGGTACTTTCTCAAAGTTCACGGTCAAAGTCCCAGTTTGGATGCATCTTTCGTACTCCTCGGCAGGATGTGCCCGGAACTCTCTAGAGAATATATCCAAGATCTTTTCACCCACCCAGCGTCCTTTTGTGAAGGTTGTGAATGTAAAGTAGTATGGGTAAACCTTGCGAAGACCTATTTATAAAAATATTTTTAAACAACATATCCCTTTTGCTGGTTAGCTTAATGTCTTACCATTTTCCATATAGTAGGAAGTTTCCTGATATCTTTCATCTGTGAATCCCGGCCTCTTAGCCTTCAAAGCTTTTGTCTCTAGTTTAGCCTTGGGGAAAAGATATTATTTTTAATAATAGCAATTAACGATTGTATTAGCTAATAATCTGAATAAACAAACAAAGTATAAATTGATAATTGATAATTTCTTTCACTTACCTTTTTGAGTTCTTTTATTTGATCATTATCATCTGTTTTCCGCTTTTCTGGTATCTTAATCTTAAGATTGTCGGAGTCCCTTGGAGAAGTAGTCTGTTAAAAATAAAAATTACCAATAAATTGAAATGTACGAGTATATCATGAAAGGAAAATCTTGATAAAGTTCTTATAAAAAAGTGAAAGAAAATCCCATAACATGGCCTTAGCTGCTTAATCCGATCAACTGCAATTTTAGCCCAAATCTATTTTCACCTTCCTCTCCCCTTTGTTTTTCAAGTATTATTTTTTTGTTTGGTTCTTCCTCCATTAATCTTTGGTAGACCCATTCCATTTGGGTCAAATGGAGATGCCATTAGCTAGCAAGTCAGCAAGACTTATGTTACACTATGCCTTATATTACGTAAGTTCATACAGATATGTACCTAAATATTGTTCTAAGAACACATATATTTATAAACAGTTGGGGATATGTACTTGGCTTCGACGCTTATATGTCTGGTGCCTTCACAGAGCTACTATTGGCTGACGTTTGTCTTTTATGCGGGGTACTCGAAGGTAAAAGAGTATATTGGATTATATTTTGAGTGGATGTAACAGAAATTTGAAAGAAAAACTTGATCTATTATGTAATTGGCAGTACTTACTAAGAAATATAAAGAAGATATCTGTAAGTTAAGTACAGAATATAGTAAAAATATGATAAACCTATTAAAAAGAATGAAGGGAGAGTGTTGTCTTCTTATCTAAAATGTGGTAGGTACTTCTAAGTCTTATAGATCTAATGAAGAAATATGCAAATCTTTAAAATTCCAAAAATTATACTTTAATGGCTAATAGCTGTTTCTCCTCTACTTAAAAATTCCATTCGAATTAAAAGCCCCCGACAAAAAGTTGAGGATAACTATGTCAAGTACCCGGTATCTGCTAGTCGTATTACTCCATTATGGCGCTGCTCTGTTCGTTGCTTTCGTTGGCAATGCGCCCAACGGGTGATGGAAACATGTTGCATGCCCAAAAAGTCGCGCGGGAGAGCCACGGACCACGGGAGATACCATGGGTTGGCGTTCGGCACAGCTTCGATTCTCAGCGAAATCCCCCAAACTTACAATGGGTCTAAAACGCGTGGATACACATATGCATGACCGTGTACATATTTGAAAAAAAAAAAAAAAAAAATAAAAAAACAGTCTCAACCTAGAACAATGCACAGAAGATACACTCGAAATATATGAATACGTTTTAAATTTAGATCGTTATGAACAGCGGAATATATACTAGCGCTGCTGTACTAACCCAAAAAACACCTCAAACCATCGTGAAAGCTAACTGCAAGTATGTTCTGGGCTATGTTTCTGATATATAATATACTAACAAATTTTTGAAAGTTTTTTATTTCAAAATCATCCTGTCAAAAATTTGATTTAAGGCAGCTTAGATTTCAAATTCATTGAAAAATCGGTTGCTGTTTAGTACGGAAATGGGAAGACCAAAATCATATTTCCAACTTATTAACGGAAGTAATCTGAATATCCTACTGTTCTTAAGTTTATTGTTAGAAAAGAATTCAAACTAATTTCTTGTATTTCTCACTTCAGATTATCTTAAATTCCGTTTAAGATAAAGTCTACAAAATACGATTTGGATCCGCTTAACTCACACTTTATGTTAATCTCGTGCCATGTAATTGCCAGTTTTGATTCAGCGGATGGAGAAGATCAACTTAAGATGAGACTAGCAGATAATTGTTTATTTTTGTTTATTTTTTGCAGTAAACAACGAGCTGGCAACGAGTTTCGGTTTATACAACAACAACCAAACTAAAGTGGTACACAAACACGTCAGCAGTAAATATTTGTTAGAGACTACATTAGTGCATGTCCTCCACTAAAAATAAATCAGTTCTGATTGACATTAAAATTTTAAAACACATCATCTAATAAAAACTAATGCCTATTTTGTGGTCTTTTTATTTTTCAACGCAACGCTTGAGTTACTCCCCCCTTTTGTTTTTTTTTTCTAATGATATAAGAATAAATTTTCGGAAATTCTGGAGAGCCAAAATTAGTTCCGTCAGATGTGAGATCGGGCAAAAAATAATGCGTTTGTATTGCCCAATTACCGGTGATGATTTCCATTGAACACAAATGAATGAAGACGAAGACCCCCACCTACACGCTTTTTACGTCTACTCATCCATGGGAGATGAGTATAAACGAAGATGATCAATTAATTGAATCATTCAACAGCGGAGACCTGTTGCCAGCGATCTTGGCGTACGGCGGTCCTCATCCCACATGCCACTCTCACAGAGACACGATCATTGTTAATGTATTTAAGATTCTATATATATATATATATATGTATATAGATATAGGTAGACATCTGCATATATTCATGAGCATATATCTATATGTGCATAATGCATATCCAATTATACTCGATAGCTAGAAGCACGGAGTATATTGGTTTTTCCGAAAACAATCGTGAACATGGCTTTATCTTAGTTCTAAAGAGATTTAAAAATATATTTCATAAAACCACAGTTTCCGGTTTATCACAATGGCATTGCATATTCCAAGGTGACTCCGAGGTATTTTCCTGTCGAAATATTTTTATTTTCCTATGCAAAATAGTTTTTTCATTTTGATAAAAATTTTGAAGCAAATGCCGGGCGATGCCGGCTGCGTGGTGCTAACATAGAATATTGGTGTCTCATTCTAACACCCGGAATATATTTATGAGTCCGCCCACCCCAAGGCTGTCCATGGAGAAGATGTGGAGGCGTGGGGCGAAGTACAAATCGCGGTCGGCACGCTTTTATCGCCTGCACAGCGAATGTGGTGTTGCGCAAGGTGCGAGAGCAGGCCGGCGAATGTCAGCCCCGCGTCTGGAAAATCTACGAAAACTACACGTGACTCTAGTGGTCACCACCCACGGCTTTATTAATTATCAATTTTCAAGACCACTCATTATAGTATGTTAGTTTTCCCTCTATTGTTATTTATACCTGCCCGGGAAATCAAGAATCCTTATTTATAATCAATTTTTTCCAACAACGCTAATTAGTAAGATTACGCATTTGATATATATATATAGAGAGAGAAAGAGAGATATGATTTCTTGTTTGAACTAATTTTGTAAACAAAAAAGAATGTTTTATAACTGAAAACCACGTCATTGATTTATATAATCAACTTGAGATAGGTAGAAGAAAAATTTGAAAGCAATTTATCTATAAAGAAACTCAGACAAGGAGAGTGGATTTACAATAAATATTTTTTATGTTTCTTTAAATTGATTTAAGGATGGGAATTTTCCTACAATAATATACTATACTATTATACAATATTAAATAAATATTCCAAGTAAAGTTGTTAACTCAAAACTGAACTCTTACTAATTAAACTTCTGCATTTTCCTAACCAACTAGTCTGCAATTCCTACGAACTTCTAAGAACTGCAACTGTAACCCCTGCAGTAAGCTAGCAATTAAAATATCTTTAGTGATTTATATCGCCTTTAACTGTAAGAAATCCAAGCCAGTTTTTGATTAAGAAAACTAGAAAACTAGATTGCAGTAAGTAGGCTCTTACCAAATACGGCAAGCGGTTGACGAATGCATTTAACTGGACAAGAGTTAGATTTTAGAGTAGCAAGTTGCAGGAATGGTCCAGCGGCATTCTTACTCAACTTGTCCAATAACGGTGCTTCTTGCCTACTTAGCCATAAACGATACGATTTTCCAGTTCGCTGTTGGCTATGAAAAGCTCTTGACAGAACCAAGATCAAACGCAGAAATTCTATACTGCAGGTGCAACGTGCATCCGCTTCAGGGGCTAACCAAAAAGATTTTAAGGGGGGTTTTTAAAGGTGCAATTATTTATATTTTAAAAATTATTGTTTTTAATCAGAGATTCTAGTTTTTTAATTGAGGATTAAGAATCAATATTGCATCAATATTCTAATCAAAGTAATGTTCTTGTCATAAAAGCTTTTATAAATCTCTGAAGTTAGATTTTATTTCAATTTGATTGACAACTTTAATAAATAATTGATTAGATTGATGATGCTAACATTTCCAACTCTCTAGGAGGATCTTTAACCCCTTGTCACACCGTGACTGCCCAACTGTCTATAAATATAAACGTGAATTGTTAATGTGCCTTCAGATGCAACTTACTTGATTTTCATGGTCATAAGCTAGCAAGTGTAAAGTTATAGACATTGCGCTGTGTGTATATTACCTATGTGCATTAAACAATGGAAAACATCTCGGAGCTAGTAGCTAGTAGCATGTTTGGAGTAAGGCTATAACTGAGACCTTGACCAACTCATTCGGCTGCCCGCTCACCATTTGGCTTATGAAATCATCGGATTTCAAAAGATAGCCACAGTGGAACTGCAAACAGCGGCTAAGTAGCATATAATAAAGCAGCTTAAGCGATGCGGAAAATCTGAAAGCCAAAGCTTCATGTTTACGTCGAAAATGTAACTAGTCTTCGAAATTAAAACAGAAAAAGACTTTATTGTTAAATAATGCAGACCAATGTTGGGCAAACACTCGACAAGATACTTTCAAATATGAAATAATTTGATATTAATTTTGACATCGACGTCTGTATAAATTGAGCAACACCTTGTTATGGAGTAACATCAGCAATTAGTGGTGCTTGGATTACATTTTCAAAGCAAATTAGAGAAAGGAAATTGAATTTACTTTAAGTATTAATGGTATATCAATGGCTTGTATAAACATACAATAAATTTATTTGATAAACATATCCGTTTTGTATAAACAAACTATTAATTTATGTGGTAAACCAATAATATTATTGTCCTAAGAGAAGATAAATCACTGCTGGCATGCATCAGTAAGTGATTCTCTATAAACTTATGCAAAATACCTTCCCCTCTTTTTTTCTGTGTATCAATAGACGTAATTTAAGTGCCAACCTCCGTTCAAGTACGAATAGTGCCTATCATTACAAGTACTAAGCAAACTGTAGCTCACCTTTTTATTAATCGGCACCTCGGCACTTGGCAAGACCTGGATGGCGGCTGAGAGCGTAGACGCTGGGTTTCGCAGCAGGTTGAGATTGATGGACGACAGGTGATTTAGTTCCTGGTGAGGGCAGGCAGTTCAGTGGCTGGACCATGGAGCAGGCGTTAGGAGTTGCCCGCGGAGCCATCTGTACGGGCACTTGAACCGGCACTTGGTTTGGTGTCTGTTGAGTGGCCAAATGGCCACCAGGTGCCCCTCCAGTGGCAGCCATTAGGGATTGTTGGGCAGCTGATGTCAGGGGTACTCCACCGAAGGCCGTGTGACCACCGCCGGCGGCAGGTGCATAATAAGCTCCAAGAGGCAAAGAGGAAAACATGGCAGAGTGCATCAAGTGGGATTGAGGTGCCAGGGCATTCTGATTAAGTTGTCCGGCATTCAAAAGCTGCGGTGCCAGATGATTATACGGCGATCCCATGTGGAAGTGAGCTCCGGGTGCGGCACTTGGATGCAAAGCGGGCTGTTGGTAATTTGCCGGAGGAGCTGCGGCCGTATTTGGTGAGAGTTGCTGCTGCATTTGTGGTTGGGCAGCAAAAATCCCACCCACCGAAGTGGCACCCATCTTGTCCAGAAACGGCGACTGCATCTGCAGCATCTTCTGTTGATGCTGCTGGGCGGCCAAAGACCATGGTAAATACCAGGCACACGGGGCCGGGGAATTCTGCATTGTTTTTTTTTAGCTCTTCTTTTCTTTTAGTATTTCACTTTATAAGACGAAACTGCAGATTGAATTGGTTTTTGGGAAATTACATTAATAACGATTGGGTAACAAAATAGCGCGGAGGCACAGATCCATTCCCATTCCCGAGTTATACGATCGTTTGTTTACTTTCATTGCGCAGTAAATTTTCGAGTCCATACATACTATCGCACTGAAGCTTTTAAAGTCAATTACAAATCGATGTGTGTTCGTGTTTACATATTGTCTTGGCTATAGGCGCTGTTTCGACTGTTTTATTTGAAAATTCAAACCGATTTTAAGGTTGTATAATGTGAATTAAAAATCTAAACAAATTTGAATATTTATTTTTTTTTTAGTGTTTATGAACACCTTCTATATGTAGTATACCTTTATGTGAAACTGTGTGTATAAAAGTTGGATATTAGCTCCGGTCCATGCGTTAATTTGTGGTTCCCATTAGCAGATTGCCGTTAAAAAATTCTCCATCGCACACAAAAAAGTCGGAACAATATGTGGATTAGTTTCTCACTGCTTTAACTTTGTCTATAAGGCAATCAGGTGCTTAAGAAAATATATTTTTAAATATCATATTTTTATAGCCAATAATGGGTTAATGGCTCAACTACAAAGAACACAACCATAAGAGTTCATATTTTCCAGTCCAAAAACGAAAGTCAAACGATTATTGGAACTTTGAAGATACATTTAGAATACATGCTGGAGCCATCTGTTTCTTTCGACTCTAATTGCACGAGACAAAGTCTAATGTATCCTCTAAAATACGTATAAACCTAAATTCAGACGTCTACATGCGTTCGTCAGTGTTGTTTTTGGCTTTTTGGCCAAAAAAGAAATGCGTATGCGTGCTTATATATCGGGTTAGATGAATGTGTAATGGAATAATACGTATACGAGACAGCGCATTAGGATATCGGCGGGCGATATAATGCTATTTAGACAGCATCAAAAATCAGGTATATAGAAGATGAGCCAAAATTTTGCCTTACCACCAACTGAGACAAATGGCACAAATGCGCACGTGTAAACATTTTTATTTACGCTAGGAGCTTGTGCTAAAATAAGTTTTGTATATTACTAGGTCTGATGCTCGGGTCTTTTCTGACGATATACCAGAAAATTGTTCGAAACATTTTTTCAGTTCCTTAATACGCAAGAATGTACATAAACACAGAGATATATATGAAGACACACTCAGTTTTGTCATCACTCTTCTTTTGTCTTAGTTCCATTTTATCAACCACAATTGTGTATCTTGCGAGTGATTTTAGTACATTTTTCAAAATCACAACAACTACAACAACAAATTCTTGCATAACTATATTATGTAGACAATGGGTAGAAAGAATTTTTAAAATAAAATCAACATATACATATATAGACGCGTCGGAACGTTCATATGTAAGTCCCCAGATCTCAAAATCAGCAGGATGACAATAGATCATGGGCTTAAGAGCAAGAACAACAAATTTTTAGTGAGAGCTACCATCTATATTTAAAAGAAAAAACGAGGAAAATATATATCTGCCAAACTGTGCGCTAGCATAAGGTGTCGCTGGGGGGAGGCCAAAGTAAATTCATTTTTGAACTGTTAGTAAAAATCATGAAACGGCTCAAGGAATTTCATACCCCAAAACATAATATTTTTAATGAACCTATTTTGTGCCTCGATGGAGAATATTATTAGTTCTGGTATTCCCGCGCATAATACGCTGTCTATATTCCAATCAATGATTCAATAAGTTGGCTGCCTAATACATTTCATTTAAAATTCTATAATTCCAGCCGCTAAAGTGCCAATAAAATGGTCTTTTGATGAAAAATCGGTCTATAGAATGTCATAATATTGAAATGGGGCGGTTATGTGAAATTATCATCTCAATTATGTGAATGTTAGGTCATCTGCTCATCTTAGCCTATAAAAACTGTCGGCACTTTTGATCTTTTACTCAGATTATATCGAATATAAAAAAATAAGTTTTTAAATTTGTATTTTTAGTTTACTTTGGGTAGGCATTTCACATTAATTTTGTTTCGAGATAATATTGATCACTTGCACATCGATTTGTATTTGACATTATTGCCAATATTCTCCAAAAAGTTCGCCAACCTAATGAAGGCAATTTGAATGTTCTTTGATGTAAAAGCACAAATTAAAGGCCTTTACACCAGGGGGAATCACACGCGAATGGATTTTCAAATGTTTGCGGTGCACGTTTTAATACCTTTCCGACGATGGCATTCACGCGGCAGCATCTACACTGGCCAAATCCAAAACACCGAATGAAAACTTGGCACAAACGAAAACAAACTTGAGTTGCCGTTCGCAGCTGTGGTGAGTTTGTTCGCTGCACAGTGGGTACAATTTGGCGTTGGCTTTTTCAAAAAGTGTTGAATTTGACTTCAAACATTGGAAATTGTCTTGCTGGTTTAGTTGCGAGTCCAAAAATCTAATTTTATTTTCAGAAATAAGGTATGTTATCATCATAACTGAAGTCTAAGTCTTCCGTTTGCCAATTTACTCAAACTTAATCACTATTGTTAAAAATAAAAACTCTAATATTCATGTCACCAAACACAATGTTTCATATCATCAAGTTGAGTGAAGTAATTACTGTTTTGAAATCTGACGTCGATTTATTTTGTTGTGCTCCAATTAAAACCTATTAATTTAACTAAATAATACTTACTTAAAACCAGTCTTACCAACTTGTTTTATTTCCTTTTTCGTTTTAACTTGAAAACGTTTGGTGTAGTAAATCGAAATTCACCATTCGGTTACAACATGATCGCTTCGAACTATGACGACAAATGCTGAGTTGGTTATACTCGTACCTTTATAAGGATATTATGTTCGAAGTTCGAACTGCCCTTTTTCGTTAAATTTGGGTTGCATTGCAATTGAAACTGCAACATGCAACATAGGTTTGCTGGATTGCAACTTACTTACATGTTTGAAGAAGCATATTGGTATGATAAAAGGAAGTTTTAGGATTTACTGAGTGGATAACAAGAAAATTCTATTCTAACTTGCATTGAAAAAATAAATTTTAATATTTTTTAAACTTAGTATATTTACCATTCCTTTCAACAAAACTAATTCGATTAATGGTCAGTTGATTTTCACGGGATTGCTTAAGTCGCGCTTGAGTTGCTATATCAATTTACTGATGCGCAGGCAAAACCACAGGGACCATTTGACACACTTTATCCAAACAAATGGTAAATGTCCACTTTCACACACACAATCACTCACAAAAAAATCGACTTTATTATGGAATGCTTGAAGCATTTTCATATTTTAAATCAAGCTTCAAGCCTTGCAAAACAAAACAAAAACATTTCTTACAAAAATGTACATACCAACATGTAGGTTTGGAAGACAATGAACTTGCGTTTATGGTTTGACACATTTAAAAAGAATAAAACAATTTAATACTGAGTATTTATTAAGAATTTTTAAAGGTAAAACGTAACACAATAAGCTATTTGGAAGAACCGTAATTTGTATAACTTACCACAGCTTCTTAAAGATTTTTTCTTGTGAAACAATATATTTAAACGTATTTCTTATTTTTTATTTCTTAATGAAACGCTACAACAATCTCAATAACACATTAAATAAAATAATAATTTTGGAAATCCACGTTCTATCCGCAAAACCATTGAGAAGCTTTAACACTTTTTGAGTTCTAATATAAAAGAATATCACAGTCTTAGGAGTTATGTATTTTATCGGCGCCAAAAAGCAGGCAATTATTTCACTAGCATCAGAGTAAAACCAGACCTTATGTGTTTAAATGTACTTCACTTGCATTACGCCTAAGAAAGAAAGTTTTACTAATTATACTTTAAATGGATTGACCATGACAAAGCCTTTCGACGACTTCGATACTTGTACTACCAAGAAACCTGTAAAACTAGTCCATGATAGTGACATTAATTTTCTAATTTTTCCAATTAGCCGAAACCCGAGTTATTCGTTTTTAGTGCTAAAACTGAAAGCATTATGTTGATAAGAATTTGGGCTGAGGCTTCTGAAATTGCGTGTTTGACTGCGTGACTTTTTTTTTGGTCCCGAAACTCACCCACTTTCGCACGGGCCATTCAGATCCAGGCGTTATGGAGAGTATAGAGGTCTCCTTGAAACGCGGTTGGTCACGAAAGCGAACAACAAAGAAAAGGCTTGCCCGTCATTTGAGGCAACATTTAATGGCCACTGGCTATAAGGCTATATGGCTATAAGGCTATAGGGCTCATCCTGAATAAACAGGGGATGGTGGGTGCGTGTGTATGGGAGCTGAAGTTGACGTTCGTTTGTAAAAACGAAGAAAGTGATTAAATCAGCACGATATTTTGTAGGTGTGCGCTAGCTCACCCATTAAATTTCTCTCTCCCCCCTATCATTTGCATTGGTATGTGTGTGCTCGGACATATAGGTGTGCACCCGCACACACACACACACACCTGTACAGTGAGCTACTGTTCTAAATTGACTTTTCGCCTGGACAAAACTAAAAATGACGACATCGCGTTTTTTTCGTACAAAAGCTTTGCCTCTAAACATGCCCATCAACCGCGTGTTTATAAACAACACAGATCTTTTACCTACATATGTACATAGTATATATATGAGGAATATACATATATAGAAAGGTGTGCTGGGCCTCGTATTACACTCCCACATGCATGTTCGCATACATGTATGCAGTTACCAAATATATGAACACGTTAATGTAATTAAACCTTAAGGCCGGATAAAAAGTAACTTAGGTCATATATTATTTGCGATATCGCTAAGCAGTTATAAATCAAATTATTTATTACTTTAACTTATGGGGTTTTTTAATTTGCTATATATAAATACTTAATGAGTAATTAATTATATTAGATCAAAGGTTAAGAATAGTTTTTCACATTACCTAATTTTTGCACCACCTGGCAGGGAATAATGCTATTTGTACAACAGCAGATCGGATGCACTTAATAGTTTTAGTTTGTGTGAGTCTCAGGATGTATTAAGTTAAATAAGCAATTTCAAGACTTTTAATTTATTTAACACTCTTTATTTTTCTGACATCCATATTCCTTACCAGCTTGTAGCATCTAAGAAATGCTTAACTGTCCTTAGGAACATTCTCTTTATTATTTAAAATAAAACTTACCCTTTGAGTCGTATAATTTAGTCTGCAATTTGAACATTAAAGAAATGAAACTGATAAAAATATTCTACATTTATTCATCTATTTTAAAGTTTTTAAATATCTAAGGATTCGATGGCCATCATTCTTAATTTAATTCCGAATACCCTTAATATGATTTAAAACTCTGTTCATCGCTAGTTCACATGCTTATCGATAGGCAATGTTTTGGTTTTGGTTGTGTTCGGCATAAAAATATATTTTTCATGCTGATTTTACGACAATTAAAAAGCGTTCTTCGTTTGGCAAGTTGTGAATTAAATAAGTTGATGGATAAGTAAATTCATTAAACTGAAACTTGGACTCATATGTGTTTTTGTGTTGAGTGCTATAGTGAGCGCACGTGTTGATTTACTTGTTGTTGTTACACTTTTAGCGGTTTGTAGACATTGTACAAAATCAGCAGCGAGTCAACGAATGTAAACAATTCTCGTGGTTCACGAAAATGCAAAATATCAAATCTATGCGAAATGCTCAGACACAGCATGGAGATTCTACGACGGTGGACGTGGAAAATATATTTCTGCACCGTAACATGTTGTCCACAAATTCGATCTTAGGGACAAATATCAACGATCAACAGCAGGCGGCCGAAAGTGTTTGGTTTCCAGATGATAATGTTACAGATCATAATCACAAGTCCGTTCCACCGGTAAGATATGGTTTTAAGAAAATTTAGAAATATTTTATTACTATAAGCTAAAAATAATTTATTTAAAAAATCGAAAAAATTGATTTGATCATCTGTTGAGAATATTTCGATTTGTAGGAAACTTTTCTGATCTTATGGATCAGGATATCTTATATGTATATGATTTATATTTTATGAATTTATGTTTGTATGGAGTTACATTTTTTTTAAATACGTACTATCTGAAAGTTATGTCATATTTTACATTTGTTAATTAAGCTGGACTAAAAATTTTTTCCTGTTCAAATTGTTTCAATATTTTAACAGTTTTTTAGACATAATAAGTTTTTTTTTCAGTGTACACAACTACCATATTTAAATTCATACTTGCGTTTCAACCGACACTTGCATCATTTAAATAGTGTATACATATTTGCTTACTGTGGCTCCCACTCCATTATTAATTCCCATTTATTTACCCATTTTATCGCGCTCTGTCAGCAAGGAAATCGCGGTGGCGACCAGCTATCTATGTAGCTTTCTAACTTTGACCGATTCGCAGCTAGTAAAAGGGCATATTTATCTTGGGGGAATCGAATACCCAAAACAATTTGGTCGGGTCTGTTCGCAAATGTGTGGATTCCTGTCCTTACTTATGCAGTATTATTGGTGTCAGGGGAAATTTCAATGCAGCAGCTCCAATCGCACACTTAAAACTTAATTAAAAAGCTAATCAGGGACTCTAGCAAATGCAATTTGCTGCATTAATTTAAACAATTAATTAAAGATGAATTAAGGGTCAATTTGAGACCGCATGGAATGGACTCATATTGGCTTTAAGCTTAAGATGAAACCTTGATTAATTTACCTAAAGAGTTTTGTAATATTATAGTAACCTGTACCTGTAAAGTGCAAGCCCTAATGTTTGTTATTTTATGAAATACTCGTGTAGGTGTTAGAATTAACTTTGAAAAAAACCTGTTACTTTTTTATAAAAAGCTTGAAAAACATGCTCGCCCACAACAAAAAGGTTTGTTTGTTTGATGTTAAAAGTGGTGGGTTTGCTTAAAGAATTTCAGTTAATTTTAAACTAATTAATAATTACCAATAACAAAGCAAATAAAAATAAAACAAACTTGTAGCCGTAATTGAAACATTATCGCGGGATGGCAACACATTCGCGTGCGAAAATAAGCTCATTTCAGTTTTATTCTATTATCTTAAAGTTTCGAAAGTCATAAAAATGGATATAAACATGTGGTGGAACGAAATGTAGTCGTGTACCTGGAGATTTAAACTTCTTTTTACGAGACTTTGAGTCACAAATGCCCCAATAAACGAGACTGCAGTGGCTGCAGAGTCAACGTTCTGCCTGCATAGAAATTTAAAGCCACCCTTAGGCGTCAGTACATTCTTAAAAATTTAGGGCTCTGCTAAGATGTGCAACAAAAACCAGATTTTAGACAAAACCCTTAATGGCCCACAAAAACCGAGCATACAAGTTTCGGGCTCTTTGTTTGCTGGTTTCTACCTCAACGTACGTGACAGTGGCAAATGGCCTTAAATATGCCGGCGATTATTTAGCTTTACTTTATGGTCCTGCTAGACCTGCTACACTATTTTTATTCCTTTCGCTAATTAAACAATCAATAAACTAAACACCAGGCGGGTTTATGGATCCATGTTATTCAGATTTACATAAGGTACACAATACATTTAGGGCTATGGCAATGAAGGTGGGGGGGTTGAGATACAGTTGTTTGCGCACGCAAGGAGTTAAGTTATGTGTGGGACCAACTGGACGGGCAGACGGACACGTTTCACTTACCTTCGTATATTTTACCACGGATTTGTCATAATTAGTTCTCTCCCGGACGAAACGGCCTTTTTTGGTGAGGGGGAAGGCCTCTGCGGGTTCTCTAGTGTCCCGCCATCGCAGTGGTTTCCTAACGAGCTACTTTTGTCAAGTTGGTCTGCAGCTAAGCTGGTCGTGATGTTTCCGCAATTATTAGTGTCAGTGCCTCCTGCTTTCAGGCGGGTATCTAAGTGCGGTCCTCATTGTTTCCGCGATGCGCCTTTTGGGCCAGTCGTTTTTTATAATTCTTACAATACCATGTAAACACACATTACAAAAAACTGTCGTGGCAAAAGGATACTAGGTGCATTAAAAAGGAAATCCCTCTAAGACTTGGTCTAGTGCACTCCTTTTTTTCCATTCCACCGACTGTCTTGTAACATCAAACTGTGGAATTAAGAAGACAAACAGTTGGTTTTGGTTAAGTGGCTTTGCGGATCAGGCACAGATATTGTTTTTAAATCTTTCAGGAAGAACCAGATAGTTTATAAGTACCACTGAGATCAATACAAAATGTATTTGTTATTTATTTTATCCTTAAAAAAACTTAATTCATTTTTAATTTTAAAATTTATATAAAAACCTAAAGTGTTAAACATTGGAGATTTTTGAATTCTTCAAAGCGCCAATCAATCAAATAACAAGGTTGCCATCTAGTGAAATAAAAATAATATGGCAAGGTAGAGTATTCTACCAGTATTTGACTACCAAGATGTGAATGTAAATAAGATTTGCTTAGACAGACGCGGCAGTCGAAATGTAAGTATAGGATATTTCTTTTAAGTTTTTAATATATTTGAGACTTTAATTAAAGGGGAAAGCACAGAACAGTCGAACAAGATGCCATTTTCCTAAAATTTATACAGAATCACAGGTATATTGTAAGAAATTCTACACGTGGCAACAATTTAAAAGTAAACTCGGCTTGGGCCGATCTTTCACGGGAACTCAACGCCCATGGGCCACCATGTAAATCGGCTGAGGAGTGGCGTAAGGTGAGTGGAATATCAAGTAGGGAATAAAAACCAAAATTTTGGTTAAATTTGGTTACAGAACTGGAAAGACTGGAAATGTTCAATCAATAAGAAGTGGACCGATAAAAACCGGCAACACAGACATGAACCAATGACGTCTACAGAGCAAGCACTCGCTATTATCATTCAGTCGAATAAATCAGCTGATGATAAGAATCTTACGACCTCTCCGTTCGCAAGGGTTGATATCTGGGAAGATGAAGACGGAAATCTTATTACTACGGAAGGATCTCAAAATATGATTAAAATAGAGACCACAGATAGCCCTAACTTTACCCAGACTAATGGCATCATCCCTAGGACTTCGGAGAGGATCAAAAGGAGGCGGTTCAAAAAGGGTACATTTCCGGGAGAATATTCAATCTTGAGCAACACACAAAAGAAAAGCAAAGTGGAATGTACGATAAAAAACAGAAAGGCGAAAACAGCTGTAGAACATTTTCCTAGAACCAAGAAATTAAAATCAACAGATGAGCTTTCGGACGATCCCTTAGTCCTAGAAAGTCCACCTAAAAAGAATAAAATTCAGCGAAGGAAAGCTGACACCAGCTTTAGGGAGAGTTTGGAGACTTCAAAAGATAAGGCAACACTTAAGGACATCGCAAATGAACTGCGCGAACTCAATGAAATTACTAAGTCCGCCTCAGAATCAATTATGTCTTTGGCGGCTAACATGTGCCATTTAATGGAAAAAGGTCTAGATGAGCGAATTAAACAAAATAAATTACTGAAAAAATTGTTGAATAAAAATAAATAAAATTAATTTATACATTTTACTTTACTACATTTGTGATCTAATCTCAGTATCCACAAATTCTTCTCACTTGTTTTATTCTTGTCTTCTGTCTATGTTTGCAAACTGACTGGAAGCGATTTGCTGGCAGACCAGTATCTAACAGAATACTGCAGGTTCGAAGTCAATTTTGCAGTTTTTTGTTTTTGTTTTTCCTTGCAATAAGGAAGAATACACAGACTGGGTGAAAATTATGCTAAGGCAGCAGAAAGAAAAGAAGAAATTGTTTGCACACAAACACCAGAAACAAGGCTCCTATGTGTTAAAAGCTGATAAGAGTTTCGTCTATATGTGATGGCTTAAGCACTTAATGCTTTCATATTTTATGCATCTTGACATAGTCCTGACATACGTTTTCAGCAAAATAAATGGGAAAACCAGTGGAGAAAAAAGGGCAACCAGTTTTAACAAGATAATATCATATTTAAAGTATTATAATTATTTTTCGGAAAACCTTACACTTTGAGAAGATTTGGATCAAAAATATGATTATAAATAATTATAACATTAAGAATTAAGAGATTATATTTAGTAAAAGTTTTATTAACTTTTTGAAAAATGCATTTCTTTTTTACAGATTTTGTTATCAGAAGAAAAGACGGAAGAACCACAATTACCGGAAAAACGAAAAGGCCAACAACTCAGATGACGAAAGCAATGTGAAAAAAATTAAATTAGATGCCAATGGGTTAAAAACCAAACGACCCGGGTTCAGTGAGGATAGATTTGAAGAAACATCGTATTATTTTGAAAATGGTATGTCGATTTTTAACTTTATTTAAAGTTTGTTTACTTAATTTTAAATATTTGAATATTATCTAGGACTTCGAAAGGTTTACCCCTATTTTTTCACATTCACGACATTTGCCAAAGGGCGTTGGGTTGACGAGAAAATTCTGGATGTATTTGTCCGTGAATTTCGAGCCGCTCCGCCCGAAGAATACGAGCGCAGCCTGGAAGCCGGAAAACTGACTGTTAATAACGAAAAAGTTCCTAAGGACTACAAAATCAAACACAATGATCTACTCGCCAATGTTGTACATAGGTATGTATTTTTAGGAAACTTTCATTTAAATATGCACACATTTGTATTATAGACACGAAGTCCCTGTTACTTCACAGCCCATCAAGATAGTGTACATGGACAAGGATATTGTGGTTGTAAACAAACCGGCATCTATACCAGTAGGTATTCATTATTTTTAAAAGAAAATCTGATCTTAATTTAAATTATTTTTAAGGTCCACCCGTGTGGGCGATATAGGCATAATACTGTGGTTTTCATTTTGGCCAAGGAGCATAACATGAAGAACCTGAGGACCATACACAGGTTGGATCGACTAACATCTGGTCTTCTTTTGTTTGGGCGTACTTCAGAAAGAGCCCGAGAGTTGGAGCTTCAAATCCGAACTAGACAAGTACACAAGGAATATGTATGCCGTGTAGAGGGACGATTTCCAGAGTAAGTCTTATTCATTTATCTTTCATCTGATTATATTTATATAATTTTGTTTATTCTTTCAGTGGAATAGTTGAATGCCATGAGAAAATAGATGTTGTAAGCTACAAAATTGGTGTGTGTAAGGTTTCACCTAAGGGTAAGGACTGTAAAACGACGTTTCAAAGAATTGGAGAAGTGGGTGATGATAGCATTGTTCTATGCAAACCACTCACAGGACGAATGCATCAAATAAGAGTACATTTACAATTTTTGGGTAGGTCAGAATATAATTATCCATAGGAGCCTTACTTATTGTAAGTTTGTTTACAGGTTATCCTATATCAAATGATCCTTTATACAACCACGAAGTCTTTGGTCCCTTAAAAGGTCGAGGAGGAGACATCGGAGGAATAACCGAGGATCAGTTGATCAAAAATCTTATTAGCATTCATAATGCCGAAAATTGGTTAGGTCTGGAAGGAGAACAAATTGCGACAAGGGAAAGCAATGTTGATCTAAAAATTACTTCAAAAGTAGAAGTAGTTAACGATCCTGAAGCCATGACTGGGTCTTTAACAACAAATGAGTCCAACAATGATGTTAGTTCGTAATAACATTAATATATGATTTGATAATGAAAATATTTTATACCCGATTTTACAGGCTGCCACCCAAACTTGCTATGAAGAACCAGATAGGTCCTTTGACTCAAAAAAGACAACTTCGGATCCGCATTGTCCTGAATGCAAAGTCAACTACAGAGACCCTGGGCCAAAAGATCTTATAATGTTCCTACATGCTTGGAAATACAAGGTCAGTTTTAAGTACTTTTATATTTCAGAAATCTAATTTATTCAATAACTCATTACAGGGCGTCGGTTGGGAGTACCAAACAGAACTGCCAGAATGGGCTTGTAAATCGGATATTGACTACGATCAGTTGTAAATCAATAAATTCTTTTTAAATGTAAAGCTTAAATACAAAGTTTATCATTTTTAAAATAATAATTTACTTTGGAAAATTTAAAACCCACGGTCACGAAATTAATGAAGAAGAATAGCATTGACTTATTTGACAAAATTAAATTTGTATTCTTAAAATGTTTGAAAATTTGTGTTTTTTACTATGTTTGCCCTTATTATCTGTTCAAAATCTGCAGTTGCAAAATAATACAATATTAGATATAAATCCTTACTTTCTATTGAATGATGGGTTTTTAAAATTTCATGATCGAAAGTCTAATAAAACAAAAAAAATTTTTTTTTTTATTAATTTTATTAAAAATTTTTTAGAGTTCCTTCTTTAATATGGTTTAACAATGGAAAAAGTGTTGAGAAGTACAAAGGAAGTCGAGACAAAAATGGGTTGAGGAATTTTGCTTCCGATATGATTTCTTCCAAAAATTCTTAATGTTCTGCTAATCGAAAGAAAGTTTCAAATATTGTTAAGTTCATACCTTTACTTAATTTCATTGCCAAGGTTTTAAAGTTATATATTTAAGAAGAATAAATGATATTGCCTCTGAAGCACATTAAAAAATTTGTTAATATTAAGTCAAGGTTGAATATAATGGACATTTTTAAATGGATAACGTATTCCAGAGTCCAACTAATACATATCGATTAATCGATTCCTATCAGAATAAGGGCTGTGCCATCTCTAATGGACATCTGGCGCAAACTAAATACAAAGCCTAAACAATTTACTCGAAATAATGATACATGATTTGATAATGGCTTGCTTAAGCCACAGTCCAAACGATTTAGGGATAAAGGCCTTTATGGTAAGTGAAAGTGTTCATAAGGAATAATTCCAAAATGTTATACGCCTATTTTCTAGGATACTACAGTTATTGAGCGATTTGTACATCCTTGCGAAAGAGAAATATTTATGGATATTTTAAAAATTATTAAAGTTTACCATGAAGTGGTTCAGTTTACAAATTCCTTCAGACCGCAAATAAATGCTGATGCCGGACTTCCAGGTATTACTATGATAATTGGGAATTATATATTAGTAAGTTATTAAAACTTCTTTCATAGATCATTCGCATAGCTACTACATGCTTAACTTTGTCAAAGGCATTGAAATTGCTCTTGAGGAGTATTATACCGAGATCAGTGGCCTAGAGTCTTATTGCTATGAGAAGAAGCGCACTTCGCTCACATGTGTTTACAATGCCCTCCAAATCCAGCTTCCTGTACTTGTTTTAATGAGGAACCTCATCATGGAGATTCAGGTGCGAAAACTGCAAGGATGCGCCATGCTCTATTACCTTTATCAACAGTCCGTCCAAGGAGACCTTCAATTGGAAAGAGTGATGGGGATGTAAGTTATAGTACATATGTATACAGTATTGCTTTTATAATAATCTATAATTCCATCTTACAGAATTATAAAGCCTGTTAAGAGAGCATTTTTCTCGAGTCTGGCCCACTGGCTTTTGTTTGGAGCGGTGAACGATATCCATTCGGAATTCTTCATAAAATGCATACAAGGCGATTCAACTGATAACAGCTCATGCGGAAAATCAGTTAGCAGCTCCTTACTGGTAAAGTTAACAAATTCCGAACATATCCTAATTTTAGTCATCAAGTTCCCATTTTTAGATCGCCGATAAGACACCCGAGGATTATATATGGCAGTACGAGATAAATTTAGAACAGCTGCCAGGATTTATGTCCATCATTGTGGCTGAAAAGGTCCTGTTTGTTGGACAAACAGTGCTAGTCTTTAAAATTCGGCAAAACGTTATCGCAAAGAACAAGTCCGACCAATTAGCAGTGAAACTGGCTGAAATGTCTCCTGATGATCTTTATGACCTGTGGAACGGCAAAGAAGCTGAGTTTTTCCAAATGGTTGAAGATCTTAGCAATGATGACACAATCAATGACTTCCGCATCGAAAATGTTATAAACGATATAAAGAAATATGTTAGCATGCGGCTCTCGGAGATTGCTATTAATGAAGTGGATCTTGAAAAACAAATGGGACTCATCAAAGACTTCTATTTGTTGGGCCGTGGAGAGTTCTACTTAGAGTTCTGCTGCCAACTAAATGGAACCATGGAAACTTATCGTGAGGAGCGTTTTAAAAACTTTACTAGATCATTTGAGGTATTATAAATAGCTTAATCAAGTTTAATATATAAAATTATGTTGTTTTTCATTAATTTAGCTTGCAGCTGCTGTCACAGGAACTTCAGATGACTTGGAGAAATTTTCACTCACTTACGTAAGAAGCACGGGTGAGCCAGAAGAAAGCTCCGACTTTCATATCCTGCAAGGTATCACACTAAAGTACACTTATGAGTGGCCTTTGAACCTGTTGTTCTCCCCAAAAGCTATCGAACGATATAACAAGATATTTCGATTTTTGTTGATTATTCGAACTTTTCAATACGAAATACAAAGGGTTTGGGCCAAGCAGACTTGGAAAGCAAAAAATTTGCCTAATCCTTTGGATAATAAAATCATTACTCTTCGCAATCATCTTATGTTCTTTCTAAACAACATGCAGTACTATATTCAAGTAGACGTACTTGAAAGTGAGTGTTCGTAGTTTTGTAAAACGCTGGTTTTTAACGAATCCATTTTTTACAGGCCAATTCAGTATTCTGATGAATGTGATAAAAAGCAAGGCTGATTTTGAGGAAATACAAAGGGCTCATACGGTTTTTTTGGCTAATGTTCTTTCACAATGTTTCTTGCTTTCCGAATCAAAGGAAAGTCAAATGAATATCTCAGGATGTCAATCCCAAAATCCCATTTACGGAACCCTTCTTAAACTCTTTGGTATTTGCGATAAGTTCGCACACATGAATCAGACAAAAGATCCACCTGATGACTTTATGGGAGAAATCGACAGTCTTAACGAAAGGTAAGTTTTCAAATGTTTAAGTCTTCACAATAACACATATTTTTATTTAATAAGGCATGTGTCAATCATTAATTTATTTTTTCAAGTATTGTAATTAATAATAATAAAACTTTGTTTTTTACAGTTTTGGTGTTCAAATTGCGAGCCTTATACAACTATTTGTTGATGTCAAATCAGCATCTTGCTTGGGTCCGCTTTCTCAACTTCTTTTGCGATTAGACTTTAATCATTGGTTTAGTACCAACCATACGGCAGGATCCAAATAAACGATAAGTGTCGTTATTTAAAGTTGTAAACGTTTGATATCTTCTATCCGAAAGTCGCTCCTGAAAATATAAAAAATAAAATTGAGAAAATGTTAAAGTTTAAAAATAGTCAACTGCTACCTTAATGTTAAAAATGTGCGAACTTCGTTAGGCGTTAAGTGCCAAGATGACATCTCTTTGTTATTCTCGGGATTCCAGTATTCAGAGAGCTCAGATATCTTATCCAGATTCAAAAGCGTGGCAATTTGAGAGATCCGTGTCATCTTATCTCTCACCGACCAGGATGTAGCCCCTGTTAAATAACTGCCCAAAGCACGGACCTCCTGATCAAGCACCAGACCGCCGAGCTTTTGAAAAGAAAGGAGTTAATTTATGTAAAAAAATTAATTTTTGAAAAACTTACTCTGTTAAAACTGATTTTTTTAATAGCTCGCTCTAATTGAATAGTTACTTCGGTCGCCAAAATACTGACAAGAGCATCGTAGTTCCGTGGACTCAATGAGTTCTTAAAGGAGTTTAGAAGGCCATCCAACTGTACTATGAAAAATTGCACAAACGTTTCTCCAGCCTCGTAAGCAGCAAGTTCCTCCTGTAAAAAAAATGCAATAAGTTTTTGCAGTGATTTAAATTACAGATCCTACCTCATTTAAATTGTGACTGTAATTCAAGAACTGATTAATCCAAGGATTGAGGCGTGGCTTTATAACACTAGATCTTAGCTGCTGCATTCCGAAATCAACAGTGGCTTTTAAAGCATCCCGTACAGCTTTGAGTTCTGTAAGGCAGCTGTCAAGCAATTGACGCTCAACTGATGTCGTTTGTGGAAATGTGCCAGCAATTTCCTGTTCCATGGTCTGCCACAGTGTCTCAATATACTCTGTTGATATGTCGGCATTGTTTAACTGAACCAGGAAATTGGCTCGGCCCCGATCGGCATCGCTGGAATGTAGTTTTCCCTGTTGCAGGGTCGTTTGAATAGCATTATAAGCTTGGGCCAAGTCGATATAGCCAGATGGATAACCGCTTTTCAAGGGAGCTTTAAGTGCAGATACAAAATCACCATCTAGACAGGCAGCCACGTTGTTGATCACAGCGCATGTTCCGTTTATCGACTGCGTTGTTAAAGCCCTCCGAATTGATTTGCGAAGGATAAAGAAAACATCGTCCACCATGGATGAACACTGTTGACCAGATTCATAGGTATCTAGACCAATGGCTTTAAGAACGCTTTCCTCCATGAAATACCTGAATACCAATTCAAATACAATGAAAACTATTTTGAGAATTTAACAATATTCAAAACCTACCTTTCCAGGAGCAAATATGTACTCAGAATTTCTTGCATTTGGCGGCGCAAGTCGGAGTTCTTCATTATCCTTTCGTAGCGTTCCATTATTTCAATCTGCTCTTTTTCTGGCACACACGTTTCTATATGAACCTGCAAGCGTCGTCGCATAAATCGGAAATACAGCTCGACTCTGGCATGCATGACGGTTATTTCAGCTATAATGGCATCGATTTCCTTCGGGTTTAGTTTGTCCACTGATCCACCAGACGGCTTCCGATAATGACCCAGAGCCTGAATACTGTTGCTTCCGACATTTCCGCCGCTTGCCGACCGCTGAGTGGCTTCATTCACCTGCTTGCTACGGTACTGGATCTGCCTGTTCTTGTTGAACTCCAGCAGCAGATTCTTTACCTCAGCATCGCATTCGTGCTGCAAAATAGCCACCATGTCAATTAGGGATGACGATCTGTAGAGTATTCATATAAATAAACAAGTTTCTTTGCTTTATGCGTAACCTACGCTTGTCCATAAAATGCTTCAATTATAGGCTGATTGACTTCCACTACCCGTGCAAAGTTCTCTAGAATGGCAGTCAACCGATCTGCGTAGGCCAATTGCAGGCGTGATTCAGCCTTGGCTATGTCCTGGGCGTTTCGCAGTTCTTTTTGCGCCTTGTTAGCCAGCTTCTGGCAAATGTAGACAGAAAACTTTTCGATACCAATGCGATGACAACCGACAAGGGGGAAGATTTTGAAAAATCTTTCCACAGATGCCAAATCATCAGCTTTAACGGCTTCGTCGAATCGCTTAGCAATAAGGACACGAGTTTTTCAGTGGCATCCTCCAAAGTCTTGACCGCATCGCTCACTGATGTTATGGAGCCCTGAACGTCATCGGCAGTGCGCTGCAAAAGCTGCTGATCCATCGCCAGGAAGCGGGCGATATGGGTTGCGCTTTTTTCGTAGTCCTCTTCGCCGATGGCTTTGACCACACCCTGACTGCACAAGTGCAGATCGATAAGATCGTGCACCCGCTGTTGGCACTCGGACGCCCGACACCTTGCCAAATCCAATCGGCGCACCTTAGCACTAACCGACTCGGCCAACTGGGCAGTGTTTACAATCTGGTCGTTAAGCTTGTTAGAATCACTGTCCACGGTGTGAAGCAGCGCCAGCGATCTTCCAATGCCACTCATTTTGGATTCTATCTGGCATTGCTTAGCCAGCAGAGATTCCAGTTTTTCGTTGACTTTAGCCTAAAATAGAATAAAACCATTAAACCCAACCGGAATGTTATTATAACAAGCAAATACCTCTTCTTCGGCAATCCGCTGCAATGCTTTATCCACCTGTCCATTTGTGCTAATGTCCAGTTCGCCCAACTGCTCAAGAACACTCATCCTGAAATCGTTGGTCCGGATTTCCGGATCTTCTATACTATTATTCCTATTTTCCCAATTGGAGGAATGATCTGATACGTGGAAAAATTTGTTTTGCTTTAAATAGCGATGGGATACCTACGATACTAGAGTATCGGAATGTAGTATATCGATATTTTCAAACTGCTGGCAATGCTGTTTAGTTGGCGCTATTGTTAAGGGAATAGGAATTTTAAAATGAAAAAAAAAACATTTGAATATTTTTCTATACTGAAAAAGTTATTTATTAATTGTTTTTAAAGAGCTGTATTACAAGATTTTTTTACGTGTTAACTACAGTCATGACTGCATTTTCAATTAAACAGCTTCATTAATTCCTTAGTAAAGACATTATTGCCCGTAGGATAGTACAAGAGACCAGATCCCAAATGCAACTGAGTACGGGCACTCTGATAAGCAGCTGATGTGAAATTCAAAGCCCAACAAAAGTATTGATTTGCAATAGCAGTAGGATTAGATTAGCGTAGGATTCCGATACCTAAGTTTTGGCGTAGTCATGGATTTCACGGGCTTTGAAGTGCGAAAGGTAGGTTGAAAACCGGATCAAGATCAAGTAAAACCCACGATATCCTTTCATATCCTTTCCAGTGCCCACCGACTGCCATGTACATTCCTAACTTTATAACTTCTGAGGAAGAGCAGCGAATCCTGAGCCACATAGAACGGACTCCTAAGCCCCGATGGACGCAGCTGCTTAACCGCCGACTGGTCAATTACGGCGGAGTGCCGCATCCTAACGGTATGATTGCCGAGGAGATTCCCGAATGGCTGCAGAGCTATGTGGACAAGGTGAACAATCTAGGAGTTTTCGAATCGCAGAACGCCAATCATGTCCTAGTCAACGAATATTTACCGGGCCAGGGAATATTACCGCACACGGATGGTCCTCTGTTCTATCCGATCATATCGACTATTTCTTGTGGTGCTCACACCGTGCTTGAGTTTGCCAAAAGAGAGGACAGCACTTTTGAACCAAATGCCGAGGAAGACCAGCTGGCGACCCCTCGTGAGGTTCTCTTCAAACTGCTTCTGGAGCCGCGTAGCTTGCTCATCCTGAAGGATACACTATATAGTGACTATCTGCACGCCATTGCAGAGACCAGCGAGGATGTGCTCTGCGATCGCATTTGCAACTATGATCTATGCGAGAACACCTATAAGATTGGGGATCACTTAATACGCCGTTCTCCACGCATTTCCTTGACAATCCGCAACGTGCCCAAGACCAGCAAAATGAAGCTCAAGTTCTGCTAGGTCCCCGCATTCCGCACTTAGATGTTGCTTTACCATTGATTACAGATTACACTGATGTTGACTAACCGCACGTTAAACGAACCCACTGAAGGGATCCATGGGATCCACGGACTATGATAATCTGCAACCTGAATCTTCCGCTAGATGTTTAAGCACTCGCACTAGCACACTAGCTCGCAAGCAATCAACGTTGGCCCACACAAAAGTGCTTTATTTATACCGTTAACATTGTGTACATATATATAAATGTTTGTATTACGTATTACGGAGCAATAAGTTGGCCTAATCGGTGGACAGACTGGAGCTTTATCCTTAGATTCCAGCTGTCCGCCGGCGGCCCTTAGATTTAGTTACGCGAGCAATTGTTGGGAGCAATCAATGGTTAAGATTTGTGAAGTATGTGGTTATTTATATAGGTATTTTGTCAACTGATTTTGATTATGATTGACTTAAAGGTTTTAAGGTGTCATGGAAACATATTAGATCTGATCCCAAAGCTAAAAGAAGTTACTATAGTAAGATTATTTCTGACTGACAAATTTACTATGGTGTTCCTTTTAAATTTTATAAGTGTTCCTTTAAAAGACATCGCACATAAATAGTTTGCCAGTCTGAACTGTAAGGGAATGACTAAAAATTTCACAGACTTAAGGAAATCATAATGGTTATCAGTTATCGGAATACCTTTTATATGTATGTTGAATGGAGCATGCAGCACACTGAGTACTCTTTTCGTATGCTCCATGCTCCAGCCTCCCGTGTCGAAGTGTATTTTTGTAACCGTTTTTTCCACCGCGCACCGCAAAAAGAGCGAAGAGTTGCCAATAAACGTTATGGTCCACCCACTGATCCTGTAATCCTTTTCATCCGTTAGGCTTCCGTCTCCTGCCACTCCAGCCGGAATTCGCGTTCAAAGACCAGGCGGTCGTACAGTCGCACCTCGCTGATCCTCGCCGAGATGTCCAGCCGTAGTTCACTGACTGCAAGGTGAAAGTTCTGGCGCACAGTTCGCTGTTTGTCCGGCGTCAACTGGTTAAGTGGTTTTCGAAAGATGCTTATGATGCGCTGCAGATGATACTCCACGCTGGCACAGCGACCGATGCACACCCACAAGTTCTCCGGATCGTGAATGTTGGCCGGAAAACGAGTTCTCTGATCGAAAGGCGCCTTGCCAGATAGCAAAGCTCTCACCTCCGCCACGATTTCTTGGTGCGTCCTTAGATCCCTAGTGCTCAGGGTGGTAAACTCGTACTTGTCGCAGAAGTACATCAGTTCAGAAATGACCACCCAGGACTGGGAGCAGAGGGTGGCATGCTGATTAGACCAATTGGAGTATCCAGCCTGACTGGAGGTCTTGGTGGCTACAGCAGTGCTGGATGACGAACTAGAATTGGGTGTCGGTGAGGTGCTTTTGGGACTTGTCGTCTTGGGCTTGGGCGTATCCAAGCCGTTTGTAGATCTTCTCTCTGTACGCTGAAGTTGTTCCATTTCCCGTTCATGCTCTCGGGCCCTGAGATAAGCCTCCTTCTTCTGCTGCAGCTCCTGTAATTTGGTCATCTTTGGTGGCGAGGTGGTTTTTGCGAAAATCGAAGGAGGAGCAGGCGTAGGAGCAACCGGCTCGCTATCTGTGTGAGCAATAGTAGATCCGTTTGTATCCGACGATACACTGCGTCCGTACTTGGCCCGATAGCGCTCCAGCGTGTCCAGCGAGAAGCTGAGCTCCTTCTTGATGGCCTTCTGCATGGTTTGGTTTTCTAGTTTTATGTAATCACCTTGGATGTTTCGGTGCTTCGAAGTGCACGCGTTCCCTTCGAGATTTTACAAGCGAATGCGAGCGAACATTCCGCGTAAAGAGAGACCGATCTCTTTATTTTTATCTTTTATCAATCGGCGGCGAGCCATGTGCACTTTATTTCGGTCTCTGCCAATACATTTTGATTCGCACACGAATGCGTATGGATACGTTTGGATTTGAAGCACCATTTAAAAGATTTACAGATGCACAATCTGCAGATACACAAATGCCGAACGCACTTTTTGGGGGAACTTATGACGAAATGAACGAAATTCTTCATTGGTTTAAATCAGACCAAGGTTAGAATCAAAGCAGCAAAGGATTTTTGCAGAATCTTTCTAATTTTTATCCATTCTATGGGATTAAGGATTCCAACTTAATCTAGATCAGAGTAGAGTAAAAAAAGTATCTTATAGATATTACCTAATCCTATGCTTTAATAAACAATCGGCTTTTAAATACAAAGTATACAGCTTTTATTTAATATATTATTTAAATAATATTATTTGCAAATGGCACACAAATGTTCGTGAATTTCGTTTTAAGTACAAACTTTTCTTTTTGCTGATCATTACAAAAGGTTTGTTGTGTGCTGTGAATCATATTTGAAGAAATGCACAAAGTACATTTAATACTTTTCGTTATGTTGTCTGCCAGCTCAACCGGCGGTCCTCTCACATGGATGGTAAATAAATATCGCCTTAACGCATACGTAATAGAAAAATGTACAAAATTACAATCATTTAGTAGATCAAACACACACAGAACAAATAGGACTAACTAGACGACGTTTAAAAACTACAAAGCGGGTGTTAGCGGAAGGCACGGTATACACAGAGTTGACTTGTCCAGTTGGACAAATGGGTCACAAGTAGAAAAGGAGGCACATAGGCCTTGTCTTAAGCCTAGGTTCCAAAATGTACAATACAGATGGAGAGTGGATCTCTCCCCTAAACGCAATACGCCGCGGGCACCTCGAAGATGATAGTGGCTTCTTTGTGATGGAAATTGGGAGTCTCAACATTTGAAGCCGCCTCCACTGTAATGGCTCGCGACTTGTCACCAAGATAACAGGCGATATTGGTGCTCACATTCACACGCAACTCGGTTCCAGTCAGGCTGAAAGTAGTACATTTTCAAGATCTGTGTCATAGACATTATGTGTTTTCACTTACTCATGGTACTTCTTGCAGACAATGCCCACGAGCTCGCCAACGCGATCTTCCTTGAGTTGTGTTTGCTCGCCCTGAAGGGAAAACACCAGATCATTATGCTTGGGCGAATGGAAGACGATAAGTTGATCCCGACCAGGCGAGACGCTAATGGAAGTCAACTGTAAAGGACAAAATATTGATTAAATGAGTTGGTTTCAAAGTACGTATTCATTAAAAATAATCGTTGAATTACTTAAATCTTTATTTACTTACATCCCTAAGTCCAATGTGACGCTTCATGTCCTTAAACTTCTTTCTTATGCCTTCCAGTTTGTAGATGGTTGAATCCGTGACGATGAATGCGCGATCAGATTGTTTGTTGCGATGGTTGAACTTCTTGGCAAAGGAGGAGAAGAGCACCTGGCGGAAGGATTCAGCGCCGGCGACTCCTGTTAGGTTGTTCTTTATATTCTTGATGCTACCATTATATGCTTCGTATCCGGTGTTTTCCTGGGAATTTGCCAGGTAATCGCCCACCCAGCGGCGCGTTTGTCCCCAATATGGTCGACGTCCGGCCAATGCGGTGGCGGCAATGATCTGGAGGCGCAACTGGGGCCATTCGCTGCGAGGATACTTCCGCAGAATCATGTAGGCCCGCCAGAAGTCAAAGATCCTGTGCAGTTTGGTCTCAGCCTTTCGTCCAGCGAGTGGCGGCTGTGGCCATTGAATGCTCTTTCCATAGTCCCGCAGCTGTTTGGCATTACGGAAGCGGTTGGCCAACTCCTGGACATAGCTGCGCAGCTTATAGGTCTTATAGGCCCTCATAATCGTAATGGCAGCCTTTATCTTCTTAAAGTTCTTCCTCGCAATCCACCCACGCACCTGCTTTTGGAGTAGTGTGACAATATGTGGAATCATCTCGTTCCTCTGCTGTTCGAGGGCGAACAGAAGTGTGCGGTGAGCGGATGAAGATCTTTGTATGACCGTACTTTACGTCCTGGGCAAAGTTCTTCTCCTCGATCAGAACTCTAACGCCATCTCGATCGCTTCCAGCTCGGAAGTTCGGCCAGGTGTACTGCGAGATCATCTTGTAGCGCAGCAGGAACTTATCGTAACGCTGGCGATGCACGAAGCCAGCACGACGGACCCGCAAGTTCTCCAAGAGACCAAGGTATCGTACTTGATGCTCGACGCGCTCCTCATCAAAAACAGTAGAGCTCTTGATGTCATTCGGCTTGATGCAGCGTACATAGAAGGGCTCCTTTTTCAGTAGAGTAACAACAAGATCTGCCATGGACCTCTGGAACAGGGTTCCGGCCGTCAACGGCCTCTTGGTAGTCTTCTTGATGTCCTGGGCACCCTCAGGCCACATCTCGCTCAGGTTGGCATCCTTGGAGTTGTGCAGCAGACGCTTAAAGTCTTGATACAGTGTGTCCTTGTTCTTCTCGATGAAACCGTTAATATTGTAAATCACATCGCCGGCGTAATGGGTAATGCGGAAATCCTCGCGATGCTTCAGCTCCTTGTCGGTGGGTTTGAGCTGGCGACTCGTGTAATGGGGATGCTTGCTCAGGTTCTTGTCCATGGCTCCAAGAAGTGTGTCATCGGTTACCTTGCCCACGCTGAGACAGGCTTCGTCCATGATGGCAATGATGCCCTTGTGCGGTTGCTCCACGAGATCACAAATGATCTGGTATAAAAAAGATTGCATGTTAATGTGAATTCTTATAGGCCGATTGAACTCATTTATTAATTGAAATTCACCTTATTATTGAAGTATTCAATATTGGTCCATTCTATGCCCTCACGCTGGTACTCCTCCTGCTCCTGCTTCAGGACCAATTCTGTAAGAGATTACATGGTTAAGTAAGCTGTACCCCTTATCCCAGATTTAATTTGCTTACCTATGAATAACTGCTGTAGTTTCTCGTTGCAGTAGTTGATGCAGAACTGCTCGAAGCTATTGCAGTCAAAGATCTCAAAGCCGTAAATGTCCAAGACACCAATGACCGAGTTGAACCTCGCTTGCGTCTTGCTGCCCCGGAAAAGGATAGCTCGGTTAATGCGGGAAATGATCCAGGTGAAGAGTCGATCGTAAACGGCCTTAGCCAGAGCATCCTTTCCGTACTCCGCCTGGGTGGCGTTGTGATCCTTCTGCATTACATTTCCACCAGCGGCAATAACCCTCTTGGTCAGTGCCGTGGAAAGTTCGGACTCCGTGACCTGGAGAAGCTTGGCGGTAGATTTCAGATGCTGCTTATTGCTGATTACCAGTTCATCCTCAATGGCTGCAAATTCAAAAGCAAAAATTGTATCAAGATTCTTTGGTTACAAATTTTAATTTCAAAACTCACTTTGGAACTCGACATTTCCCAAATGCAAAACGGCCGCAATTGTCCGCCAAATGGTCTGAACCTCATCCGTGGAGAATCCCAGGGTCTTGAAGGCATTGCAGGTGCCCTTGTAGTCAGATTTCTCTGTCAGGATGTCCATGCTGCCCTGGTTCAAGTAATGGTATTTGCCTGTTTCCTTTTGCAGCTCATATTGTCGCAGTTCGTTGTCATTGGCCCCACGAAGTAGCTAAAACGGATGAATTGTTTGGTGGGGGTATTAATTAAGCCATTCGTACTATTCTAATTTAATCCAACTTGGGTATGTGCCACATATTCATATCCATGACCAAAGTATTTAGCACAGCAGACAATTAGCAGACGTGTTAACTATAATTGAACTTCCGTTTCCGATTATGCATTTGGCAGTTGTCATTTAAGTTTTAGAATTACAAATTCTGTTCTAAGTTTTAAATACATTTCCTTCCCCTTCTAAACATGTAATTTATCATGAATTGCTTTTTGTTCTTTTTTCCCCCATTATCTCAAAATAAACATATATTCTTTTTGTCGATTTTATCATTTATGATAACTGCATTGATAACACAAGTTATCAGTTGAGTAATTTGGGACTTCACAACTTTTTATAGATCTTTGAAGTTGGGAAAGACATAAACCAAATAATCAATATAAAATCTACATGCTTATCAGCGTATTTAGAGGTGTGAGTCTGGTTGAGTTCTGTTTATTCGAAAAGAACTTAAACCATATAGTAAGAAAGTACACTTGAAAGTCATAAATTATATATTGGCCAAGTTGGGAATTTATGACCAATGCAGACGGGGTTCTAAAAGCTTTCGTATCGTCGCTCCAAAAACAAGCATTTCATTATACGGCCCAATATTTATTTTGACTCAATTCAAAAATAAACAACTGCCACATTTTACAAAAAAAAAGAATAACAAATTGTCGAACTCTAACAAAAGCCAGATCAAATACTCCACCTGATTAAGTGTTTCCAGATGATAAATGTGCTAAGAGTGATCAAATACCTTAGGGGTATCGGATCGGAAATAGCGATCAATTATCACCTCAACAGCTTATATTGATCAGATCAGTGGGTGGGTATATATTGTTAGTGGGTAACGCCTTGAATAATGAGTAAGCGATTGTGACGCGATATTTTTTCTGACTTATTGGATGAGTCTCCGATACGCCTTGGTTATCATTTTTTAAAATGATATCATCTAGGCAGTGGGCAATATAAAATAGTTTGCCATCTGTCAAGAAATTTAATTATTTCAATTAACAGCTTTTGGCTTTACGATAAATGACAAACGAATCGACTGTTTTGGACTTTAATGACTTAAGGAATACTGCGAATGTTATCATAACTAAATTACTATAAAATGTGTCATATCTCTTCCAAAATAAGAAATCCAAACTAGTTTCTAGTCTTATGAAGTGTCAGTGCCTAAGGGAAAGTAGTTTACCAGTAGCATTACTAAGTATATTACACATTTTCCCCAAATTATGAAACTGCCTCTAAACAGCCTGAACGCCCAACTTAAAAAACTACAATTGTTTGATTAAAAGGCTGCATAACCACACCCACCAAAAAGCCAACAATTATGACTGTCTAACCAGCCGAAAAAAGCATCATCATGGCAAACAACCTGACACCCGCAAGTAATTGACGCCCCACTGGCTGCCACATACCCCATCTGGTTGCCACCCCCACGGAACACCTTTCGTCACCTGGCACGCGTCACGCTGACTCACTTGGTAAATAAACGTGTAGTTAATGCCACACACGAATAGTTCGGTTTAAGCTATCCACCCACTCACCTGGTAGAAACTGTGGAAATTCCGCTCACCAGGCTGCTGCTGCACCACTCGCGACTTCTCCAGAAGATAATTGGTGATGATACCACCCACCGGATCAGCCTTATAGTCGAACTCGATGTCCATGTATTTTCCAAAACGACTGGAGTTGTCGTTGCGATTCGTCTTGGCGTTGCCGAAGGTTTCCAGGATGGCATTGCTCTGAATTAGAAACGTTCTTAACTCTGGAATATAGTTAATAAATTTATTAGTATATGTTAACTTTTAGTTTTAAGGATTATCTTTTTAAGTAATTGCTCATTTAACTATTTCCTGCCTCAATTTACTAATTTATCTATTTAAATGACTGATAAAATGCATGAAAAAGTAATAAAAAGCTAAAAAATTTCATAGTCTGCTTTTAAAATATTTTTAAAAAGACTTTTAGGGCATGTTGAATAGACCGTAAGTTTTAATAACTATAATAATAAATTATTTTTTATATGCACAAGATGAAACCAAAAGCCTCATTAAAATCAAATCGACATAATTAAAAACAGACAATCAAACTTAATAAATACTCTCTCTTAATGCTTCATAAATTCCTCTTCGCGCCCTCCCCAAAGTAATTTGGAAAATGGCACTAGCCCTACTAATCCCTCCCGAACTATAATAAATGTCGTTTTAAATTTCATTTGGGGCACTAAAAATTGGCAATTTAGTTTGGCCATTGTGTTTCGGGGCTTGGTCTTGGGTCTGGGCGAAGGTTTCAGCGTTTCCTTTTTTTTTTTTATGGAGCACCTTAAACTACACCCAAGTGATAAAAGTTGTCTTTGGACAAAGTGGTTCGCTGGGGTGGGCAATTAGTGGGGCAATTAATTTGGCAACTTAAGCTGCAGTCCAGCGAAACTGATGTCATTCGGGGGTCATGGGTCACGCGATGACCATGTCAGGAATTATAAACCATCTGGGGAATGCTTAATTAGCAAACGCCCTGTACCCAGTCTCCGCTCTCAATGAGAATTCTCCATTTCGCATTTGCATGCAAAACAATGGCAAATATGAGCGGCTTTTGCGCTGGGAGACCGACATGTTATAGATTGAGGTTCGTTTCCCATTGTCTGGTTCACAGTATTGTGATAAGGCCGAAGGCTTTCCATAATCAACCTATGCACCAAGCTCTGTTTGGTAGCTAACTAATTTACTATGTAATCAGTGCAAACTGCGGGGGAATGGTTGAATTTGTTAAACATATTCGTATTACCTGGTATTAAGGGCTATCAACTTAATATTCTGTTATTAAAGAAATTACCTTTGTATAGGTCTTGGATTTCCCAAGGTAAATGCTCATTATATTACCAGCTTTGCAAAATAGTTTAGTTTAAGAAATGTAATCCTAAGTATCTTTCATTTTACTATCCTCCCTAATACTAAAATCTTTTACTTACCTTTCGATTTCGTTCTGACCCTGAGTATTCGTCACCGCCGCAATGTACTTCATGATGATCTTGGATGCTTCCGTCTTTCCGGCTCCGGATTCTCCGGATATGAGAATACAGGTGTCCTGTTGGCGCTGTTTGAGTACCCTGTAGGCAGCATCGGCGATTGCAAAGACATGCGGGGCATTTTCGAAGAGTTCCCGACCCTTGTACTTGCGGATCGTTTCCGGGCCATAGATATTCATCTGTTTGTAGGGATTCATCGAGACGCACACCTCGCCGATGTATGTGTAGATGGATCCATTTTGGAATCTATAGGAAGAGTAATAGATGGTCGATCATTAGTTGCTGATGCAGTGTTTGAAAATTCATTTCCCTCATATTACGAAATAGATTTCGACGGGTTGGAATTAACTAAAATAAATGCTGGGCGCGGAAATGAGTGGGAGTGACAGGTGGGGAGCCACCACCCGTCGTTTGGCGCCTGTAGCTTTCAGTTTGAAAATTGCTTTTCAAACATCCGCGGAGATACGCATTTTATATGAGATACCTGCACAGCATGACGCCGGCGATCAATATAAATTGACCGATGTGGATCAAATTTTTTGATTGACTGCAATAGAGCGTACATGTGGATGCATTTATTTTGTACTCAATTTGTAAGGCGCCAAAAGATTGGGTATAAAAGTTGTGTTGTGTTAATAAAATGCATTCAGTTTCGGTAAGTGGGTCACTTTCGATAGATAGAAAATGGAAAATGCTAAATGGGGACGAGTATTTGGGTAACTATGCCGTTCTATTTGTAGAATATTTTATAAATTGTAATAGAAAACAAAAACAGAGTCCAGTTTCGACTTTATTTACATTACGTTCCCAGTAAACTAAATTAAATAAAGCATGAAGCAAGTTAAATGCAAATTACTTGTTACATTTCCAAAGAAAATTACCCAGACTAGACTGGGCCGTAAGTAAGAGTTACACCATTACCGCCTGCAAATTAACCCAGATGAGGCAAAGTCCAGCCCCAGATTGTGTGTGCAACAAGTGAGTATTACAAAAGCCCGGACAAAGTGTTGTTTTGTGTTTTCCCAAAAACGAAAATATCAGAAACCGAAAATAAAGCACTTAATTAGTAAATTTCCAGACAAAAGAAACGGAGAAATGACTAAAACGAAAGACTAACTCAAACTAAGCCGAAACCAAACAGCTAACAGTTTTCGTTAGGCCGAAATGAGGGAACGAAAATGATTAAAACAATACACTTAATACGCACATTTGTTTGTATTTATGTTTTGGCTGCTGGTTGGTTGGTGCCCATTTCCCCCCCACTCTCCAAACACATGTTTTTACTTAACTTTTCAGTGCTTATTTATAGATGGGGTCTGCCTTTCGGCTTTCTGTTTCGTTCGCAGCCAGTTTCAACTTGTTGTTGGCTGCCATTTCTGTTACTTTTGCCGCCCAGACATCTGGGTCAGAAGTGTGACAGGGGACAAATGACTAAACGCCGAACCGCTGAACTCTGATGTCCAAGAAAGTGCCAGCGTTTAGACTATTTTTTTAACTTTTTTGGGGCATCATTATGAGTTGCACTAAGCGACAAAAGGGCAAGCAGCAAATGGCAAGCCTCTTAGCGAAAAGAAACCCAATCCGAAAAAGTTTCCACCGCAGTGATTTCTATGATTTCCCCAAACAGAACCATATTGACACCATGAGTGTGTGGGGGGTGGCGATCGCCCACGGGGCTCTTGATTGACATATCGTCAAATATTTTTGTTTTTGGCCCGCATGACTCTTTTCTACTCGCCTTTTGCGGAGGCGAGGGCCCAATGGGGCTATAGAAATTGTTGACCAGGTATGTAATTGTCAAGATCCGGAGTTAATGGCCAGGAATTGTGAAACAGCTCAATGTGAGTTCTGATTTAAGTTTGAAAAATTGGGGTCATTGGTCGGATTGGTGTTAGGTGTGGATTATAATGGATTGAGAAGAAAACTGTTAACTGTAAGGTTAAGAAATTCCAGCTTTGATATACTAACAATGATGTTAAGAATATTTAAAAGAAATTTTAAAGAAATAACATCAGTAGTTTAAAAAAAAGTCGTAAATTTATATTATATTCTTAGTTGAAAACTCATTTTTTGCAAGGATTAATAAAACATTTTTGGTCTTATCTGGCCAAATTCTGACTCACAGCAAATGGAAATCCAGAAAAAAACCCCAAAATTGCTTATCAGCCCAGAACTCACTCACTGCACCACCCCATTTGTCATATTTATCACAGCAGTAGATACTTGCCCTTCAAAATTTACCAAATATTTTTCATGCCATTTATTTACTCAAGTGCTAACACATGATTTCTGGCTCTTTATGGACAACCCCAAAAGGCCAAAAAAGCATACATAAATTAAATTCTTGTTGCTGGCTTCGCACATTTTCATGTTCATTCTTTGGCGCACTTCATAAACTCAACTTGAGTTGTTTTCATTATAACGATTGTCGTTGCCTGTAGAATGTCTTTCATTATTCAGAGAGTTGAAATGACGTAATCAAGATAAAAAGCAAAACAAAAAAAAAACAAAACATATATATCCAAAGTCAACGCTAAATTCCAATACTGAGCAACAGTTTGTTTTCGATGCAAAAAGTGTTTGAATATTTTTTGTTTTACAGCGAGTATTATTTACTGACTCATCTTCCTGAAACTGAGCCCATGGCATTGGCATCTATTATTATTACTTAATTTAAACATGTACCAGTCAATAAATTGTTAGCTTAGAGTGCTAAAAAGTTGACTCAGCAGTAAACGTCTATTCTAAGTGCAATTTGCATAGAGCCATTAATAATTTTGCAAACGCCTTCTCGGGTCACCCCGATGAATCATTTATTTATTACGGAAAATCGTACTCCATGCCAGACGGAAAATCAATAAGCTAACAGTGCATTTTTCATGGCCAATACAGACGCCTGTTTGGTCTAAGCTGACGTCATAAAATTGGTCAACAAACTTGGCTTTTAGTGGGTCAATGTTTTTATTTGCCTTAATTGGGGTTTGTTTACTCTGTTATCTAATTGAATTTAGGCGATTTATTGGCTGGAACTTGATTGGGTGAGGAGCGTTTGGAAAGCATAGAATTACAAGGGAAAAACGAGTATACAGTGAAAATCCTTATAAATCTTTGTTAAAATAGCTTAGAAAACAAACAATTATTATAGAAAATGCTCTTAGTTTTAACGATTTTATTCTTATATACTAGCATACAAACTTAATGAAAACATTAAAAAATAATGGAAAAAGACTTTCTGCAGAATGAGATACGAATCGTGTGTGCTGATAGGTCAAATCCCCTAGCAAATTTCTTGAACGGCTGCCAATAATCGCATTCATGGGAACCACATCAGACCGGGCCAGAAAGAAGCTGTTCCATCTCATTATTAAAATCATTTGCCTTGCCCCGTTTCGCTGCTGTCTACTGACCATCTGTAGAATTTTCCCGACAGACTTTTCAACGATACTTTCCATTCTATCCACAACTTTGGCTGTTATTTTCCCCTCAATTTGCGCAATGCACAATTACATCTGGGCCATGCCTTGGAATTAACTTCAATTTACACCAGGCCAATCAATTAACAGGAGCAGAACTCTGAGAACTCTGAGAAGTCTAAGAAGGCAGAGCGCTAAAGATTTGTGTAAACGAAATGCAGATGCCACTGAACTATCCTCGGACTGCGTTGCTCCTCCAAGTTGAAGTTATTGCAATGCGAATGACAAACATTGCCTGGCTCTGGATAAACAAACAGAGCAGGAATTACTACTCCGGCGTCGTCTAGACGGAATCTCAGGTCGTTCTATACGACTCTTGCCCCCTTTTCCCACTTTACAGGTCCAATGGGTTTATGCTTTTCTTCCAAGAATTTGCACATTAACCGAGTTTATGGCATTGGTTGGAAGGAAAACACCGGCAGAAAACTGGCCATTAAATTGTAGCGGTTATGTTAGGTAAATGATTTGATTTCCGTTCCGGGTATCAGAAGTGCTTATCTTGGTGAATTTTCTGGTTTGATAGCACTCTTATCGGCTGAATGCCCTACTGCAAGGTGAAGAAGGGAGGATGAGTAGCGGATGGAGTTTTTTTTTTTCACCACAGAAACAGATGAAAGACTCCCTTTGAACTGGGAGATCCAAGACAATGCAACAGCTTCTCTACAAATAAACAGACAATCTCTGATTGCAATCGGACATCCAAGGAGCGTTCTTCGGGAACTTTTAATAGCTTTCTTCCCCCATGAAAAAGCTGGGAATTGTTTACGTTTCACGGGTTCTTTAATATAATTTTTTTTTATTTAACAAAGGAAGGGGAATATCACACGGTTATCAGCTGGGAATGTATAAATAAATAGTCGATAAACAATTGGCGAGAAGAAATATTTATGTTCGTAAAACGGAAACCTAATCCAAATGGAAGGTCTCGACCCGTAACAATTGCATAACCAAAAGTTCGCCTATCACCTTGGCAGTAAGTATCAGCCATGGTTATCGAACTATACTATATATACTACATATATAGAAATGGTTATTTTGCGACAATCTTATCGGGTCCGTGGCGCTGCTCAAGACGCCAGTACATAAATATCTATAAAAGAAGTATGTAATGTAGGTTTCAGTAACTGGAAAACTTTGAAAAATGTGGGGGTTTTCGATTCATTGTTGATAAACAATCAGTATAAACTTTGGCTAGGCGATAGCACCGATCGAGTGTTACTTTTGAAGAATTCCTCAACTTTAGGTCTCTGATTAAACTATAGCACTCTAGGAACCCATCTATTTGTGGTTTTATTTTCTTGGTATTAAACCTTCAGGATTTAAGTTTGCCCATAAAAACCCACTTAACATTGCACTTAAGCTGAAAATATTTTGTCAAGTGCATTGGGTTGCCGCCTGTGGAATACTAAAATCTAAGCCTTGGCGAAACCAAAAAGTCAATAAAAAATAAAATCGGTAGTAGGATAAGCAAAGTGAGAAGCATTTAAATGAAAATGAAATGCAGTTTGTTGTTAGCATTGAAAGTGGATATCGTCATGTCTATGAATCATCAGTTTGTTGGCTGGAACTGCTGATATTATTTTCACTCGTTTTATGAAGTGGTTGATGGGAAGACCCACTCTCAGCTCTCAAGAACTTTGCTTGAGTGGGTGTAGGCAGAATTTACAACCCTAACGATTTTTTTTTATTATCAATTAAAAGTAAGAAAAACCGAAGGTTGTTAGTCTTGCTTTGTAAAAAGACTGTAAATTCAATAAAAAAAAATATATATAAGGTTATTAAAAACACACTTTTGCCGTCAACCGATCCTTAACCTTGTCACAGAAAAGAATTCTCGTGATTGTCAAACAAATCACTTAATAAAAACCCCAAAATAATATTCAAAATTCATAGCCCCAATAAATGTTTCCTCAGATAGAAAAGTTCAACGGCAGTTCATGGAAGATACTAAACAAGCGAGTGGCTGTAAACATTTGATCTGCCCGAAATATAGGCCAAATAAATGCGTAAACAAAAGTCCAAAAATGAAAACAAAACTTATCAGCTAAATAGACACGAAATGGGGCACTTGAAAGTGAGTTGCATGTAATGAATGCACTGCAGCCAAAAGGGTCAAAGAGCAATCCATCAGAGATTTTATGAGGCTCTTGGCCCTCCCGTGAGGACACTCGACTTAATGAGAGTCGTAAAAAGCATCTCCTTAGCCAAACACTGCGAACTTGGTTTGCGGCAAACAAAGATCTCGTTTGTTTTTGGGGATCGAGGAAACATTTTCGGATTGTTTCGGCCAAGTGAAAACAAGTTTTTCTTCCAAGCACAACAATTTTTTTTCCTCATCTATTTTGTGGGTGAGTCTCGCCCAAACTGACGCCATCAACCGGTTCGTATTTTGGCTACGCCACGGAATTGTGTTTTTTTTTTTTTTTTTCACTTTTCTTATTGTTGACTTGAGTATCTGCGCAAGATACACGGAGAGTGAGTCAGAGCGAGGGTATTGCATATATTTAATTTAATATATTTATTTTAAGGGTGCCAAATAATTTATGATGTCATGATGCCAAAACAAGTTCAAGTCGAGTGCAAAATGCAGTCATTTCCCATTTGTGATTGATTTACCCGCACGGTTGCCAAAAGAAAGTGAGTTTTCTTTTATTTCTTTCACGTTTTTATCGCATTTTCCAATTACGTGTTCACTTTTCTTTGGTTTTTTGGCGCGTTTTTGACCCTCAATTTGTTCGGCGGGGGTTTTCTCGACTTGGCTGGCTCTGAGTTTTCCGGCTTTCCTGATAAATATTTATTAATGCGCAGCAAAATGATTTGAGTTATGTTATGATTATATGAAAATCGTGTTTGATATTACGACTATTACTGTGATTATGTAATTAATCCAATTTACACAGCTTTATTTGCCTGCGATGCTTTGATAAGCTGTTTTTGTGAGCCACCAAAGTGGGTTAACACACATCTTTGACAGTAAATTTAATAAAGATCTTCATTGCTTATGCAATCCATCAATCAAGCAGAGTGTATCACCATCTTTGTATGAGTAGTAGATACATTTATTTGATTTTCCAACAGCTGGTTCACCATTTAATTTCCTTTTTCGATGGCGATTTCAAACTGACAGCTCATTCAAGGCAAACACTTTACTTATGGTCTTATCAAAGCCAGCCAATCGTAATTGTGATATATCGTCGTCTGAGTGTGTCCAGCAATTAAATATGTTTACTTATTAGATGAATCAGTGCTGGACTCGTAGCACCATTTATTTATAGGCATTGCCAAATATTTCGGCAAAGAGAAACGCAAACAGTCATTTCAATATCATTGTTTTTTTAGTCCATCGAAACACAATAATATAAAAGTTCAAGCGAAACAACACATTTTCCACAGTTTTGTAAACCTCTGTTAATCAGTTGAATAAATATGTTGAACTGACAATGCGGTGGCGAGAACTTTTCCCGATAACGATCATAATTTTACATGAAAGTTACCGAGCCATGCGAACCAGCGACCCGAGGAAATAAATAGATGTCGAGATACTCCAAAGGAAGCAGTTGCAACAAGTTGTTGACACTGGGAGTGAAATGGAATGATATATAATATATACGTGATCCGTGTAGGTTGCAATGCGTGGCTGTCGGGGGGTGAAGGAACTTTACATAATGGTCATGCAGCCCCCGTACGTAACCACCTGGAACCACAACAACGGCCACGCAAATATTGACACTCCAAATGGGTGGGTAAGTAGAAGTTGATTTAAAGTGAGACAAGAATTTTCACTTTCAATATTACTTAGATATTGGTAGCTAGTTGATCTACAAATACTCATTACACATAAAATTTTAGATTATAGAAGAAATATCCTTCTCAACCTATTTTCTTCACAATGCCTCCCCCATTCCCTAAAATATCTCAACATTTCTCATTCCCTTCTCAAATTAAATTAAAATACCGCTAATGAATTCATTAAAAACCGAAAGTCATGGCACTAAAAGAAGTGTTTAACACTCTAAATGAGCATGCAAATGGGTCCATTGAGTGCTCTTTGGAGTGGAACCCAAAAACTCCGTGGGGAATGAGTTAAATGGGGGAGATAAAGTCGGAAATGTAGAGCTCGGCTTTAATTGAAAAGCCGATAAACAAATTCAGTTTAATCAAGTCGGAAAAGCCAAGAACGACGGCAACCAGTTTTTCTGCCTGCCAATCGATCAAAACAGAAGCCTTGAACTAGACCAACAACTTGTGGAAAAGTGGTTACCAAAAGGGGAGGAGGAGTTCGATGGAGAAGTAAACAGAGGACAAGGCCACCAAAGGAATCAATAAACACGGTGGTCAGTCGTCAGTTGGTAATATTTTTTAAGATTTAATTTAGGGCTATTACTCTTTTTATGGGAATTCTATTATTAAAGAAGGGTTACTATAATTTAATACTAGCTGACATTGTAAATCAAATTTTTCTTTATTAAAGTGAATTTTTTTTTTACATTTACGGAAATTTTAAATGGTTTAAAAACCATCTTACCCTATTGAAAATAATTTGTTAAGAAAAAATACTTACTGACATTTTTAATGAATTGTCCTAGAATACTAAACACAAACATTTCTTACCTCTTTCTCAGGTTATCCATGAACTTCTCCATGGACACATGATCCAAGAGGACGAAGTCCTGCACTCCAGCTTCCCGTTGCAATGCCATGGTGTCGTTTGTCCTTTCGTCCTTATTTTATTTTGCTCACGAGCTGAGGGAGCGATATCTCCGGGGATCGAGAGGGGGTTGCTAATTGCCGGCTGCAAGGGCAAAGGTGAGACTTGAAACTCAGGTAAGAACGAAGGGAATATCGCACTAAGACAACGCGCACCGAAAAAGAAACAGCGTTCACTTTGTTTTTTGTTTTGTTTTTATATTTTTTGTTTGCCTCGCCTTTCGCGTCTCGCTTCGAATTTTAAATATACATATATATATATATATAATTCGTGTTGTTGCTGCCAAGCGATTTTTATGTTTTATGAGCCAATTTCGGCCGCTTCTGCTGATTGCGATGAATAATTTTCGCTGTGACAACAGACACGACGACGAATTCGGAAAACGAAACAAAACCCGGAGACCGAAGATCAATAAAGAATATTTCTGGACCGATCGAATGCTCCCAATTGGAATGGAGCAAGAACGGGAACAAGATCGGAAACAACAAAAATAACGAGAACTCGATCAGGAACCACTCTCCACCACACTAAAAACCGCAAGTTTCGCGACTTCGCTCGATATAAATATTTATTTTTGGTTTCTCCAAGTTTATAATTTACCGCGTTGCAATATTTCTAAGATCTGTGATCGGTGCAAACTAGTTGGGAAATGCAGCCGAGAAATAAGCTTGCCCACCTGGATTCAGTTTCGGCGGATTAATAATAATAAACGGCCGTCGGACAACCGCGTTCGACCGGATTCAAAGAGAGTGTGACTGTGAGGCAAACTTTTAAAATGTGTTTGGTGTAGAATTTGAAAAATTGCCTAAATTGCGCATTTAATTAATGGATTGAAACCTTGATGGAATCTTAGCACGGACGCCAACCCGTTTAAATTAAATAAGGAGTAATGTTAATACGTTCACACTGCCTTCACTGTTAATACTTAACAGTAATTTAGAGAACACTTTTGCTTTATAAAAAGCTTATGATGTTTTCAAGATAAGAAGTTAGTTTAGGGTTATGGTTATGTACTTTATTTCTGTTTTCATATATATATTTATATTTTTAATTTTGACTTTGCAAAAGGAGTCGGCAATTCAACTCAAAAATTGGCATCGGCCCTGCCAAGGATAATGAGGTCGGCGTATTTCCCAATGACCCTGGATGATTTGGATCTTTATGCATACATGGCTTTGTCTGTGATCTCTGTAAATTGTATCCAGCTGAAATAATTTATAACTTATATTTTAAAAATAAAGAACAAACGAATAAAAAAAAATCTAAATAACAAAAGCTCTTCATTTTATAATTTTGACTTCCCACTGTAAACTTCTAGCCAATAAATACATATTTTATTTGTGGCGTTTGGTCACACTAATTCAAGTTCACCTCAAACATCTGTTTTTGTGGTGAACACAACCGTTGTTCTCGTAACATTTGATTTGGATAAGAATCAGGAATATAATGAATAAAATCACGAGTGCCTTTATTAGAGTACTGCGGCAGAACAGTTCTTCCGGCAATACCAACACCCTCCTGGGCCGACAGCTCTCCTACAAAAGTGATTTATCCCTGGATAAGATTTATCCAAATGCGCGCTTGCAGCTCTACACGCCTCCTCCGCCGGTAAGTGAATGCAGTGGAAATAAGATCACATTTGATTATCTATCTATCACCCAGTCCAGTGGCACTGGCAACAAGTTCAGCGGCTTTATTCCCATGGACAGACTTGAGATTACCTACAGCCGGAGCTCTGGACCCGGCGGCCAACACGTGAATACAGTAAACACCAAGGTTGATGTTCGGTTTAAGGTGGCACAGGCAGACTGGATACCCGAAGAGACGCGCCAAAAGCTGCTCAAGGTTCTGGCTAATCGTATCACTAAAGACGGTTACTTCTACATCAAGAGCGATCTCACGCGCTCCCAACAAATGAACCTGGCCGATGCATTGGAAAAGCTGCGCACCATTATTCGTTCCCAAGAGGCTGTGGAAGCTGCGCCGCCTAGCGAGGAGACGCTTGAGAAGCTACGCCGACGGCAAGAGCGAGCCGCACGCGAACGTCTCCAACTGAAACGAGGTCGCGCCCAGGTCAAAGCGGATCGTCAAGGACCCGGTGGAATAGACTTTTAGTTATTGTTGGAAATTGTTGCACACAGATTAACATTACACATATACACGTAACTATCTTATGAACTCCATTCCGGGTTTTCACTATCATAGATTTCTATAGTTATACCCTTTGCTAGAGTATAATAACAAATGATTTGCTTATAATTGACACTAATAATATTAAGATTTATACGAAATTTGTGAAAGTGAAAACCCGAATGGACTTAACAGTATTCTATGGTAGTTGCTCGTCGACGCGAGCTGGAGTGACTGTGAATCTCTTAGATTTGGCCACTTGGATAGCTGACTCCGTTGTTGGCTCAACTTTTCCCACTTGTGAGGGCATGCTGGCAAATCGAGGGCGCTGCAATGCAAGAAGTCAGTAGACAAAAACTAAAATAATAGTTAGCTACATACCACTTGTGGTGGACTCAACTGAATGGAGACTTCGTGGCTCCTTTGTGATGGCCTGCTGACAACACTGTGGCGCTGTCTTCTTTCTACTGGAGGTTGACCGCCGCCTATTCTCGATGCATACAGCTGCTCCAGACGGTGAATGGTTGAGATACCTGCACCCGGAGGATGCATTGAGAAACTGTGTCGGTTGCTGAGCGGCGACCAAGTGTGCTGGTAGTGCGACTCGTCCAAGTGCCGCAGGAACTGACGATTAAGAGAGTCCAGCGCTTGCTGATCCTCGTTGGCCAAGTTGGCCATTAGCTCATTCAGAATCTCAGACTCTGTCTCGACTTTTCCATGACGCGCTAACTTTATGTCGTGCTTCCAGAACTGTCTGTTCTTGCGGCCGATCACAGGGGCGATTTCCTTGATCTTTAGCACTAGAATGCCCATGAGGTAGACACAAAGCACGTTTGACAATGTTAGGCACATGCTGATGGCCCCCAGCACGGCCAGTTCCTTGGCCTGATTGTCCGAGTAGCGTCGAGACTTGATAACATCCACGTAGAGTGAGTCGTCATGCTCGAAGAACTTGTAGATGCAGGCAACGGCCCAGAGGAGCCCTGAGTTAACCGCAGGGGGCAGCAAAGATGCGGATATGGCCACGCCCACCAGGGATCCGATGTTGCCACCCAGGATTCCTATAGCAGCCGCAGCTCCAGATGGGATTGCCGTGAAAACACCAACCACTAGCGAGTGTAGATCACATCGTGAAAGCATTTCTTCTGTAAGTCCTTCTCCGATTCCGTATTTTTTATCCGTCGTACATATGACCAGTCCAAAGAGGAAGCCCACGAGAGTGGCGGTCAAAATGCCGATTAGTTCGTTAAGCATTCCCAGTCTGCGTAGCGATCTGTCCTGGATAACAGTTCCGAAGATGGCCGCAATTATTGGGCCCATCAGTGGAGAAATCAACATGCTGGAAGCCAGAAATATTGTGCTATTTTCCACCAGGCCAAAGCTCGCCAGAACTCTAAAATGGAAATGGTATAGCTTATACAGGTGACCAAGTTAGAGTATCAGATTTCTGGAAGTGTTAGTGTAGTTCTGAAAGTCTCTAAGTAGAAGTCCAATGAATGTTTTAATCCGTTTTCAACAATTTTTGTCCAAATGTGCTTTCTAGAAATCTAGTAGAACTTTTTATCCTTAATATTAATGACCTAATGAATTTGTAGTTGATTTTTCGGAAACATACTCTAACATTTAACATTTAAAAGGTTTTTTTAGCTAACTCTTACGCTGCTGATACGAGTAGTATACAAAAGTCGAAGGTAATGGCTGCATCCTGGCGAACATCTCTTATGATCTGGGCCACATTCAATCGGGACCTCACAGAGTTCATGAACCGGTTCCAAATACCTTGTTTCTGAGCATTCATGTTTCTAAAAAATTAAAAATTTTCTAGTATTTAACAGATTAAAATTCCATTTACTAAGTTTACTCAGTGCTTGAGGGCTGGTCATCCTGCTCCTCAGAATTCTCCCGTTGTACATAGGATCTGTGAGCCAAGCAGCCGACAACGGACACCGCAGATCCCTCGCGATCTCCGATGCCCCATTCTTGCAGAGCCTCGTATAGATTCTCATATCGCTCGTCAAAGTCCATGGAGAAGCTTATGTGATAGGCATTCCCATTCAGACTGGGCATCCAAACGGCGTTTGGAATGTGAAATTTTTGTAGGATCTGGCGCAGAACCTGCTCTTGATCCGTATCCAGTGGGATGTCGAGAAGATTATCGTGGGACGACTGAATTTGGATTTTCGGCAATGCATTCTGAGTATTGTGACTTTTTCTCTCAGGGGATTCCCCGATCCGAATGGTGGAAAGACTGTCGATGGTTAATGATCTGCTAGTAGTTCCGGTGGGTGTAGCTACCTCTCCATTGACCACTTGGACATAGACCTTTTTTAGGCGCTCCTCCTCTGCCTTGGTGGGAATCGTTATTGTTAGTTGGACGGCAGCTGTTCCCGTCATCGTTGCGGTCGGAAATGTGTTGATAGATTTAGTGTTTACCTCACACTTTGTATGAAATCGATCTAGTGCATAATCACCAGCACACGCACACACACACGTGGACAAATGGACGGACCCGGTAATGCAACTGCACTGATCTTCTTTATACTGGAAGTGAATTAGAGCCTCGCTTGTTATTGCCGCCACTGATAACGGTTCTTGGCTGGGTGCTGCTTCTCGCCGATCTGCCAATCACCCAGAATAATCTCCCACTTGGTCATATTTAGGATCATGGGAGAGACGAGCTTTCAGTGATTCCCGCCATTAAAATTCGGACTTAAATGTAAAAAAAGGGGTTTTTTCGAATTTAATATAATTTGACCAAACATGTAGTTTTTATGGTACATATTTAATCAATAAAAAGTAATATTTTATCTTGATTTTATTTCTACGGCTAACATTATTATCAGAAATATCAACATAATCTACAAAACTGTCAAATTTGTAATCAATTTTATTTGGTCATTAATTTTCTAAATCAAAATCAAAATGAATTGTTAATTTGGCTAGAAAACAACGAACCTGAGCTGACCAATTTTCCGGTTAAGTGATGCTAAATATAAAAGTATCTAGTTAAAAGTAAACCATTGGTTTTTAGTAATTAGCAATCAGTAATTTACTCAACTTGTCACTTGTGATTTGGATACATTTTAAGTTTAATTAAAGGTGCATCTTTTATAAGACGTTATTAATGTCGTCAGATGAATCAATCGAAAGAACATATTATGTAATCTAATTAAAAATTCTCGTTAATTTCATGCCTTCAGTTGCACTTGAACGTTGACGAGGTTCAAGTTTGGTTAATTGAATGCTCACGGCATGAGTGTCTCTGTTTGCATTTCTATAGATCAGAGAGTCCGTGCGAATCGGACAGGCAATTGGGAATCATTTGTATGCAGGTGGAATGGTGTCATTCTCCGGCACGATAAACTGAGAATTTCAATACATCCAGTGGTGAAGAAACAAACTTTATTTGATACAAAAACATCAGAGCTTCTCATATGTACAGGCAAACGCAGCGAGAATGGAAGTGTAAATGCCACTAAAACTGACTAAACAATAGCTGAAATTGCACTTACAAGGTTCTTTAGCATGCTAAAAACAATTAAAATGCGTATAAGAGGCTATCATCTACACAAATGCAGATACAACTACGTTTACAATATATATATGCTTACTGTATACAAAAGTGCAATGTTGACATGGAAATACGCTTCGGAAGAAGCTGGGCTAAATGATTTTTGTCGCCGTTACAGGTTTTCCGTTCGTAGACTAAGTCGAATCTCTTACAAACTAATTAACAGCATATTGGGCAAAAGGCAAAGCTCAGACACAACTCCAATGCAGCTTCTAAAAGCGAATCTCGTTGCGCTGCACCTGATCATAAACCTGCGGTGTAAGCAGCTCGTATTTGCCCTTGGATGTCTGGTAATACAGTGAATCCTTGATCGCGTTCGGATCGTAGCCCTCCTTCTGCAGGTCCACCTTACGCAGCTTAAAGGTACCAGTAAGGTCCACCTTGGTGAGCAATCGAATAATCTGGGGACGTGCGTAGGCAGGTAGCACCTTGGCTAAACTAGCGGCGAATTCGTCAAGGTTTAGTTCGCGATCAGGATCGTAGATGGCGGCCATACCAGCTCTTCCCTCGGTGTGCGGAATTGTTATGCCGTAAACCACAGTGTCCTTATATCCAGCCACATTGCTGACCTGAGCCTCAACCTCGCTGGTGGAGACATTCTCGCCTTTCCAGCGGAAGGTGTCTCCAGTTCGGTCCTTGAAGTACAAGTAACCCTTCTCGTCAGCCACCAGCAAATCTCCAGAGAGGAATGCCATATCGCCGTGCTTGAATACATCCTTTACAATCTTCTTGGCAGAGGCCTTTTCGTCAACGTAACCAAGGAACTCGCGAGATGGATTTCCCTTAACAATCTTGCCAATGAATACGCCCGGCTCGTTGGGGGCGCACAGCTGACACAGGCCATTCTTGTCCCTGATGGGCTCTCCAGAGTCGGGATCGGCGCGAATGATGGAGATCGGGTATATCTTAGGCAGAATGCGCGACACAAAGCCGATGGCACCCACAGTGTTATCGTGGTTCATGATGTTCGCATTGCCCTCGGTGGCACCATAGAATTCACCCACCTTGGCGATGTTGAAGCGTTTCACGAACTGTGGCCATATCTGCGGACGCAGACCGTTTCCAAAAACTAGACGCACTCGGTGTTTCTGGTCATATTCCGATGGTTTCGTAGCTAGAATATAACGGGCCATCTCACCAATATACTGTCCAATCTGGAGATCACAAAGGAAGAATTAGCGAGTGATTTAGAAAGGCAATAAATCCCACTTACCGTTGCATTGTACTTGGCGCAATCGGCAAAATAGTTGGATGCCGAGAACTTCTTGCGAATGGAGACAGTGGAGCCGAAGAGCACCGATTGTCCCATGCACATTATTCCTCCAGCGGTGTGGTACAGAGGCAAAGGTGTGTAGAACACGTCATCATCCTGGAAACCCATGGTGTAGTGGATGCCAGCAGCAATAAACAGATACCTAAGAGGAACAAAATTAATTAAAGTGTCCGTTCAATCCAATTCATAATAAGCTGAATAATAAATAAATAAATAATAACCATTTGATAAACATACCTGGAGTGAGAGATGACAGCCGCCTTTGGCAATCCGGTAGTGCCAGAGGTGTAGATGTATACGAGCTTGTCATGGTGGTTAACCTGCGTCTTGTTTGGCTTCTCAATACTCGCGGTTGTCAGCAGAATGTTCAGGTTCTTGGCCTGCGGGATGTTCTTATCTGTTTGGCTGTTGTTGTTCTCATTGTTGAATTGGAAGAGAGTGAGACTGGCGGGCAGATCCTTGGTCACCTCGGAAACCGCTTCCAGAAAGTCTTCGCCATAGATGAGGGCCGTGCAGTGAGCCACAGTGATGCTGTGCAGCAAAGAAGGACCGCGCAGATTTGTGTTGATCAGGGGAGTGATCACACCGATCTTGGAGAGACCCAACCAGGTGGCCACGTACTCGGCACGGTTCTCCAGCAACAGAGCCACCACATCGCCCTTTTTGTAGCCCTGAGCCTGCAGGACATTGGCCACTTTGTTGGCGTGCTCGTTTACCTGACGGAAGGTCCAGCGCTGCGTCTCACTGACAACAGCCACTTTTTCCGGATGGGCTTGAACATTTCGCTCAAAGACTTCCGCCACAGTATAGTTAAGGCGCTCATGGCGTTTCGTGTACCTCAGGAGCTTGATATAAGCCCAGAGAGCTCTAAACGAAGAAAGAAATAAGAAAAAGTTGATTAGTTCAATACATTTTTTTGGCTTAAATTTTAAACTTAAAAGAAATACCCGAAATAATATAGTATTCATTATTATTAACGGTTTAATGATTTGATCATACATTTTGCCAAATCATCTTAATAATACTCCATTTATTCGTATCGTTAAACCGGCGTTTTGATAATAAATCCAACGGATATTGATGTTAGGGAAAGTGTTTGATTAGCGGTAAGTCGCTGCTAGTAGCCGCACGGCTGTATCTTCCTTCATCGATCGCGTGCGTTTTATGGTTAGTGGTTGGGGCCGTTAAATATAGCTCACAGAAATCGAAGCTCGACAAGCGCAACAGCCATGATGCGATAAACCCAGAGATAAACCCGCCTGGAGTGGCTGCAATCGAAACCGAACGTGGTAACCTAGTCCGACCATGAGAGCCGCAAATTTATGACGTTGCTAAATACGAGCTGAGTAATGCAAAGTTCACAAGAAGGTCAATGTTGTAAAAAATTTGCTTTTTTTTTTGCAAGCGCTTGCAAGCAGATTTTCTGGGAGAAAGCATATGCAAAGAAAATATAAAACAAATTTTACCTTAATCGAAAAGTTAGAATCTTTAAAATATCTCAGGGTGGAAAGGCAAGAAATATTCTACTTAAGTCTGAAACTAAACAACGTCTTATCTCTTTAGGGGATTATGGGATTATCTAGGAACATTTATTCTTCAACAGTAACTACTGTTTGACCTAGGTATCAATATTGAAGAAGTTATCAGCAAAGTGAACAAACCCTCAGCCAGATAACGTTTATCATTGATTTTTATTACAACTGAAAAAAAAAATCGAATACAAAATTATTTTAGTTTAATTTATTGTCTGCCCAACAAATGTCTTTATAATTATGTGATAATGAAAATTTGCAACCGTTTCCACTTTAAAATGTAGGTAACGTGTTCCGGTCTGAAAGTCGCTTAAAAGCACTCAAGATATTGTGAGATTTGATACGATACGATATGTGTGAGGTAAAACCAAACCAAATCGTTCGATTCCCCATGGCAAACATAAGCCGCAATAGTTCGATGGGCCGTATATTAGAAATGGGGGAAAAAACTTGCACTCGACTTGGGACTCGACCACATCGGCGATCTCAATTTGAATTCGATTTGCACCCGTGCGTACTTTGCACCGCCACCGGGGCAGTGAAGTGTCGATAAGATTGCCGGCTAAGCAGTTAGTTTAGCTTAACGCTCGTTAGTCGTGTATTTATAGGGGTTTAATCAGGCCTTATGACCCCCATCGAGTGGTTTGCTTGGTATTTTTGGAAGTGCTGCACATGTTTGCTCGGAGATAAGTTGGCTGTCGAACGGAGCAAAACTTCGATACGTGGCCAAGGCTGACCAGTCAGACTTAAAGTTGATCTTAAGAATCGTTTGTGAGTGAAGATATATACGAATGAGTACATATGCACGGAGTACAAAAAGTCGAAAACAGTGTTGGCCTTGGCATGGAACTTGATCTGCTGATTTTGACTCATTAAAGCACAAAATGCTAAGCAAATTATATTTCGCCCTCTTCAGCTGAGAAAAATTTTACGTTTTTATAGCTTCAGATTTCAATTAAAAAATTAAATTACATTAATTAAAGACTATTACATTGAAGATTTTGGGGATGTCTTTGAAGGTTGGAGAATATAAGATTTAAAAATCTATTAAGATACAATAAAATTTTGGAAGTGTAGGAAACAAAAGTGTTGATGGGTAGCAGTGGAAAAATGCAATAGCATAGAAAATGCATAAGTCACAAGGCGATACTTCCGCTGTTTTAATTAAATCGCACGGTAGAGGCTCTAAAAAAATATCAAAATGGATATTGATAATTTTCTATAATTAAAAAAGCCTTGGAATTCATAAGAAAGTAAGAGTTTAGATCATTTGAAAAATTATTGCACATCAAAAAGCACTAGTCTCTCGCTTAAATATACAAAACTTTACAAAGCAGCCCTGGCAACTCTAGAAAATTCAAAATTTTTAGACTGAGGAGACACTTCCGCCATTTTAATTACCCAAGCTTTGGCTTTTTGGCGTCCGTTTTCAAGAACAGATCGGTTAGTGTGCCAGTAGTCTTCCGCCTGACGCACTCGATGGGGTCTTATTAGTATGCGTGGAGGGTTTCGATGGGCGACGATCGTACGAAGTCAATGGTAAATAAAAGCGAGTTTTGTTTTGGTTTTGTATATTTTTTTGGGCTGGGCGACCTTGAACCTGAAGAAGTCAATAAACCGCGTAATCGAGTGGCAAAATCTAATATTTTCCGTATACAATTTGTCATTGTTGTAATCATTTCCCCATGAAGTTTTCTCTTTACAGTTTTTACCCAACAACTGGAAATGCTGCTGCAGATGGCGACCTAAATTGATGGAAAACGAGTTTCTCTGTGGTTTTCTAGGGGCTAGATGCGGGGTACAATGGCCAAAGTACTTGCACTCGGCTGATTTTTCAGCTCTCGGATGTTCTCAATAGATTCACAAAAGAAAAGCCCAGATATATTGTATTGAAATGCACACCGCACGGGGGCGGTATTGTAAACTTATCACTGACTGTTTGGGTACAGTGTGCCCTCGCTAATGAGTTTTCCCTACCCCGCTACCACTCACGTTAGATCGCGACTGGCGGTTGCTCCCGCTATGTAGAACCAGCGCCAACCGGGTTTCGTCAGCAGCAGGGCAACCAGTGCGACGAGCACAGCAAAAATCCAGCCCATTGTTTGGAGCGTGTAGATGACGCAGGCGATTGCCAAGCCGAAAGCGACCGTTGCGCAGAAAAACCGAAATATGACTAAAAACCGCTGCCGTCGTCGTCGCTGTCGATCGTGCGATTCGTAAGTTATCGATTTTCGATCAGCCGGGCGCTGCGCGTTGCCAGATCACCGGAAATGTAATACCGTTAGAGAGAGGATCAAAAATGCAATATATGAAAATCTTACATTGGTGCTATAATGCGCGCAATTGTCGATGTTAATTATCACATTGCTGTTCACATGGTTGTCCAATATGCTGTTGTGCTGCAGGTGTTAGAAATAATACCAGATTAGTTTATAACTTTTAGATTTAGAACCAACTTTTGTTTATGCCATGAACTTTGTTTTGAATTGCGTACTGCGCCATATGTTGCACATTTCTTACTGTAAGCTCCGGCCTCGGATGACCAATACTAGAGCTGTTGTAACGCAAACGATGATAACGTTCGTTTCGCTGTCACAAGAATCCATTGAACATGTAGAACGGCAGAAAGTGTCGGCGAGCTTTTCGAAATAGCATTTTTCTATGTTTAAATTCAAATCGTTTTTCTCAAATTAAACAACTGCTAATGCTTGTTTTGGTTTTGTAACTTGTCCTGCGCTATTCGAGTTTTAGATAAAGCTTTTATGCTGCAGAGTGGAACTAGTTCATCAAAAGCTTAAATATCTTACCTTACTATCGGTAAAAAGCCGCCTTTCACTATCGGTTGGCATCGCCTTCCTAACAGCTGATATAGTGGCCGAGTGGCAACGCTTGACGTCACTACAAATGTTTTGTTTAATTTAGCGGGTTTTTTATTGTCTAAACACCGCCCCGCCATGAAAATCCTGTGCGAGGTCCAAGTGGTGAACCGAACTACACAGGCTAACCGGACACCGCGACCCGTAAAATCCACTCTCGCCATTGGCTACAAGCAGAGTGCCAGAGACTCAAATGGGAACACCAAGAAAGAGCTGGAAATGGTACTCTTCAGTGGACAAAATAAGACTGGCAGTCGCTACAAGGTCAAGGATAATATACATGCAGTGCACACAAAGTTTGTACTAGACGGCAAAACCACCATAGGTTTCCTACAGCCGCCGGAAAATCTACTAATCAAGTGCGACCCCATTCAACTGAAGGGCTTCCTGCAGACCCTCAAACTGGGCATGGATGGTAAAGATGCCATCAATCTGAGACTGAACATTGCTGCCGCAACGGCTATTCCACAGAAAGCGCAGCCCCAGGTGCGCATGGTAATAAGCAAGCGAAGCGAATACCCCATTAAGGGATTCCCACGCACACTCAAGGCGCTGACCATCAACAACAGCCAGCTTGTAAAGCTGAGCTTTGAGATCTGCTCGCTCCGAAATCTTACAAAGCTAGATGTCAGCGGCAATAAACTAACTAAGGTGAATGTTTTGGAATATGTTCCCATAGATTACTGGATAATCCTTCACTTTGTTTTTAGATTCCTAAGGAGTTGGGTCGCCTGTCGCTGAACTCCCTGCACTTGGGCAGTAATTGCTTGGGCGAACTAAACGACTGGTGCTGGCTACGGGGTACTAATTTAAGTAAAACACTTGGCGAGTTGGATCTCTCGAGCAACGGCCTGACCCATTTTCCTCCTCCTCTGGTCAAATTTGAGCGATTGGTCTCCCTTAATCTCAACGATAACCTACTTAGTCGACTGCCCTTCTCTATACGCCGTCTGCAGGCTCTACGAAAACTGCACGTGTGCAGCAACAAACTAGAGTCTTTGCCTGCTGCCATCGAAGATCTGCACATTGACCTGTTGGATGTGTGGGGCAATTGCTTTAAGGCCTTCAATGCAGAGGCTGCGCAACAATTCACTCAGCAAAAGGCAGTCGCTAACACACCGCATCCACTTTGGCTCCAGGCAGCCCGAGCCGTAGACACTTATAAGCTGCCTTTGCCAGCGGGCTCTATTCCTTCTGTGCTCATTGAACTGATCTGTGAGGCACCAAAGTGCCTGTGTGGTGTACTATGCTATGCTCTGCGCAAGGAGGATCTGCTCCAGCGTGTTATACAGCCAAAATTCACCAATATAAAAAACCTTACATACAGTCGCGAGCATCAGATCTACGCGGATGTGGTTCTCTGCGGACCCAAATGCAGTGCATCGGCGCAACTTAAGCCCTTCATGAGCGTAATGTTTCCCTGATTGGATCAGGTAGTTGTATTTGGAGCATATTTTTTAGCTATAATAGATATTATTTATATTATTTGCATAACCCCCATCGTCGGATTATAAAAAGGCGGTGGGGTCTCATTTAGATTTAGATATTTATATATTTTTGAAAATAGTTTTTGTTTTCATTCCCCCATATACTTTATCTTGTTGAAACTAAACTGCCAATAAAAGCGAATTTACCATCAAAAGAGATAGGAATTTAAGCTTAAATAAGAATATTTCACGAATAATTCGTAAAAATCTGATTCGATTTATAAATTTTGATGTATCAAAAGACCTTTTTTTTTTTGCAAAAAATAAGTTTGAAATATTGTAATGTCTTTTAATGCCAAAGTTTTAGAAAAACTTTAAAATTTAATATATAATATAGGTATAGGTTTTACATAGAGGTATAATGCAAAGATTTTTTTATTTAGGATAGAGCCAATAAGTTGGATGCTTCATGGACGCAGTGAATCTCCTTTCTCCCAAGACGTTTTCACAGGCATAAAGACATTCACACGCACGCTTGGTTGCTTACTTTGTTTTCGTATTACAGAAGCTCGTTGTTTTTATTATTAAAAGCTTCGTGTGTATGTGACTTGCATAAACGATTTTTTATCAGCCGGCTAACCTACTCACCCTACTGTGCGTCCTTTTACTTTTCCACCACATACGATTATCTTTTGTATACCCTCACTGGGTGACATTTCCTTTCCTTAGTTAGGTTAGAAAAAACCCTATTTAAATAAAGAAAATATGCAAGTAGATATACGCATTTTAGTGTGAAAGAGTATCCTTATAAACGGGGAATCTACATTTCGGCCTTATCGTTTGCTGTTCTTTGCTTTTCTTTTGCTTTATCAAATCAAAACTTCGAAGCGATGCCACTTTTTTAAATAAGCATAAACAGCGGCACAGCCTTGCAGGACTTCTTTGTCTCCCACTTGAATTCTAGGCTTTAATGTGCAGCTGGGGAATAAGGCGGCGACGGCAAATATCCTTTCAGGGCGAAAAGGATGAGCCATGACTTGTGGCAAACTCGAGCCTAACTATAAAAATGTTTATCAGCATTTGGCTGGTTCCAGGGGCTCTTGGAATTCTCTAAGCTGCCCCAAATCCAATTTTGAGCAGCATTTAAGTGTCCTAGCTTCGCTTCCGCTTACTGTTTGCCATCCATATGCCCATTCCTCTCGTAGACTTTCCTTTTTGTTTGCTATGCAGATGCGTGGTTGGCTGGGTGGTTGTCAATTCATGTATGAGTGTGTTTGCCCACACGATGTCCTTTTTGCTTTTTGGCCATGACTTTGTAGCTTTGTGTGCGCAAATGTTGGGCTTGACTTTACATTTGACTCGGTCAGTAAGCCTAAAAGTAGGCAATAGAATAGCCTAATAGGAGGAAATCTCTGCGGTGCACATATGGAATTTTTCTTTATAGTTTATATGGAAAGCTAGAAAAAAGACTATAAGTCCATCTGGCAATTAACAGCTTAATATTACTTTTAAAACAACAGTAATTTTATAAGCTAATTTATCTTTAGCAATATGTTAAATACAAGTTTTAGGCTCTCTTCCGACTTTGCAAATTTTCATTTTGCATTTCGTCTTCTTTATATATCAGTTACAAACAAATTTGTTGAGTATCCATCCGACCCCTAAAAATCTTGTTAGCTCACAAATTTGTATATTTTATATACCCATAAATGGAAAAAATCTTTATAAACCATCCAGACCCTATAAAAATGTTTCGAAATTTCTGTCTGCCTGGCCTCCCCACTCCTAATAAAACCAGAACCAACCCCGAATCATTTGCACTGTCCCCGGCCTAAAACGAGAAGCAAAAAAGCCAAAAACCAACATCAAAATGTGCCAAGTCAGCTAAGGGAATGGAAATTTTAGCAAGTCCCCCCCACTCACCCGCATAAGGTCGACGCTCGGAGACAGTAAAAACTCCATTAACTGTCATCAAAAATGCATTTCGCATGCATCAAACCGAAATGGTAATGGCCAGGAGGGGATCATCAAATAGAATAGAATGAAATGGCGCAAATCAAAACACATTGGCATAAATCAAAGAGCAGGCCAGAAAAAAAAACAACTTTTTGGGAGACCACTTTTATGGCTAATCCTCGAAGGAGGCCAAAGTCAGACCCAGACAGATGACTCCCCTGGCAAACATTTTTATGCGCAAATTAACTTTGCAATTGCCGTTACTATGGGGTCTCCGGGAATCTCTCGGGGGGTTGTGATGTCTGGGTGATTTTGGCGCTATGTCACTCCCCCTGCATTACATAAAATTTATCCCCAATTTGCGTGCAGCGGGTAAACATTTTATTTGACTCGTCTGGCGTTGCTCCACTTTGGCTTATCAAATTTTATTAGCAGGCCGGCAAATTGTGCAACAACAACAGCAACAGAGGAGAACCAAACCACCACATTACGGGCTTATTTAAGCCGTGGAGCCACAAGCTTTGAGCCACCCCAAAGACCAAGTGCAGCCCCAGTTTTTCGACCTCGTCGCAAGGTATGATTTGTCGTCCGCTATCAATTTCTTTAACACAATACCAACATCCCCCGAAAAAGAGTCGCCTTCTTGGCTGGAAAAACGACCGGAAAACTGCAAACACACGCGAAACTGTCGACGACCCCCTCGGCTTTCCCTTAACTTCTTTTGGGGGGCTTGTCGCCCAGACGCGTGCAGGGATCTAATAAAAACGTTTTGATAGGCTTATGACCGGCTAGGTCTCATTCCTTCAGGTCCCTTTATATTTGTCTTCATAATATTTCAAATTTACTCGCTAACTGTTACAGCAAATTTAGATAAGACCCACAAAAAATCAATAAACTCGCTTAAAGACTTAACCAAGGGGAGGAAAACTGTTTACCTTGAGGAGTGACTAAAGGAATGTCTTTAGTCTGGGTGCTCAAAAGGTATTTGTTAAATAAAAATAATACGTATAATATTTCAGAGCTATTCAGAGCTAAGGAATTTCTAAAAGACAAAATGTTTCAAATATGTTAACTTTATTATAGAAAAATGGGAAGGTTTCTTAGGGAAAATTTAGGTTTTTACATTCTTTTTTTTAAATTAATAACAAAAAGGATAACTTGAAGTTCACCAAAAGTCAAATAAGTGAACAACTTTCCCAAATAACTTATTTTATGTTAAAAAACATCTGTTCTCAACCCCAACCAAATTGCTTGTATAAAAATCCAATCTGTGTCCTACAAATTAGGGATATCATATCCCTTGCATATTTCTTACTTTCAATTCTCGAATAAAGCAAGCAGGAATGTATGGCACAATAATGTGGAATCCTTGAATCTAGAATGAAAAGTCACTGATGCGCACTTATGTGGCACGTTCCTCAAATTAGAATTTTCTTATCGAAAAAACGCACCCAGGGAATTCCCTTCCATTTGACCGCGGGCCAAAGGACGAATCAATCACAACAAAAAGAAGAACAAAATTGACCAACTCGCGCTTAGCAAGCTGGGAAAATCAAATTCTAGACAAACAACAAAGAATTGCAAACACTCGAGCATTGGGAAAAATCAATTTTCAATTTAAAATTTAGATGCTCATCCCCTCGATTCCATTCAGCTTGCCATAAAAGATAAAGATAAAATGCGTTCGAGCACAAAATGTAAATAGAACTCCCGTTTAACCGAAACTCAGGCAGGCGAATGAATGCTACAGGTTGTATTTGTGTTTGTCTTTGTGCTTCGATGGCTGGTTGGCCAGTGGGTGGTGGGATGGATGGGTGGCCAACACCCACTGTTGGCCACGAAGCGATTTCAAAGCAAAATATTGCCGCATAAATCTGACGCAAAAAGTTTTGCTTTGCGGTCAGCAGAGGCGAGTGCTTGTAGAGGAAATTCCGGAAGTTAAAAGGGTATATACGACCAGTCGAAAATGTCTTACTTTCGATATATTTTTAATTTTATTATTCTGACCATAAAACTTGGTTATTATTGATGAAGTACCAGAAGTACCCAGGGCTGAAAAATATATCGAAGATTAGCCAAAATAGGTAATACGAATAAGATATATCTACCATAAGATCATAAACATTCTGTAATAGTATAGACTTCGGCACGACAGAAGTGGTAATGACATTTAATTTTTCGATCAATATATTTTCTTTAATGACTCCAAAACACACTAGGTAACAAGCAGTCGAGTCCACATCTCCTGCAATCGTATTGAATTTCTGTTGGCAGATATTTCCCTTTGATTTTTATCGTGTGGTGAGTTTTTTTTACGAGCTCTTAGGCGGTTCGACTGTGGTCCTTATTGTTGTTCCCGCTCCGGAGTTGATTATTTGCCCAGTTGGCCGGGGCCCCGGAGCAGCTCCATCCCATTTTGCCGGAGCGTGCATTTCATTAGCCGAATGTATTTCGGAGATATATCTGGATGCTTTGGCATTTGGCAAACGATTTTATGCCGCACCGCTTCGGCAAACAAAATCAAATCTGTGACTAGGAAATTGCTTTTGCCTACTTCCGACTCCCTCGACCACACCCTATGCCACTGATTCCAACTCCAAAAGATAGGAGAGATTGCCCCCCTCATCCAAAATATTTGTTTAATGCAACTATTTAGGGAACGTTTTCAATTTGAAATGCTCCCTTGTGTAAACAGGGCCGGGAGATGATTAAAATTTAACTACATCAAATATTTGCAGCCGACTTTGATGGGTTAGTAAAATGTTTAATAATAATATTAAATGCATAATTCATTTTGGAGCTTCGAGTTAATAAGAGTTCGTTAAATTTAATGCACTCGCCGGAATGTCTTTGGGCCAATGTAAATGTTAAATATCAGAAGCAGTTAAGAGCGACAAATGGCTGGGAGGGAAGTGACTTTATTGCAAGGTTCCTGCGAAAATTAATTCATTAGCATTTTATTACTTTGGCACAGTGACGACAGCAGCCTGGTTTCTGCCTCTTGGTCTTCCGCCTTCATGAAGAAGATGACGGTGCTCTTCCCAAAGGAAACACACCACCCACATCCACCCATCTGAACTTTCCTTCACCACCCTGTGTGATCTTCTTTGGTGCTTTGATGTGTAATTAAATCAATAATCACTTTGCAGTCGCTGTCGGCTGAGGGAAGTTTATTAGTTGATTGAACTAGCAGGTGGTGGCCCAGGTGGTTGGGTTGGGGAATTGCTTTTAGGCGGTGGTCCGTATATGCAAGTGGAGTATGGGTAACGATTAACTAACAACTTAATTCAACCTTTCTATAGGAGCATTTGAGTTAGAATCGGATTGATTCATAGCTCTAGCTCCAGAGCCAAACTCAAACGACTAAAAACCTCAACTTAAAAATACTTCAAAAACATCCAAAAAAAATATCCCCTCCCTGCAACATTTTTCCATTTAATGCCCAATTAACGCATTTTCCACTTGGGATTCACCGAAGCGAGAGATTTGTATACCTTTAACGGCAAAAGGCAGAAAAACAAAAAGCAAAAAGGAATCGTGAACGTGCCACAAAGTAGAAAAGGCCACAGAGTTTGAGAACCCGAGATCCCCAAAATCTCCTACTCCATTTCTCTGCCACAAAATGGGAATGCGCGGCATTTGTCGCTTGGCTGCAATTGCTGGTAAAGCTGGGAAAGCATGGAAAAAAGTGGAAGTGGATGGTGAAAACAGGAGCTGCACTTCATTAAAAAAGGAAGCCGTGGCAGAGGCAACTTGGTCGTTAGGAAACTCCCGACTTACAATCACAAACACAAGCACATTCGCAAGGACACACAGACGCACAGGCTGCTTCAAAATGAGTGATGTAATGTGCCTAACAAGGATCTCCATCTCCTCTGGCTCCTGTTCCTCTACCCCTTCCACTCCGACTTGCTCATTGTTGCTTGTTGACATAACGAATGCCTTAACATTTTTCGAGTTGCCGTTACCTCAGCCCCGCCTCCATTCCCGACCAAACGCCCACTGTGTGTGCGAGTGTGTGTGAGGGTGCACTTCCGCTCCACTTACACATAACTCGCCTCTGCCGGCGTTATGATTAGAGATGGGAAATATTTCATATATCGATAAAAGTTTTTTTTCAATATTATTAAAATATATAAAAGTAGATATATATTATAATATATAATTTAAAATTAATACCTCTATATTTTTTTCATAAATTGCTTTCCTTTCCTTCCATTAAATTTATCCCATCTCTAGCTGCTCCGTTGACGTTGGCGGTTTGTCGAGTTAATGACTTTGGCAGCTGAGAGGAGCAGCAGCGGATGACGACCCAAGGGCGGATGGCTGATGTTTGGGCGGCCTGTCAACGTCTCTCAGGCGTGCAAAAATCATTTTTCTCGCACATTTTTATAAATCACCCTTCTTGCCACCAACCGATGGCTGCCAAACAATCATCAACATTTATTTACATTTTTCATTTTTCACATTCTACCAAAAAAAAAAAAAAAAAAGCAGCCAGAATTGCCTATAATTTTGCAGTGTAGGGAGGCTGGCTGATCCCTCAAGGTGTCGCTTAGCAGGAAGCCGAAAGGAAAGCGGAAAATTCCGACGACGACTGCTGCCTGCAGTTGACAGTTAATTATTTGTATAAATCGCTGCAGATGTTGCGGGCATTGAAGGGTTAAATTCAGACGCATAGAGTTAAATGAATTTGACTATCACATGTGCAAATTGGCGGGAAAACTTGTCTTAAAAGAATTTGTTTAAAAAATAATAAAAAGTTTCAGTTACAGATTTATATATATTTCATTCCAGTTAAGATCTTTTCAATATATTTATAAATGGATTAAATTTTTGTGCCCTCATCTTCACCCAATTCTCATTTTAATTTCTTCGTTAGCATGAAAATAAATTTATATTTAAAGGCAATATATCAAGACTTCACCTCCCGCTCATTCAGTTTGGTATCGCATTACAGGATAAGGATAAGGATTGTTCCTGTTGCTCTTTGTTCTGTTATCCCTGATAGAAAGGGATGTTCTTATCCTAAGGAGGTTGCTGCTGCTTTTCTGCCGCTTATCATGGCCATGCAACTTGAAAACAATAAATATTTTATGGCCCCTTTTTGGCGAGCGCATAAATCTTGTTCTGGAAATTGATCCGAGCAACGAGCTGGCTGAGTACGTACGTACGTGTTTTGGAGGGTTTGCAGTGAGGTGCAGATACAAAAAGATACAGATACATTTGCCACATTGACACACTGAGCACTTACGGGCTCAGCCTCGCACTCTGGACTCCGGTATTTGCGAAATTTGTCTTCTGGCGAGGGAATTTTCCATCCATCCTCCCCAATCATTCCCAGAAGTCCCAAAACGCCCGCATCTTATGAGATTTGCACATTGATTTCAGCCCCTTTTCGATGCGGAGTGTTTAGTAGGTCGCAGTTTCCTTGCTTCAACGGGGTTCGTGTGTACTTTCAAGTGGTAGATTTTCTGGTATTTTCGGGGGCTCTTTTGAAGTTAAAGTATTTAGCATGATAAGCAGGAATTTAACTTGTTGCTGCAGGCAAAGTAAAAGTACTTTTAAATTTATATAACAAATGGTGATGAAGTATGGAGGGTAGTATAGGAAGGAAGTCTATGTAAAATATATGTATATAAAAATAAATTCCTATATTTATTAACATTAAAAACTATGAATTGGGAAAAAACTCTGATGTTTTACTGATTATAAATACATTTTTGACCTCTTTTAAAACCCATCTGGTTTCTTATCACATCTTGGTTTTCACCAAAAAAATAATCAATTTAACATTAGACTATGAAGTAGTTTTTTAGCTTCGTCATTTTCACATCTTTTGTTGCTTTTGAACAAATATTTGTCATTGCACTTCTATTTACTTTTTAAAGCCCACTGCTCTTCTCCCAGTAACTTTCTGCCTTCCTCCCTTTAGAAACTATTAAAAGTTTTAATAAACTTTTTTGAACCAATCGCCCGGACTTTGTGTCACTCAAAATCGTTTGCGGCTTGTGGTGTTCAAATCAAATGCCCCAAAGAGCAATTTAAAATAGCCGAAAATACCATGAATTCGGGGGCTTATCTAGGGACTTGCAATATTTTTATCCAGAAAAAGCAAACCGCGCAGTAAATTAACTAAAAATCAACTTCAAATGTCATTGAATTGGTCAGAATCTCGGATTATCGTTGGCAGCATGTTGCCAGCTGTAAAATGTTGCCGAAACCAAAACGAGTTTTGAGTCGCAAAGCTTTTCATATGATAATGCAGTTTGTGGCTGACATTGCAAATGCTGATAGGGCAGCTCAAAGGGCGGCAAGGGGGCGATAATAACATGCATAAATTTATTTATATATACGAGTATATATATATATTTATGCTCAACAGCTCATTTAATGAACTGCGCATTGTTTGTGCTGATTTGCATAGCAAGTATGTGCGTAGCTCTCATTTGTAGCTGTATCTGCGTAGGTGCACTGAGGAAAAATTCATGTAAAGCGAAAATAAATGAAGAAAGACTTTAAAATATGCTGAAAAAGAGCGTGGAGTATGCAGATACTAATGTTCCTAAGTATTAAATAACATAGAACATAGAGAAAAAGGTCAGAAAAATCGAATTTTTACCCAAAGGTTATTTTTTTCAATTTAGAATATAAAAAAATAATCTTATAATAACATTTAAAAATAAATTAAGTATTCCCAATACATATTTTCAATACGCCACCACTCTATGCAGATTTCCTTCAAATTTCTGGAATATTTTCCTTAAATCCCAATTTTTTTTCGCCGAGTATCAAGTTCTGTGTGAGAAGCTGTCTCTGTGTGCGAGTGCGTGTTTGTTTGTTCGTTAAATGCAGAATAAGCTACACTTAACAATTGAATAAAACTCGGTTCTACTTAGCTCAACTCCCACAACTGGTCAGTGCGATAAGCGGACACCCTCTCCCTCCCCAATAGTTTATCTCTCTATCACGGCGTTTGTGTTTACCTCTCGCAAATACGAAATTTCTAAAATTAATTTCAAATTTGAGTCGTTTATCATGCCCTTGCCACTCCCTCCGTCAATGTGCGATAAATTTGATAAATTTGTATTAATAGCGAAAAAATAACACTCATATAACAGTCTGGCTTGGTTGATTGCACTTTGATCGGTTAATAATCAATAAATAATCGCTTGATTTTGTTGCTGGTCGTCGTCAATGAGTAATTTGTTGACCAAAAACTATGAGATCGACATTGTGGGGAAGGTTATTTGTCAATTCGTTTTTGTAATTTGGAAAGAAAATTTTATAACAAAAATGGATAAGCATAAATTCAGAGATGTTGCTTAAATTTAATTTAAAATTTTAGGTTAAGAATAATCAAGTTTTATTTAAATATTTAATATTATGTAAATTGAGACCTTCATGAAAAATCATATTAACATAAGAATATATTAACGAGGTATGATTATTTAAGAAATAAATATAAAAAAGTTTATGACTTAACGTAACGTAAAAATGTCTATATTTAAACTACTATAAATAATGGCATAAAGCTAATGTATGTAGATCAAGTTAAGAGGTAATGATTTTTCCAATTCAAGTAAAGCATTTGAAGGTCTGTTAAGCCAGATTATAATACCAAATAACTTACTTTGATAATGTAATTAATGATGAATTGATAGCCTCACCATTGGACTTTGTATTCTTAAAATACTTAACGAAATACTATTTTACTTTCCTGCGATTTAAGATTATCAGGCCATTAGGGTTCAATTTTCTAATATTTATTAGTTAGTCACTGTTGCTTGCTTATATCTGGAAAATGATTCACAGCTTTGCAAAGCGTGTCTGTAATTAATAAAATATAATATTTTTCTCTTTCCGGCTGAGCAGAGCAACAACCAGTTGTTATTCCATTTTCAATGGAGATGGGGGAGAGTTGGAAGAGCCGAGCTTAAGCGAATCAATTGGCCTGGCAACATGTTGGATTGTTTGTTTACCAGCCCGAGCGAATGTTGCCAAGGTGGATCCCCTTGGCGGATTTGGATTCGGAATCGGAATAACGACAAAACATCTTCAGTTGCCGCTGGGGGCCGGCGGTTTTGACATCTCGTGCGTAAGTGGATCCAAAGTCAAGACCATTTCAAGCCGGACTCTAACGCTTATCAGCCGTTGGCTAGTGACGAAGGCAGTCAGGTTATCGCCGGGCTTAACTAATATACAGCCCCAGTGATTCAAGATTCAATCGAAAGTATTGTACGTAAACGAACGGTCGAGTGCTGATTATTCGAACATAAGTCGGTTCAGGGGAAGTGTCGAATTTCTCGCTCTCACAGAAGGTTTCTTTGTTTGCCGTCAATCCGTACTGTCATCAGTCAACAATTGTGCCTCGCACCGATCACATCCGCACAGCTTGACCCTATATCTATCTATATTCATAGTATAAATATTAAGTCGTAAAACTAGTGAAATGTCAGCAAAATTGCTAATAGTTGCCCTAAGTCTTGTGCCTCATGCACTCCGGAATCGTCGATGGTCTATCACTGACGCTTGGAAATATCACCCTCTTCAACGTTAACTTCAAAACGCCGACCTTTCTGGGCCGATCCGTGGCGGTGGACAGTAATTTGCGGATAGAAAACGATGTGGATCCCAATATACAGGAAGACTCACATTTAAATACGGTAAGATAAATCAAAGTTGTTATAAAAGTCAGCAACAAATGGTGTTTTTAATTTATAGACTGACAAGTACTTTTATTGTTTTTTAATTGAGTATAAAAGTCACTTAATAGCTAGTTAAAAAGTGACGGTAATGGATTTATTATACAAATTTGCACTTGTACAGTGCTTAGAATCAAATTTCTTATGTGAAAAAAACATGAAAACTAGCAATTTCTGATTAGTTCACAGGCCATTACTCTATATTATATATAATTTCTATGAAATGTTTTAGTTACGTTCATATAATTAAATCATATAGCTTAATGAGATCAATTGATTTCAGGTCTCAGTGCCGCAATGATGTGATTAAAACAAATTATTTAATTAAAATCTGTGCATAAACAGAGCTAAAAGTACCTCTCTTAATCCAAACTTAAACCTATAATAAAAGCCAATTATTTCATTAAAAGTGAGCTCTATTCATTTTCCCTTTTTGCAGTATAATCTTATAAAGAAATATGGTTACCCGGCGGAGAATCATACCGTGGAGACTGATGATGGCTATATACTCACCCTGCACAGGATTGCTCGGCCAGGAGCCACGCCGGTTCTCTTGGTTCATGGACTACTGGATAGCTCAGCCACGTGGGTGATGATGGGACCGAACAAAGGACTTGGTAAGATCATAGGCTATCTCTAGCTGCATGCCCATGCTGATTGTTTTTGTTCCAAAGGTTACCTGCTCTACGATCAGGGGTACGACGTCTGGATGGCCAATGTTCGGGGCAATACGTACTCGAGGAAGCACGTAAAGTACAGTACACACCATGCCAAGTTCTGGGATTTTACTTTCCATGAGATGGGAAAACATGATATTCCCAGTACCATTGATTACATTCTGAATGCCACGGGAGTTAGTCAGCTACACTATATTGGTCACTCTCAGGGAACAGTGGTCTTCTGGATCATGGCCAGTGAAAGACCGGAGTATATGGACAAGATCGTCCTAATGCAGGGCTTGGCACCAGTGGCCTTCTTAAAGCACTGCCGAAGTCCAGTGGTCAACTTCCTGGCCGAGTGGCACCTATCGGTGAGCGTAAGTTACCCCATCCATATTATCCCATCCTTTCAAAGAGTGTTTTTGCATTGGAATATAACTTTTATTATCATTATGATTATATCCAAAATGAAAACATCTTTATCCTTAACCATTTCCTCATATTTTCTCCAATCTTACAACGGTTTTTCCTCTTATGTTTTAGTTGGTTCTCAAGCTAATTGGCGTCCACGAGTTCCTGCCCAAGAATGAGTTCATCAGCATGTTTAATCGCATAATTTGTGATGAGACCACCATTACAAAGGAGATCTGTTCCAATGTGATCTTTCTGACCACCGGATTCGACAAGCTTCAGCTGAACGAGACAATGCTTCCTGTGATTGTTGGACATTCTCCTGCTGGAGCCTCCACCAAGCAGATGCAGCACTTTCGGACAGCTTAACAGGTCAGGAGGCTTTCGGCAGTTCGATTATGGATGGCTGAGGAATCACTGGCGTTATGGTACCATTGAGCCACCATCTTACCACCTGGAGAATGTCAAGGCCAAGGTGGCTCTTTATTATGGTCAAAATGATTGGCTGGCACCGCCGGAGGATGTGGAAATGCTGCACAGGCAGCTGCCAAATGTGGTGGAAAAGTACCTGGTGGGAGACAAGGAGTTCAATCACTTGGACTTCATCTGGGGCATCGATGCCAGGGAGCTGTTGTGGGATCGAATGTTGGAGAACATGAGAAACCATGAGAACTCGGTTATCTAAAGGGGTGTAGTTATAGAAATATTTTTATAATTTAATTCACAGTATATTACATTTTACGGCTATTTATAGTTAGGTATTTATTGTTTTATAAAAATTAAGATGATTTTTTAATCATGAAAACCGGATAAGAACACAATTTTATAAGTTGGAATATAATGTGCCATTAAAATGATTAGAGGAAAACCTCATTGTTTTATTATTCCCGGGAAAATTTCTAAACTTATTTTGCTAGTGAAAGCCAATTTAAGCCATATTTACGTCACTGCTATTTTATATAAGGTAAAAGTATTTAAATTTGTTATATGTAAAATGTATTTAAGGGTTAAAATGTCGATTTTTTATGGCTCAGATACAAATATTTTCAACGCTTTTGAAAGCTAGGTTTAGTTTTCACTCGGAACTTGCACAGATCGGATCTCTTTTAAAACTAAAAACTGAAAATGACTTTACCTTTGTCAGAAAAGTTTCTGTTTTGTATCTTTTTCCTGGCCCATCTTCATGTGGAAACTTACGCGTTTTTTAATCCCTATCACATGGTTATACCTCCAAACGTTCTCGAAGATGCTGACTTGGATACGGTAAGCTTAAGGAAAGCCAGGAAATTTGTATATGTTGTGCGTTATTTCAGTCAAATTTAAGTTAATACAGAAAAGCAACTTAAATCATACATTAAAGAAGATCAATATAAGATCAATTATAAAGAAAAAGTCTTAGATTTTCCATAATGAAAAATGGAAAAAACAAAAAGCAAAGCGTGTGCGAGATTATATATATACCAAGTCTATATTATACATTTTTTTATAGGGGTCAGACTACTGGCTCAATTTTCACAGTTCGAGCAACTCATCTGTTTTTAATGGTTTAGGTAGTCGCACTTCTCCAAAGTATTTGTGCTAAAAGCTTATCTAACATGTTTATTTATGTCTTTAGTTCCAACTGATTAGTAAATATGGATATCCAGCCGATAATTATACAGTCGAAACAGACGATGGATATATATTAGGAGTGCACAGGATCGCCCGACCAGGAGCTATACCTGTGCTGATGGTTCATGGTCTTTTGGATTGTTCAGCCACTTGGGTGATGTTGGGACCAACAAAGTCTCTAGGTAAGATGGAACTATATCCAATAACTATATATAGTAAGATTCACCCTCTCCTGAAGGTTACCTAGTATATGAACAGGGCTACGATGTCTGGATGGCCAATGTCCGGGGTAATACCTATTCAAAAAGACATGTCCGTTACACCTCTGATGACCCTGAGTTCTGGGATTTCTCCTTCCATGAAATGGGTGTCTATGATGTGCCCAGCATCATTGATTTCGTACTGATGCGTACTGGATTTAGTCAGCTGTACTACATTGCTCACTCCCAGGGAACGGCTAGCTTTTGGATCATGGCCAGTGAGAAACCCCAGTATATGGATAAAATCATTTTGATGCAGGCCTTGGCCCCGGTGGCCTACTTGACCCACTGTCGCAGTCCCGTTGTGAATTTGTTGGCTGCCCAAGATGCGGCGTTGACAGTAAGTTGAACTTAAATTAAGTTATTAAAAGCAACCCTTCTAATCTAACATATTATCCTTAGTTTATTCTTAGATCCACTGGTTATAATGAGTTCTTCCCGAGTACCACTTTGATAAACTGGTTAAAGCGGGTTGGTTGCCATGAAACGACTATAACCAACATGTTCTGCGAAAGCCTATTCTTCATCATATTTGGATTCAATTATCAGCAGCTGAATGCAACGTTGCTTCCAATAGTGACGGGTCACACGCCGGCAGGAGCATCCATGAAGCAGTTGAATCATTACGGACAGTTGAGGAACTCACGAAGATTCCAGCTTTTTGACTATGGGATTTTGAATATTTTCCATTACGGTAGTATTTTTCCACCAATTTACAAACTGGAGAATGTCAAGGCCAAGGTGGCGTTATATCACGCCAATAACGACTGGTTGGCTCCGCCGGAGGATGTGGAATTACTATACGAACAACTTCCTAATGTCGTGGATAAGTATCTGGTGCCAGATGAAGACTTCACCCACTTGGATCTGATCTGGGGTATCGATGCCAAGAGACTTGTCTGGGACAGAATGTTAGCAGTTATGAAGTTTTATGAGCCGCGCTCTTTCTCAGATTTTGATAACGAAGATTATAATAATTTTTTGTAATTCTTTGAGTATAATAAAAATGTTTTAATTGTAAAAATTAACTTAATTTGTTTGTTTTTATTTAATTACCTTATAATTATTTAGTTTAATCACTTTAGTTAAAAGCGTGTCAGCTAAATAATTACTAGTGACTTCCTAACCGGTTTCGTTACCATAGTATTACACCTAACATTGTATAAACTATTAGTGTGATTTATCAGCTTATCAATGTTCTACTCGGCTTTCACATCAATTTAACATGACCTTAGCCAACTGTCAAGCTGTTGCTATTTCCATTTCCATTTCCATTTCCACTTGTTGAGCTATGAAAACTCGTTTGATTTATTCTCAACAATGCGGTATCACTGTTTCATGCATATTGATTGCCCTGATTCACGTGAGATCTAATCGGGTCAAGGAGGGGAGTAGCTTAACTAGCTGAGCCAACTAAATTAGCTGCTCGGATCAAAAAAGGCACACGACTAAACTGCATTGCTCAGTGGCAATTGATCGTGCAACGGGAGTAGTTCTAGTTAGAAAAACTTTATGACTTTTGGAAATTGTTAGTCCTGGTTTGAGGGAGGGGCTATGGAAGGATAATAAATAATCTGAAATGAAAAAGAAGTTCTAAAAAGTTCTTCAAAGTGATAAATCATTTCAAGAAATGTGTTGAAGTTTTCATTGTAGATGAAACTACAAACTAAACTTAATAATTATGTATTATTAAAAAACACGTTTAAATGGCATAAATTAAGGATAATAATATAAAAGCTTAATGGAAAACTCTTTTCCTTTCTGTAAATAAAAGTATGCGAATATTACGCGTTAAGAAAAGTGCCATAAATAAATAATAAATTTATAAATTATATAAGTAAATATGGTTAGTGCATAAATTACACCAAAATTAGTGAATCATTTGATAAAAATCAAAAATATTTCAAGGCTAAAAGTTAGGGTCTCGACATTTATCACACCACTTACCAGCAACTTAAAACAATTTTCCACATGCACTTTTAACAGAAAGAGATCTCGCCTTAAGCTCTTAATTGGCCAATTTCGCTGACTTAAATTGATTTTAATCACTTCCCAGTTGCATGTTGCAAATTGCCGCGATCGAAGTTAAGTTATAGAAGGAAATAATGCTTAGAAACTTTAGTGTAAGGCGCTTGTGTGGCACTTTGATCTGCCTCAACTTATTTTGTTATATTGTTTCCTGTGACTTGGTTAAGGTTCCCAAAAGCATTTTGGAGGATGCAAATCTGATAACGGTAAAGAATTTATATACCTTGATCAATATTTTATCAATTAAATATATAAATTCCTAGCCTGATCTCATCAAGAAATATGGTTACCCAGCGGAAACTCATAAGATCCAAGCAAAGGATGGCTTTGTCCTTACTGCCCATAGAATACCCAAGCCTGGCGGACAACCCGTCCTAATGGTCCACGGTCTGTTGGACAGTTCGGTGGCCTATGTGATATTGGGACCTGAAAAGTCTTTGGGCTTCTTGCTCAGCGATTTGGGTTACGATATTTGGTTGCTGAATACCCGAGGAAATCGATATTCGCGGAAGCACAAACTATACCATCGTTACCAACCGCAGTTCTGGGATTTCTCTTTCCATGAGCTTGGGATCTACGATCTACCAGCTGCCGTTGATTATGTCCTTGCAAAGAGCAAAGGATTCGAGCAGATCCACTATGTTGGTCACTCCCAGGGTACCACATCCTTTTTCGTGATGGGCAGTGAACGGCCTGCCTACATGAAGAAGATTAAACTAATGCAGGCCTTGGCTCCAGTTGCATTTTGGGACCACATTGATTCCCCGATTATTCTGACTTTTGTTAAGTACTGGCGACTCCTGGCTGTAAGTTGATGTTTTATTGAAAAAAAAAAAAACTTAAATATTTATTTTACTTGCTTCTCAGTTTATTGCTAGATCGCTTGGCATTCATGAATTTCCACCGGAAAATGAAGTTTGGCGTAGTCTGTTTCATAAGATCTGCAGCTTTGCTTTCCAAAACACTTGCACCTACTTCATCCAAGAATTAATGGGCGTGAATTTCCAACAGTTTAATGTCAGCCTCGTCCCACTTTTTACTGGGCATGCTACCTCGGGTTCGTCACTCAAGAGTCTGATCCACTATGGCCAAGAGATCCACAGTGGTGGGTTCTTCAAGTATGATTATGACAATGCCTGGGAGAATCGCCGAAGACATGGAGCCGACACTCCGCCACAGTATAAACTGCCTAACGTTGACTGCAAGGTAGCACTGTACTATAGTAAAAATGATCGCCTAACTTCGGATATTGATGTTGTACGATTGCGAGACTCTCTGCCAAATGTGGTGCATGATTACCTGATCCCTAATCCCAAGTTCAATCATGTGGATTTTATTTGGGGTAATGATATTAAGAGTATGTTGTACGATCGTATGCTGGATGTTATGAAGAGGGTGGATAATGGGGAGTTGTAGGTTAGATTTTAAGGATATTTAAGTGAACCAAAAACCAAATCAAAGGAATTTTAAAAACCAACTTTTTCATCCTAGTCCAGAAATTAGTTTAATTTTAAAAATGTTCTTCAAGGGATTCAAGTAGTTCATTTCTAGAAAATTCTTCTATAAGAACTGCTTCATTAATTAGTTAATTTATGTATGTTATTATAAGCCTTTTAATTTACAGGGCTAGTTTGTTAATTAGAAACCACTTCTCTTTAATTAAAATGCAAACAACTTTTGCAATGGAATTTAAATGTGAATTGCAAGATTTGATTTCTCTCAGCCCAATCATCATTAGTAGACTACTCAGAAATGCCACCATGAAGTGAGCTTTCACTTGGTCAAAATACTTAACTTAAATCAATTTTAGTTTGCCAAAATCCTTTGCGCACAAATAAGCTCATTCTTAGGCCAACTGATAAGATTTTGTTAGTATTTTTGGCCCAATTAAAATGCAGAACGTCAGTTGAAAATGTTTTTAAGATGCAAAGCTTTCTGTAAATATAAATTTCAAAATTTAGTTACTGTCTCAGCAGCAGACGTGTAAATTACCATAAAACGCATCGAAACATGAAATCAGATTAAATATTTAAATCGGACAAGAGGCTTGTGGCTAGTGCCAAAAAACAGAAGAAGCTCCCAGCATATGCTGATATTTCTATAGGAGCTGTCGGAAATTTATTGCCAGTACATTTTATTTAAAACTCCATTGCATCTGACACTTGCAAGTATGGGAAGGCCCCTGCAGCTCTCTGCAGTTTGCCAAAAAACTGAATTTGCAACTGACTCTGTCGCGTTCGTACGTATGTGCGAGGAGTATCTTTTTTTGGTGTTTTCTTGTTTTTTTTTTGCCTGGCAACCACAGGAAAATAAAAGTGTCATTCTATAGATGCAAACTTAATTGTTTGCAGTCCGAGTCCGAAACCGGCAGAACAAACAACAGCATTTGATATTGTGGCACAGAGGTTGGGGCTGCCACAAGTTTCCATTTCTAAAATAAAGGCCAAACAAACTGCTCTCAGAAATATATAGAATTTGGGTTTGATTGCTGAAAAGAGAGGTTTGTGTAGGAAATCATTTTGAAGTGAAAATCAAACCAACTGACTTTGAGATGGCTGCGTGAGTGACAGATTCGTTAGATTTTCCCTTTTTCAAGTAATTGCCACAAAACGTTTAATCTTAATGATATACTAATTATGGCTTAATAGAAGTGATATAGCTTAGATTAAAGATCAAAGGTTTCCCGGAAGCGAAAACCATATTAAAGTAACTATTATGGATAACCTAATGATCTCTTTTGATAAATTAATCGAAATTTTGTCACATTTTCATCTAGTTTCACGTCGCAACTTATTGTTTTATGCCCCATAGTTGTAATTAAATTCCTTGAATTTCATTATCAAAGAACTAACCACGTTCAAGCTTACAAAGTTCATGTCATCACTGGGAACAGAAATCATTTTACATAACTTTGTAAGCTGCAACGTGTCGGCTACTTGATGTGAAGTGATGGCATACACCCCTTCAGTGCATTGTTCTACGTTCCCAACTGCATGTCTCGTCTCCTTGATCCGCTGTCTCCTTGTCTGGACTCCGCCCGTGTGTCGCCACCGCCTGCTGGACATGTCCGGTCATGTCAAAGCCCCGGGTGTTGTTTTTACGCCCGCAGTCAGCAGGCAACAGGCGAGGAACAAGAACAATCCCTTACCCAATCCCTATACCAATCCCCGAGAATCATTCAGACGCCTGGCGCCCGGGAGTATCAATCATGTCACTTGACCGAGCGGAAATCGAGTTCTCACAGAAATGCAAATGGGACTTGGCCTCATAAGTTTCGAAAACAGAGAGAACCGTCAGAAGGGGGCAGGGCACTGAGAACAACGCTCAGCAGCAAATTAAATTGTCAATTCGATTTCAGGGAAATTCGTTAAAATTCTGTGGCCACCATTGTTTAATGCATTTACATGTTAGAGTCCAGAGTCCGATTAGGACTAACCAAAGACAGCAGGTCCTTTGTCCAGGCAGGACCTGCCTCCGTGGCACAGATCGCCGGTCGAAACAAAAGCCGAGGCCAGAAAACCAATCGAAGTCATTTGAAGATTTGCGCACCGATTTGCATTTGAATGGGCCAAAATGGGTAAAGTTTGAGTGTTTGCTTGGCTTTCTTTTGGTTTGTTTTTTTTTTGGCCAGGCTTAGGTCAAGGACCAGCTGTTGTGGTTGTGGAATGGGGCGTAACCCCGCCCACAGCATTGTTTTGCGATTGTTTTCCGGGAAGGAAGGGAGACGAAACTATCAACAACTGGAACTACACCAGAAATAACCCCAAACTCTTTGGCTTGTCAGCTGCAACAATGGGATAGGCCCGAAGTGTTGTCTACTTTCGGGGGCCAAAGTTTTGGTTTTAAAGAGAAAAGGCGAGTTCAGTGGATGAAAACAACCATCAACTAATGCAGTTTATATTAAAGTTGCCTTACAGTTTAATAAGCCATTTAATAGTTCACATTTCTTTTGTTATTATTAATTTATTTTTTGGCCAGCGCATAAATCGATTTACTCTATCAAATTAACAGCTGTCAAAAAAAGAAACAAATTCAATTATAAACATGAGAATAATTTATTAGAATAATATTTTGAATATTTTTCTGTCAGGTAACTAAATTAAACAAAAGATAAGTAATCAATAAAATTATTTCTACATCCATTTTAATTAAAATAACTACAAAATATCTCTCTAAATCAACAACTTCTTCACCATAACCAGCTGTCATATTTTGCTAATTCAATTAGTAATTGGCTTACCATTTTATCCACCTTCTGCATCCAATTCCCTTTGCATTTTTAAGGCAATAAGGAAAGTGGAAATACCGAAGCTGAGATCGAAAATCGAAATAACGAAACCGAAAACTGTGGCCCATCCATTTTCCCGTTCAGGTGTAGCTGGCTAATTGAAAATAATTTTTACTAACGATACCCAGTGAAAAGAAAAGCAAACGTAGAAGTGACTTACGCTGCAGCTCCCTTGAAAACTTAATGAAAAATCAAACCAGGACGTGAGCGGCGAGAGAGATTGTGGGTGGAAAATGGGGATCTGTCAGAAGCCAAGAGGTGCAAGTGCAGGTCGAAGCTCCAGAGTTTTCTTTCCTTCTTCTCCTTCTGAAAACCTTCTGCCATACGTTGGGAAACGCATGTCAGATGAGCAGTCGAGCAGCCAAGCGGAAGTGCTTAACACCAAAACCCATACAAGCACGTGCACGAATGTGGCCATTTTAAACTAACGCACACAAGCTCAGTGGAAAACAAAATGAAAAAAAAGAGAGCTCAAGTAGTATGAAGAAGAACATTCTTTGGGTTAGTTTTCCTCCTTGGCCAACTAGCTGCAAACTAAAGTAAACTAGAAAATAATTTTTGTAAATACATGGAAGGTACTCAGGTGTGTTTGTGTGTATAAACTCCCCACCACCTGGGCCACTGCTGTTAAAGTGCCTGAAAGCCAAGTTAATACTTGAAAATAATTTATCGAGTGCATTTATAATTGATGTTATGTGGTTCTATCCTGGACCATCAGAGCACATCCATTGTTGGCTGTTGCTCAGGTTAGTAAGGTTGCTGGGGAAAATGTACTTTCAATTATTATTTGGAAATAAAAGTGAATTTATATCCATTCAATTGAGTTTTATGGTTTATTGGAGTTTTCACTAGAACTTAGAAGAATGAAAATAAATTGTTAAAAATAAGTTATATGTTTTTCTGAAGGAACTTTCATGCAATTTAATAGTCTCTCTGTGGTACATCACAAGGAACATGGCTAACCAATGCTATTAACGACTTTTAATTAATGTTTTGTAAGTAAAAACTGCCCCTGCCAAAAAGCTAACCCACAAAGTATCTGATTTCATAATCAAAAGCGCAATTTGATTTCCACCCAATTTAGTTTAGCAGAAAACCAACGAAAAACCTCCCCATCTAAAGGAACATTTACAATGAGTTCACTGTGCTTTGGATATTCCCATATCATAGACACTCGTCTCATGTTTTCCTGGCCAAACAACAACTTTTCTGGCCATCATTTTTCGGACAAAACTGGATAGAATGAACATAAGGGAAGCTTTACATGCTGTACAGTACATCAAAATGTCTAAAATTTCATAATTGCAATGGAGTTTCAACCTCCAGACGAGAGATTTGCCTTGGGTTTCCCTGGGTTTTCCCTGTGCTTTCCGACACTCACCCGCAATAGAATACTCACAACGTATTTAATTATATGTTCTCTGTTTTTGTTTATTTTGTGGTTTGGGGTAAGAACTTTGAGCAGCTGTTTTCGGTTGTTTTCTGCGGTTCAGTTTTCCTGTTTTTTTTTTAAGCTCACAGATACAAAGGATAAGCTTGCTGTATGAAATTGCATTTTAATTAATTTAATTGCAAATGCTGGAGTACTCCTATTGCCGGTTTTATATTAAAAAAAAATATTAAATCAGGATTTTGCAGGGAATTTTACAATGTGAATTCTTTTTAAATTCTTTCAGTAAAACTTTCTCTACAAGCGAAAAGAAATTAAAGTCCTACTCGCAGTAAATTTGAAAACCATTTCTGCCCTCAAAAATGAACATCGAACGATTTGTCATGGCTCATAATTTGGCCTTTATCTACGCCTTAACTCGTTAACAAATGTGTCTGAGGACTCCTACCCCCCATCATACAACCTTGGAAAACCCAATTTAAGGCTAGTGTCAGTTGGTGTAACGCAGAAAACAAAAACTCAGGCGGTGGGAAAACACAAAAAACAAAAATGCCATGAAAATGACAGAAAAAAAATCAAAAAAATCTAATTAAAAATTTGCTGCAATTCGAGATAGTCCTGGGCCCACCCCAAAAAGAGCCCCCTTGCCTCGCAGGGACAAACAAAAAAGCAATTACAATGCCTCAAACTGTTGCAACTTCCTGCAATGACAACAGAGGCGCTAAGCATGGTACACAATATTAGCAGTCAGACCCCCTCAATTCCCCTGTTGAACATTTTTCGCCCGAAAAAAAAACCCCCCACACAGAATGGATACCCAGCAGCAGACCAAGTCCTTCCTTACAGTGTGAGCATAGTCCGGCGAACAGGCAGTCAGGATATCCAACTGGTTACCAGTTACCCTCTCTCTGCATCCTTGATGCTCCGCTCCTTTGGGTAGCAGTTTCAGTTTCAGCGTCCGTCTGTGTTAAATACGCGAATGTCCTTCCTAATCTCATTTGGTGATGTTATCCTGAACGACTGAGCGGAGCAAGGACTCCATGGAGCAACAACTGTACACCACACTCCCTCGCTCTTTTCGTTTCTTCTCGCTACTCCTCATGGCTTTGGCAACTCCATTCTGTATTTTTTGGTTAAACTTTTTACATATTGTTCGCCAAAGTTGAATAAAAGAATCCTGTTCAGATAGCCTGCCAATATTTGTGAAGATGTCCTGATTAGTTTTGCGTATTTTTCAAAGTTTTTGAGTTACTTTTTTTATGAAAAACTTATTAAACTTAAGATAACGCTGTTTGCAGATACCAAAACTTTCCTTATAGTTTAAATTTCCCTTTTAAGGATTTTTTGGGTTATTCACTTAAGTATTTCCCAGGGTATTTATGAAGTCCATTTAAATTTCCCTTTGCTTATGGTTATTATAGCCAAAGTATTTTTTGCTGTTTGCATTCCAACCCGCGCACGTGTGTGTGCCCTGGCTATGTGTGGGTGTGTTTGTTAACCCGACAATGACGACGTATAGCGAATCCCGCCCGTTCCTGTGGCCGCTGCAACCGCTGTCTCCGCTCGGAGCACGACAAAACGCATGAAAGAGTCGAAAGGGAGGGAAAGAGAGAGGGGCATGGAGTTGGGCTTATAGAAAAAGCAAAGGAGGGAAGGGGGGGCTAGGAGTGGGTCGGCAGAGACACGTACACAGTCGCACACAGCAAAAGCCAGGCTAAAACGCCGCCAGTCAAAAAATTTGCTGGTTTTCTTTTTTCGTTCATCTTTTTTTTCCGGTCCAGCTTTTCCCGAAAAAGCGGAGAAAAGTGCAAAAAATGTTTCGCACCCGCGGTGGCCAAAGTATTTCTGCTATTCCGGGATGCCGCCCGGGTAGGGATGGTGTGGAGTGGCATGGCTTGGAGGGCACTGTTATTATTGCGTTTTTATGCATGCTCGCATATGGCGAATGTCCTTGGCCATGGTTACACCACATGATATACGGCATTAAAGTGGACCAAAAAGCCGCGCGAGGATGAGGCAATGGATTTTGGGGTGCGAAAGTGGTTTTCACTGCTATATGTTCCGGCAGTCTTAGTGGCAAGAGCGAGCGTGCTAAAAGTTTTTAAATATTTTAAGCTTCAGTGAATTATAGGCGTTGTCGGGTGGCTAAAGTCGATTCCCATGGAATTCTCTAAGTGGAGAAATAGAAACAACTTTAAAGTTCATTTTATTGTTGAATGGATTATGTTTCGATGATTTTTATTATTTAAATGTTTTGTTTCCTTTATCAAGGTGTTGATTTCTTTATTGATTTCAATTCATTTTGATTGTTAAATTTCTCTATTTTTCTACATTTTGATTTAAGTTAGAGATTGATAAGGTTAATATAAGGTGGTTAACTAGCCAAACATAAGCCCTTAATCCAATATAACTAATAACATATACATGTGTTAATCTTTGTATTCATGCAATAACCATCCATGTCATCAATCTCGGTTAAGGTTACCATTCCCTACTCCTATAACTATGATACATAATATACTTTTCTTTGGCGCCAAGGCCCCTACCCCAAGGTTCACACTCGGATAAGGAAAATATAAAAATCAATACTACAGCAATTAGGCTCCCAGCCTTCTTCCCCTCTCTTTACCACCATTTGCTGTCCGATTTTGTGATTTATTGGTTAGTTAGAAAAAAGCCATACAAGATGGAGAGTTAAGGATCTGCGGGGAAAAAGTAAAATAAACAACAATAAATTGAGGCAAATTAAGCAGACGAATGCGTTGCCTGTCAATATTTGCATAGGCGAGTGAGACGTTCATTTGGGTTGGTGGGTGAGGGGATCAGGGTGGAGCCACTTAACACCTTCTGATTCCAAATACAGATCAAATACTCCAACAGGAACGTGGCTTATTAAGTCGAACGGATTACGCACTGGCCTGAATGGGGTGAGGGGGAGTTGGGCACTTACCACCACGATGCACGCTTTTCTTGTTGGGTTCTCAGTCCCTCATTCCCTTGGTAGTGATGTATAGCATACACTGTGATAAATAAATACCTTTAAATTCTGATTTGTATATCATAAGTTATTTATTTAAGAAACAAATAAGATATTCTTAAATATTTCTTTTAATAAAAAGTTGGCTTAGGAACAAAATCAATAACTTTATATCACGAATCAAAAGTTTTTCATCTACTTTTTTTCCTGTGTAGATAAATATCTAGAGCAGGTCACCTATTTGTATTTGGCTTTCAGATATCGAATGTCAGTTACCGTGGGGCATTCTTCATCATCCTCAATCGCCGGCTCTCGATTTCCCGCTCGATTGGCCGCTTCGGTGTCAAAACAAACTGGAAAACAGCCCGAGACGGAGTCCAATTCAGAATCAGTCGAACAAACAGCGTGGTCTAATAATATTTGTAGATCGTAGAATCGTGGACGCTGACACCTTAGATTGAGGAATGAGGGATATAGTATGTACGCATATAGGAATAGGAATGTCGCCATGTGCACGATTGGGTCGGTGGCCGGGCTTATCAGTGGTGCAGTGCTGGCACCGACATTACCTGTTCACTTACCTGAAATACCAACAGTGGCTTTTAAAGTAATAGGTCTTGTAGTAAAAGTCAAAGTTGAGAAATGGGTCTCTCACTTCAGTGAAAGAGGGAGAGTTACATTTTCAAATCATAAATTAAGTTCAAGATTTTTTTAAATGCACAAAAAAATATGTGAATAAACTTAACAAAGTTGAAGAAATTTGATTCAGAATCTAACATTATTATTGGGGTTTTTAAAGTTATGAATTTTGTATTAATTTGATTCTAAAAGCTTGTGCACATCTGTGGAAGTTAGCTTTTAAAATAGTTATCAGTTTGCTGTGTTTTATGGCTTTAGTTCAGTTTTCCGATAAGGCCGATAAAGTGCAATTCGTGCAAGTTACAAGTAAATATTTGTTGTTTTGATTTTATGTTTAATTAAATATTAACTAATTGCTTAGCTTTAAACCTTAAAACTTGTATTCATTTTATAGATGATCACCCTTTTTGCTCATTGGCAACCATTAAAATGATTCAAATCCGAAATATTCCTCTGGCAATGCTTCTCAAACTGTAGCCAAACAGCTTAGTTAGAAGTTGGAGTTCGAACTGACAGTTTGAATGTTTTTACACCATTGAAAAACTATAGTAAGGTCATATGTAGGTTTATAGACTATTTAAATATGTTAATTTTACATACTACAATAAATAAAAGAATTGTTAATATAATTAATTACTAATTTAACAAACCTAATATAAAATTGTGACCCACGAACTAACAAATGCTATACTTTAAAAACATTTTTAGGGAAAGATTTTATAACATTGCAGTGGTCTAAATCGTTAATTATTAGATATACAAACATTGCGCATCTTTTTAGGACAATTTTAAATCCTATTATTAATTTTTAACCGTGCATATGTATGAGACTCAAAGCAAACATGTTCGAAGCGCCCGCACGGTGGTTGCAACCAATTTATAAGAAGTTCGTTGCTCGGCCGAACTTCATGGAAGCCACTGCTTGCAGATGCCCGGTATGCAACCACCAGTCGTTCAAAAATCTCATGCGAATCGGTCGTGTTGCGGATGGTTCGTCGCGTTCAAACGTAAATCGCGAAATTTGAGTCTTAAGGGAAATTTTTGAAACAATTTTGTGGTCTATCAAAGATAATGCTATAAGGATTTAAAAGCATCCACAAAGGAAGTTAAGAGTGTTGAAAGATCATCAAAAAGTTACTTTTGAGAAGTGCCCATAAGTGTACTAATGATAACTGCCAATTTACAAGTCGATCAGTGAGTCCTAAATCAGATTTGAAACTGAAAAATTCTCAAAAAAGGAAAAAATCATCAAATAACATATTTAAAATTTTTAATTTTGATAAAAGTGAAATATATTAAAAAAATTCACCCACTGGATTAAAGTGAAAAAAAATAAGAAACTGGATTTAAAAAGTTACAAAAAATAAGTGAAAAGTGACTAGTTTTGGGATTATTAAAGCCATGTTGTCCCAAAGTGAGCAGCCCAACTAAAGCGAGGATATAACCGATTCTAAAAAGGAACACCTAATCACCAATCTCAATTCAAAGCGCACCTTTTTGCGGATTCTAATCACCAGAAATGGAGGACGAACTGCGTTGCCCCACGTGCAAGCAGCTGTACGCTAATCCCGTGCTGTTGCCCTGCTTCCATGCCCTCTGTTTGGGCTGTGCCCTGGACATCCAGACACCTTACAATCCGGGATCTGGTGTGCCGGGGACTGTTAATGGATCGGGAGGAACCTCATCAGGTGGACACAATGGAATTCACGGCAATGGAGGTGGTTCCGGAGGTGGAGCAACTGCCACTGGGACAAATCCCAATGGACCCGGCACTCGACACAGCTCGCATAGCTCGGCTGCCAGCACAGCCAGTTCGAATACCGGAAGTGAGAGCGTCACCTCCGACCAGGATCAGTCGGACAAGGTGAGCATCTTTAGCGAGGCCGACTCAGGTGTCGTCTGCTGCTCGAACACATCCCGACCGGTATCGTACGCCGGCACAGGACTCCTCCCGGGAGTGGGTAATGTGGTTGCTCCACCAGGAGCCGCCTACTGTCTCACATGTCCGCTCTGCCGCAAGCTCGTCTTCTTCGATGACGGCGGCGTTAGGAATCTGCCCACTTATCGCGCCATGGAGGCCATTGTTGATCGTTTCTGTGCTCGGGAGGCCCTTCGTTGTCAAATGTGCGAGTCGGATCCCAAGGTCGCTTCCTTGGTCTGCGAGCAGTGCGAGATTCGGTATTGCGATGCCTGTCGGGAGTTGACTCATCCCGCTCGTGGTCCGTTGGCTAAGCACACATTGGTCAAGCCACGTGGCGCAGCCCAACAAAGGGAGTCCGTCTGCGGGGAGCATGAGGAAACTCTCTCGCAGTACTGCCTCAACTGCAAGGCCCCAGCCTGTGGACTCTGCATTGGAGAACTACGCCACCAGGCCCACGACATCCAGTCCATCAACGTCACATGCAAGGCTCAAAAGGTGAGTCCTCTTTTGGAGTTTCTTTTTGAAATTATAAATGTTTAGAAATAAAACTAAATAATAAAAGTAAAGGGAAATAGGAAATAACATTTAAGGTTCTGAAAGTAAAATCTGACATTGGTGAACGGAAATGAACTGTCCTGAATCCAAAGACTCCCTTCGAAAGGAAGAAAAATGCGGCATTAAGACAAACTAATTAAGAACGAAAGTGAGGAGGATGGGCGAATAAATATGTATTTACTAGCGAAGTCACCGCATATCCTGACCACATCCTGACTTACTTCCTCCTTTCGCCTTGCTTGCTTTTATTTCGAGTTCTCCCTTTTGGCTCTTTGCCTGCCTTTTTGTGGAAAATTTATGGCTTGTCTAGTGGCCTCGAACATTTTTCATGCAACATTGTTTTGGTGCAAGTATTTGGGGATATTGGAATAGAAGGATAGGTGGGGCTTCAAGGATATTAGGAGACCTATCAAATTGTTATAAAAAAAAACTTTACAGATGACTATCTTCAAAAAGACTCTTAGCCCCTTAGCTAAGCAAATCATTTCATTCAACAAAATTCCTTCACAAGTCAAAACTTACCTTCGTCAGCGGGGGCTTTCGTTTTCCGGGGGCTTTCCAAGTGCCACAATCTTACAACTTTGGCACGCTAATTCAGCGATAAGTTTTCCATTCGGGGTTTCCTTTACCTTTACCTTTTTGGAATTTAATTTCACAGAATTTCGTTGCCATTTCATGTTGCCCGCTCTCACCTGTCGTTTTGGTAGCCGAATTCATGAATTCTTCGCCTGTCGTCGAATCACTGGCAATTGTCAACGGCAACAATTTTAATATGGCAAATGTTTCAAGTGCCTGCACATCCTGTCATCCAAGGACAACAAACCGACAGCAGCGGAGAAAAGGACATGCTGTGGCAAGGACAGACCAAAGTGCGAAAAGTGACAAATTGCAGCGGCTGCCAAAACAAAGAGTGACAACGGAGAAAGGAATCAACTGTCGAGTCAGGTCAAGAAGGATATGGCCCGAAAGGAAATAAGGCAGAAGGAATAGAAAGCGTCTTTTGTTTTAAAGAAATGAATGCGCAAAAATATTGCAGAGGTTCTTGGTTCGGCCAGAAAAAGTGACTTGAAATGGGATGTGAAAAAATTTAGAGTTTAATTTTGTTAGAAAAGTTTTTTATATTTAGTTTTAGGCTTCTATTTAAATGCTTTTCAAAAGTGATTACTTATAAAGTATAGCAGGAAATCAGTCTCAGTGTTGGCTTTTATATTAAAAATATCTTTAAAATGGCTAAAAGAAGCTTAAAAGGTTTTAAAAGCAATAAGCAGCATTAACTTGAATATTTTTTTAGACACATTTTCCATTATTTTCACCATATTTCATAATGAGCAACCGATTTGATAACAGTATCTGGTTCATATTTTGCCCCATTTGTATATCTATTTGGGTTGAATGTTTCCCCATCAAATTACGAATTCCAGAGCCTTATCAGTTTTATCATTGCCGCAAATGAGCCTCATTTTGGCAGCCTCTGTCCGTATTTTCACTCACCTAGAACACACCTTGATCGATGTTTTTTGGTGCAGACTTTCATAGATTTTAGATTTTCCATTTCCTGTCTGCTTATCTGGTCACATATCTCTGTACTGACGCATCTTTCCGTCGTCCGGCAGCGGCGGCGGCCTGCAACTGATTTTCAATTTCCATTGTTCGGCATCTTCGCCTGCAGGCGTAAAGTCAAAATTTCGAAAGAACAATGCCAATTGCCAAAATGAATCTCTGTCCCCAGGGGCAGCTGATTCGGGGCAGCTGCTCAACGCATAATGGCACAAGCCAGGTGAGGTTTTTACCTCCAAAATACCAGCTCAGCCCCGCATGAATGACACACGCACGCAATCCAGAGTGACGCCTCCGCCTTTATCCCCAAAAGAGTTGATAAGATAGCCGAGGAGGGGTAGTCATGCATCCAGTCATAGGGTAACTAATGAAAACGTAAATTTTTGCTTGTAGTTTTGCAAATTAAATGTTTTATCTGTGAGTTTTATTATATATTGGTGGATAGTAGGAAACAGGAAAGTTTTACTTTCTTATTTCAAAAATGCCTCAATTTAATCCCTTTCTATATACTTTAATTCCTTAAAAGGATCATCTATGTATATAACATTTGATGTTACTTCTCTTAAGATTTATTTGCCCATAAGTTCACCTTATTTTGTGCCATTTTTCACACCCATTTGTGGCTGAACTCCATCTACCTGTCGTTTCTGGGCCAGGTAGTAGGAGTCTGGCTGGGTCGCGTACTTTCCCAACTTGTTGTCGGGTCTCCGTAAATCATTAATTTCGGTGTTTATTATGCAGTTGCTTATTTTGTATCCTGTATCCTGTCGGTTTATCCTTGGCCTGCTTTCTGCACCTCGACATTTTTCATTGTTTTTCCTTTATTTTTTCCTCTCTTTTTCGCTCCTTGTTCCTTCTCCTTTGAGATTTATGACACCATCAAAGTGCAGTTGTCCGTTGGCTGTGGAAAAACATTCTCAAATATTTTGCAACATGTTTCGTGTTGTACCAACCACCACTACTGCCAGTACCATTACCATCACCACCACTCACCACCCTCCACCACATCCCTCGTTCCTTTCCAGGTCCTGTCAGATGATTGCGCTGCATTTGTTCCGTTTAATATGGCAGCATTCCATTGTTTTTCCCTCCACCAACCCTGGGGCAATGTTCTTTGGATAGATGTGTGTCGAATCCATTGGAAATCGCCCAGCGTTCAGGTTATATAGTTCTTTGTAGATCTTTCAGGCGCTTAACAATGATGCCTTCAAATAGGTTACTCTATGTGTTATTAGGGGAGGTGAATGGAATCTTTAAAGTTTTGTTGGAAAATTTCTGATGTTGATGATATAATAAAGTATTGTTCAAAAAACTGTCAAGTGGAATAGTAGGTTATAACTTTAGACACTAACAAAATGAATGAGGAAAGTTTTTAATATGAAAATAAACATATCTTATCCAAAAATTGCCCCCATGAAAAGCAATAATATTTCCCCTATCCCCAACTAAACATTTCTCTGTAATTTTTGTGAGCAAACATACGAATTCCCTTTAGGAAGCAGAACATAGCTGGAATACCTCCCATCAACTCCCATCACGTCAGCCAGTTCAGTTAATTACAGTCCAATTACAGGAATTTTATGTGTAGATACATTTGGATTTCTGACTTTGGCAGCCGGGCTGGCCTAGCCTGTCTCTCCATCTCAATATAATTAAGCGGAAAAATGAATTACATAATTAATAAACAACATTCAACGCCAGGCTAATTAACAGACCATCCTGCTAAGGGGGGGGGCTAAAAGAAATTAAAGCTGGCTTGAAAGAAAGCTCAGTCACATGAGAAAGGCACATCCCTAAAAATGCCAGGACAATGCTTGTTGGGCCAAAAGCCAGCACAGAAACATGTTGTGGAAAGCCAAATTAATTGCTGAAAGGAGAGAGAGGGTAGGAAAAGGAGAAAAGAGCGCCCAACATAAAAAATAAATAGAAGAAAATGCGTGGCAATAAAATGAAATGAAAACCAGCCAGGCAAAGGAAACAATGAAAATTCCTCTGCCACGTGAGAGTACGGGAGGTGTACTCTTCCTAATTCATATAAAATTTCCTCTTTTTTTGGTGCAACTCTGAAATTATTTTGTCATGAGGAAATTTCAACAGTTGCTTGTTCACTAAATAATAACAAACCCCGCCCTGCCAACGGGTTGTAATTTTTACCTTTCCTCCCACCCACCTTTTTAGGCTGTTGTTTTTCCAAATTTGGTCAACACAGAACAAAAAACAACCAAACAGAAAGGAAAACCATTTCCCCAGTGCATAATTTTCGGGCATTTTTCAGCATTTGTTTGGGTGTGTCCCAGTCCCAGTCCCAGTCCCCTTCCCATACCCCAAAGGAAATAACTGGAATAAAAATAGGGAGCTATACTAAAAGAAAAGTGGTGGGAGGGAGTGCTTCGAAGAAGCCAACCTAAGTGGCAGTAAATGTTTAGCAGACCTGCAGACATATGCATTATGGAGTCACGTGTCCAGCTCCATCTACACGAGCTTAATGACCAAAAGTCCTCACCAGCTTGACATGGGAATTCCCCTGGGGGGGGTCTCTCATACGGACAACTTGTCCTCGAACCATCGTCCTGACTTTAATTGGCACCCATTCGTCGTTTACTTTGCGATGAACAGATAAAGCTTTGGGTAATTGATATTTTCAGATCTTGATAAGCCTTTCCAATGGGGGTTGTTACCTTTTCTGTGGGTTTTAAAGGGGTTTGTGATGTTTCCTGACCTTGTTTTTACTTCTAACTTTGTACAAAGTTTACCTTTTCATTATGTAGAAAATATAAAATAAAATTTTAAGTTATAATGAAGTATAAAAAAGAACATTCCCTTTAAACTCTATTGTTACCAACTTATTCAAAGCCACAAAGTCAATAAGCCAAAGGCCCTGCAAATATGGAAATAAACTCAAGGACCTTTGTTGTTCTAAGCTAATCCGAGACCACAGGCCAATCGCATAAATATATGTTTATTCATGTACTTACCCCTACACATATTTTCCATTAAAATGCCAAAGCTTTACTTCACTTTCACGCTCTATGCGGATTTAGCCTCCCCGATCTCCGTGGAAAGGCCCGCTGTGAAAGCTTCTAATTATTTCCACCATAAATGTCAAAACAGTGGGTGGCTCGTGGGTTGGTGGTATTGGGCGTGACCCCATCTTGTACTTGCTGTTGTTGCTGATGATTTTCCACGGGCAGGGTCGCTTATCTGAAAATTGCTTTTCGCGAGCCTTTTCAGCGCTAAATGCGAAATTACAAAAGTTGGAAAAAAATAATTCTCCCTCTCGGAAAATTTTCATTGCTCTCACTGTAATTTATGCGCGTTTTGCATGTCCCAGCGCAATTGTCAAGGTTTTTTGTAAATGCTTTTCTTTATTTTTCTTCATATTT